CCGATTCATCCACGCGACAGTAGACCTCACCGTAATGAATCTGAACCTCACACCGCATTCTAAGCAGTTAGCAAGCAACTTGTCAAGTAGTTAGAAAGTAGTTAGAAACTCACGGTATCAAACTCAGGCAACTTGAGGTGCCCGGCTTCGACTTCACGCAAGTACCACACGTACCAGGACTATTTCATTCGAAATTTATCAGTTTTTCATCAAAAAATCACTTTGGAATCACTTTCTTATCATACAAATGATAATAAGCAATAAATAAGACCTTAATAAGCAGTTATACTTACATTTTCGCTCAGTTGAGCCATGGTTGCGGATGTGGGGAAGAAGAGGGAAATGATTGGTGGTGGGAGGTGTGGTGTGTAAGTGTACTGAAAAAGGTGATGTGGAATGAAATTTTCTGTTTGTGTAGGTAACAGGGTCGCTTGGAAGTCACATGATCAAACTGCTTATTAAGCAGTTTTCGTTCCACGCGACCCGAAAAAGCAGCACAGCTGATCTGCAACCACCATCTCCCGCATGAACCCAGGGATTCGCTTATGCTTTTTTTGCCCACAACTTTTGAATAAATTAGTAGATTGAGTAACCAACGGATAGGTAGCTTCATTTCAGTGTACGTGATCAAACAATGTTGGTTGCACCTGTTTTGATACCGTGGAATATTTTCGTCGGTATATTCCGCAAGAGTTAAGAAGTCCAGAAGGGAAAAATATATCCCCGCAGCCTCATTATACACCCACGACAGCACGACGACACACTCTGGCACCATCACCTCCACCGAAGGAAATGACAAACAGTCGGTAAACAGTTCTTATACATATGATTGTACAGCAACCCATTTCCCAGTCTACTTAAAATCCACTTTAGGCAGCATATCAGACCAAGATGATCGCACTACAATTACCACAATAGCTATCCAAAGACTAAACTCCAGCCCAAGACATTGAACAAAGATAGTTGACGCTCTAATAAGGATGGCGTATATGCAAAGATATATCAAATTTGATCATTGGAGAAAATGCAAGATATAATATTGTTCTCTGAAATTGACGGACCAATAAGTCCTTCTCAAGCATCATCTTATCTTTGCCTATTGCCCAACACCTTCTCCCGCAGCCTCCTCGCCGCCAACTCCCCCAACTCCAACATACTACCCCCACTCTTCAACTCCAACGCCGACACCTTCACCGCGAGGTTCTGTTTCCACCAGTTGCGCAGCTCGATGGCCACCAGCGAATCCACCCCGACTTCGGTGAGCGACATGCCCAAACCCAACGACTCCGAGCCGTCCTCTGGCCTGTGCACCAGGAAGTCCGCTATGCGGTCGCGTAGCTTCCCGGCCAGGAACTCCGCCGCCGCCGCCCGTAGCACCTTCGCCCTGCACGGCGACTGTCTCGATGTTGTGGTAGATGGGCATCCGCGGGTCGCGCTTCCAGATGTTGTGGTTGTCCGGGTGCGTGATGGGCAGTTGGGACTCCATCACTTGGGATACCTGGCTGGGGTTGTGGAACACCTGTCCTAGTCCCGCGGCGGTGCCTGCTGGCCTGCCATCGTGTGGTAGGCGGGCCGACGACCGAGCTATGGTTAATTGCAGAGTGTCGAGGAAGTCCTGCTCCGTAATCAGCCGGGCGGAGCCCGCCTCCATCGCGCTTCTCACTGTAGGGTTCCCCAAGTCGACGTCGAGGAAGTAGCCATGCTTCGTGGACACGGTGCCGGGCTTGTCATGGGGGCTAAAATAGGCGTCGATGTTGTATCGATCGGGAGGGATCACGGAGCGGGCATCTTTGCCGTCGATGAGGAAGTCATACAGGGTCTCTTCGTCGCGGATTCCGCCTGGTAGGGCGCATTCCCATGCTGCAAATAGCAATCGGGACGGGAGCGCCTGACTCCACGGATTGAGATGGGTGGTGGGATTCTCGCTCTTTCCCGATATACGGGCCATTTACGGTGCCATTCCGGAGGCTCGTGGGATTTGTCATGTTCAGGCTGATCGGGATGAGTGTGAGTCAATTAGAGGTTAAGCTGGCCACAATCTGGCAAGCATCAAGCAAAATTATATAGTTGGTAAATTGTCTCTAAGCCCCATGGTTTGGGCCAAGGGGGTTTATCCGGTTTAATCGATCCAGCGACGAAGAGATAGTGCAGTGGTCATGCCCGTGTGGTATATGTGGTGTTGAACATTTCCCACCTCTTTGAACACTGAATAGCTTGATTCCTCGGCCTGTGGACGTTTGTATCATCGATTTGTTTATAGATGTCCAAGGAGAGTCATACATTGTTCCTTAGCCACGGTACAGCTCTAAACTCAAAAGGCCCTCGAACCCAATGTGATACGTACTGTACAGTACGACGGGGCGTTAAGTTACCAAGTCCGGTACCGTCATGAAACACGGTGTAGCAGTTTCAACGACACCCAAAAAAATCTTGCAGCGTCATGTATATAGTCCACGAAGGCAAGTGCTTTCTACACGCGCGAAGCTGGTTTCGTTCAACTCGTGAGCCCATCTGTCGCCGGCTTCCTGATACCCTCAAATATCCCATGTAATTCATTATATCAAGGCCAGTAGTTGTGCAAGAAAACACGCCTTCCCTCTGCTATCCATTCCTCATCTGTAGTCATGTCGACGCCGAATAGATGATCCGCTGGCAACACGTCCAGTCTCATAGGGGTACTAGGAGAGACCTCCTTCAACCGCTGGACAAAGTTCACCGCACATTGATAAGGGCCCTGCACGTCGTCCTCAATTAGCAGCCAGTACAACGAAGACGGACCCAACGCGGAACGCAAACCACGCAAACAACGTACCAACCGTATCATCTCTGCCGTGAATAATCCACATCGGAACAACTGACTGCTCTGCTTCTGCTTCCGCCACCATCCTCTCCACCATGTTGACCGCATGAGTACCCCCGTCTGTGTGCTTGAGTAGTCGAGTAAAGTAACATTGCTGCACTTCGCACAGGAACAACTCCCACAGTTTTGGGGACGGTTCCTGGCGCGATCGGATCGCGCCTAAATTCGGGGAGCAACCATCCATGTATTTCCTGATCACTGCCTCTGCCTGTCTGGGCGGGGGAGGCCTCATTTCCATGAACGTTCTGGGCTGTGGAATGCGAAGTTCCGGAACATCGGGGTCGAGCAGCGCATAGGTGGAGATAACCGCCCGTATGGTGATCTCCGTACCTTCCTCGATTTCTTCCCTCGACAGGATAGAGCCCAGCTCGAGAGCGGAATACACGGCCAAACACCCACCGGAACTCTCCCCGCAGCACAACACTCGCGACAGGTCGGGAAGGATCCGCAACTCCGGATGTTGATCTGCCATGATTGAGGGCAGATCTCGCTGCATCCATCTCCAGAAGTGATCGATGTCCTCGAGAATATCAGTCACACCCGATTCAGGGAGAAGTCGATAGTCGGGTCGAATCATGATCGCCTCGTGGGCGTGGGCGAGGTCCAGGAACCTTTGTGCCACCCAGGGTTCGTAGCGGCGGTGGCCCATGAGGAAGCTCCCTCCGTGGAAATGGACAAGTACGGGGCATCTGCGTTTGCTGGTGCTGTTGCTGTTGTCCTTATCGGGGCGGGGGCGGGACAACAGACTACTTGGAATAAAGAGCGTGGCCTCGAGAGCATGGTTGTCCACTATGCTGTAGCAGAGGTCAACAAAGGTAAAGGGATCAAAGCGAGACATGGAGTGTAGGGTATGTGCGGTCGCGTAGGGTGCTCGTTTCTTTTCCTGGTGGATATCTCGATGGAAAAATATGTGTGGGGGAGAAAGGAAAGTGAGAGCTGAGTAGCCAGAAGGAAGCCTCGATGGTGCCTGTTGAGTTTAGGCATTAAGGACAACTTAATTCACTGCACTAGACAAATGTGTTTACTGGTAGCCTACCAAACCGAGGGACCACTGTGTATGTGGCAGTACATAAGACAGTAGTGTAACGACTAATACAAGCTCTTCCCGATTTGGTCGCTATATTGAAGCCTTGCAATATAGTCAAACATTATCGAAAACTTTGAATTGGGGAAGTCCCGAAAGTGTGGAATTATATCAGTAGTCATTGATGTACAGTAGAGAGTCCACACCTGTCCCACTTCTCCCCGGCTCAACGGTGCTAGAGGTCCAGTTTTCAGTATTTTAGCAGGGGGCAGTGGATCCGTCCGTGCATGTGACGGCTCTAGACCACTGTTCTATGATTCATCTACTCAGTCAACTTAATCTAGACTACTACAGCTACATCAGAAGGCACGCAGCCATCGGCGCAGGCGCATCAGAGAACTAGGTCTTCTAGACCCTTTCGACATATTCCAACGCCGCCGAGTGGTTGACTGGCAGAGGTGATCAGTGAGATAATGCCAACCACCCGGCACCAATCAGCGTCAGTTAGAGACCAGGTTCTACAGAATGCGCACGGACTGAATATCCCAGGTGTTTTATCTTTTCTATTGGCATAAAACCTATTGTCGGAATCGCCCCCCGGAAACTAAGCGTATCGACATCCCGTCCGCAGCACCAGCACGCTGCGCCAGTTTCTGTTCGCCCAGACTGTTCGATTTGATGGACCTTGGCATTGATAGTCTTTCTTAAGCGCTATTTGACTGGCTCACTTTTTCTTGGTCTGGAACGCCCTCCCTCATTTACTTGAAAGTGTGCTTTGAAAATAAGTTTCTTGCAAGATACCGTAGAGAGTATCTAACAAGCCTCTTCATTACACATTCAAATCAACCAGAAACCGATCAAACGTATCTATTACCGGCCGTAGCTGGTCCTGGATCTCTTGTGCGCCGGTTGCATTGCACGGGACTGGCCTCCACACCCTCAGGGAGCGAGGTTCCCGGATTCTGGTACTGGCATCGCAGTGCTCATGGTCATCACGATTGACCTCTTGATACTGATCCAACAATTGCCATAGCTCGTCCAACGCGTCTTCACACTCTCGCGAAATCTGGTTCAGGCGTTGTTTCTGTCTATCCTCAAGCGCATGACTTGGTTCTAAGGCGTCGATTGCCTGAAGAACAGTGGAGAGGCGCTGCACACTGACTGGCTGCTGTTAGAATGTCCTTTGCTATTTGGTCCTTTGAAAGTCGGGAGAGAGTGCATACTCTCGGGACAGTGCTTAGAACTCATTTGGCGCATCGACGAAGCGCCTGTCTAGTGTCTTGGCGAACTGCAGCACGGCGAGGAAGTCGCTGACGTCCAAGTCGAACCCAGTCCTTTCTTTTCTGGCTTAGTTGTCTAGCTCACCTGAGTTGAAGCAGGGATTCTCGACTCGCAGTATCTGCAGAAAAGTTCATTCTGCGCGGGAGTGACTTAAGCACTCCGGTATGGAACGTTGAGTTGTAGAATCGAAACACTTCTTTCGCGGGTGTGGCGCAGGGGGAGGCTGGGACGGGTGGACCATGGAGACTAGGAAGTCAACGCAAGGCTAGGCCTGGCAGCCTTGTTCTGTGACTACGGCTTGCACAAATTGTAGGCTAGTTGTGATGAAGCAAAATGAAGGACATCAGCAATTCGAGCCCAAAACGATTTGGTACTGGGCTACATTAACTGCGGGGGATAAGCTCAGTGACGAAGCAAGGCAAACAGTGCAACTAGAAGTGCCATGAAGAGAGAGGACAGACAGATCAGGAGCATAACTAGAGAACTGGGAAGCGGAGATTGAAGAGAGCAAGATATCAAAGAAAGAAAAGAAAACATCTATTGACCGGAAAACAGCCCGGTACAAATGGCCAAATCTAGCTCATCCGCCACGATGGCAAACACAAACGGGCGATCGAATATTAACTCAGGGATATAAGGGGGAGGTCCGCCGCGTCCGATTATTACCGCTGTCGCTACGGCGGCCACCGTGCCCTTTTCATTACACTCCAAACTCAGACTCTGAACGATGTTGCCCACCTGGGTGTCTCCTCCCATATCTAGAGCTGGGAAAGACCCGTCAATCGGAAACCCCAGCGCCTGCAACGTGCTGTTGAGCTTATGTTGCACCTGAAGTTCGAAGCGAGGCAGACCGAGCCTGCCCACTCGATGCTGTGCAAATGAGGGAATTCGCCGGGTACGCAGGATTTGGAGCATTTCCTGGATCGGGGTATCTTTGTTGGGTAGGCAGGCGATCATCGACCACTCCGATGGCGGTGTGCAGCGGTAGGGCAGGCGGACGGCTGTGCACCGTTCGCCCTGATAGACCAGCACCCCCTTCCCATGCCTATACATCATATCCACTGTGGCAGTTGCTCTCGACCCATTCTTTATCGTGGGGTAGAAAGGGGCACAGCGGACTGTGTCGCGCGGACGGAACGGCTCGGCAAACGCGGCCGCGAAGATCAGGGCGTTGATGAGAGCTACGGCCGAGTCGCGCAGGTCGTCTGCTGTCAGCAACGACGGGATCCTGCGTTTTGTTGTCCGAGAGATCCACTTGTTGATCTCAGCCACGCTGTCGGCCAGGTTTAGAAAATGTAGATTGGCGTCCACCATGAGCCGTCTCAAATAATCTTGGTACTGTGGAGAGAGGCAGACTTGAGTTTCAGCCACGAGCCCGTTGGCCGAGTGGAACACATTGTCGGATTCAAGCATGCGGCGCATACCCGGGTAAGTGGCTTGCAGGTCGCGGAGGCTGCCAGCGCCGAGTTTAGCGCACATCTCGCGTTGCTTGGGATCGACTGCTGCACCGGCAAGCATAGTAAGGGCTGAGAAGGTGGAAAGACCGCTGACAAGGGTGCTGTTGCTGTAAGGGGAGTTGTCGTCGGTGCAGAAATGGATCAGCAGGTCCCAACCCAGCTTGTTGATTGTGCCAATGACAACACGGTCTTTGGGGTTTCGTGTCGACATCTCAGCTGCTAAAGAACCGACTTTCTTCAGAGGGTTGTGCGTTGGTTGAGATGAACTTGGAGCTGTGATTTGGTGTGTTTCAGAATAGTGTGTAAGTTGGTTTCGTGAGAGGATCCAAGTGATTTGAGACTTAAAGTGCAGGAATGAGGAGTGCAGAGATTGCGATTAACTATGTTGCAGGCAGAGGATGAGTCATTTGACGATGATGGAATTCTAAAGCGTATGTTCTTGGGTGTCGGATCAGAAACACCTCGTCGTGTCCCTGATCCATGGTTCTAAAGTATGACACGGGTGTGTCAGAGGGCGGCACCTGCTACTCATTCGAGAATGCGCCAATAAAAGGAACAACATAGCGACGGCACTAGGTCTCATATACCACAGTCACATATGCCCATGGACCGAAACACAGTCTAAAACACATCTCCACGACCCTGTCCAAGTGCCCCAGTTCTGGGCAAACACCTCAAGAAGCAGTTTGATAGAGTGGCCTTCGATTGGCTACTTGGCACAAGGCTGCCAGGTTTAGCAGGTCCCCTTCAGTTAGCTGAATTCATATACCTTTTAAATTATATAAATGTACGGTGCTATGATGTAACGCGAGAAAAGGGTGGATAATTTCCAGCCTGGTAAGGATTTACCGTCCAAGTCCCGTGCCCAGTCCCGTGCGCGCGCTACATAAACCTCAGTTTGCTCTTTCTAGAGTAAGCCTACTACCAAGCTAATGAACACTGTTGCTTAGGCTTAACGTTTATTTGGCGGTGGGGCACTGACAATAATATAGTGTCGAGTGTAGACATCGGTTGGCGGGAATAGTCCTGCGCGTTTCAGTTCTTACATATGTATTATGTTTCTTGGACTGATCCGAGTGACAGCGCAGAGTTCCAGATTACAACTACATGACACCAGCCATTGCAAGTTATCGACACTCAAACTGTATCATATGATACTTGGGGCTTGATACACCAGGATAGTCAGCCTTATTCACTATTCCATGCTCTGAACCCCCCTCATTCCGTCTGAGGGGTTCTCCCCCTTAATCCCCAAACAAGATACGCTCAGAATCCGGACACAAGTGCTTACTTACCATGGAGATACCTCAAGCACTCTGGATCTTGTGATAGGTACCTAGCTTATTGTCTCGATAGATAGTTCACGCCAAATCCAATCAAATAGCAGGCATCTGAGTACAATTTGGAGGTACCGCCTGATATCGAGCCCAACCCCTGACCTGCTTGGTCTAGTTAAAGGCATCCCCGTCACAACATCTCACTGACCGGCCAAGCGCAACTATTGGTCCACTCCTCGCACAAGAAGACTCACTTCTCCGCAATGCAAGCACGCACGGGAGAAACCAAGCGACCCAAGTTGCCCCAGTAGCCCGCTGTCATATCACCCGCCGCCCCACATCCATTGGATTATCATCGCTCGCAGCCCGTGCTGAAACTCTTAGCCAAGTCTTCTATGCCCGCATCATAACATGCCATACTTTATGGTAAGTCGACCGAACCCTTAAATGCGCCTGTTGTGCCCCTTCCCTGCCCAAACCCCCACTAGCGCGACCTCATCACTCGATCACCCACAAAAACAAAACTCATCTGCGATCGGCGACGAGAGCACAAAAGTCCGTGCTTCGCTACAAGCCGGGTGAGTATCCCCTACGCTCCACTAACGTCGATAACACAAGCCGCCCGTTCTCATGCTCTGCAAAGAACATATCAGTACCTCAGTTCAGCACTGCACCTACCCACCTACCTAGCCAACATAGGCTACCGCGAGCCCACGAGCGTCGAGCGAAGCAGATACGCAGCGACCGATCCGGACGGCCTCAGCTTCAATGCCCGGCTGCAAGCCAGCTCCTCCTACTTCGAAACCTTCACAGGCCCATGGATTCATGGACCGCAATGTAGACGCCGTGGACAGCAGTTTACGACGTCGTATTGCAAGACATGCCGGAGATCACTGAAACTACTCGGGTCGATGAGAAGATCACGGCAATGGCGCATGACTACTTCTTTCCGCAGCCGGTTCGAGGTGAGTAGCCTTACGCCCGGTCTCCCTTCTCAAGATTGAAAGGATAAGTACTAATCGATCGCTCAATATCCAGGGGTCCACAATTCTTCTATGCACGCCGCCCTGCACGACTGGCTGGACGACAAGGCTAAGCAAAACTCATCCACATCAGAAACGCGATGAAAAAAGGTTACTCCACGCTCCTCATCTACGACATTGTCCTTCCCTCTACTAAGGCGAGCACAATCCAGGCGACTATGGACGTGCAAATGATGTCAGTGCTTCGCATCAAAATGTAAAGAAGCGGACTGGTGAAGACTTCCAGCTGATGCGGGCTTGCGCATTTGTAACTTGTGACGGGATCCGCGGCAGTATGAAATGACCATCGAGGCCGAAATCGCGTATAGTCCGGGCCGTTCAGGAAAGGCACCTCTCTAGCGAAGGGAACCGATGGAAAATAATGCTTTTTTGTGGGGAAGAGCTCGGTTCTCCCGAAAACATTGTTACGCGACTTAGACGTCACTCATAAGGCGGGATGCGTCGCTCTGTGGGTTTCGAGTCCCTTATCCCTAGCAAGCTGTATGGTTCAGACTTGGCCTTTAGGAATTGAAGCTTTGGCTGCGCCGGTGTCATGCTCACCAGTAACGTCGGTTCAGTACCGACTGCAAGCACGCGAGTACGCTGGTGTGGCTGAAGTTTGGATTGTACGGCCGGCGCACCCACAGATTCTAGATCATCGATTCGGAGAGATCGCCCATTGTATTTTCCAATGCAGGCTCTTAAGACTATCAATTGAGGCAGGTGTTGGGTACGCCATGGGCAGTACCTGAGCGTTGTAACCAAAAACGGATGCATCGGAACCACGGACAAATGCCTGCCAACAGCGGGAATGGAGGAGAGGTTCAACTCAGGAATGCGGAGAACAAAGAAGCTACACAACAGGAATGGCATCTTGAATGTCATAAGCATAAACAGAGCTAGCTCGACACAACACAAGAGAGAGAGAGGGAAGAACGGGAGCTGAGTAGTACCTTGTGCCCGAGATTCCGCTCATAAATCGACTTTCGGGTTGATGCGCCGGAAGGAGCAAAATTCTTCACTAACCTTGAAGCTTTATTCGGAAGCACCACCTATCCCCTTGGACTATCGGTGAATGGACCTGAAGCTGTCACAACATGCCTTCTAGTGACCCAGGGAACAAATGATCTGAGCCTAAATCTATTGGAATGTCTCCCGTGCAAAGCATTGGGCCCTTCCAGTGAGGCTAGGGATCAGTTCACGGAGTTATAAATAAGGCTCATACTTGGGAGCGCCTGTATATGGTGTCCGAGGCGACAAAAAGTAGTAAACTTACCCAGCTTTTCGAAACCGTGCAACTATCGCAACCAGCGTATTCATTAATCACGACCTGAGAAGCACGTACTCAACTCTATGACCCGGACGGTGCTTGCCCTTCTGGCCCTAACCTCCTTCGGTGTGCCCACCTTCTTCTTCCTCCTGGTAGTGCACAAACTCTCCGTCATTCTAACATTACACAACAGTGACGGCCAGGTTTGCACCAGGCACCAGAAATAGTACCTGCGCACAATGGTGTCAACAGCGGAACCTCGACAAGACGTGCAAGCGTTTGGCAGCCAAGGGGCAAGGCCCCTGTTACACCTGCGGGCCTGCCCGAGCGGCTACGAGTCAAGAACTGTGCTCCGGCGCTTGCACAGACACCAGTACGGATAGCACGAACTGCGGATCATGTGGGGTAGTGGTGAGTACCTGTGGTTGTTGCAGTCACGAAATCTCCCGCCGTGCGATACTTACTGTGTCACAGTGCCCGACCGGATCAACCTGCTCCCAGGGCGCCTGTATCTGCACGAATTCGGGCTTGGGTCTCTGTAACGAAACATGCCCTTCCTTCGATTCCGATAATAGTCACTGTGGGGAATGTGGCAACGTGGTGAGTTTCTTCTCCGGGCCAGCGGAGTTCGCGGTTTCAACACACAGAAACTAACCCGGACGGCTTTGGCTTCTGACCCGCCGCGAGCGATTAGTGCCCTACATCTTCCACCTGTCTGTCTGGAGCTTGCGTTCCGTGCGCAAGTTTCCAGCCGCAAACCACATATGCGGTCAGGGACCTCCCGTGGGGTGTGGCAGTGGGCGATTTCAACCAGGATGGCCATCTCGATCTTGCCGTGTCGAATGCCGGAAACGAGACCGTGGGCATCTTGCTCGGGACTGGCTCGGGGGGCTTCCAGCCTCAGGTCGCCTATGCTGCCGGCAGCGCGTCGTTTCAGGTCGCCGTGGGGGATTTCAACGGTGATGGTATTCTGGATCTTGTTTTGGGCACGGGAGCCAATACTGTCAGTCTCTTGTTAGGAACCGGATTGGGAAGCTTTCAAACACCGCTACAGTTCCCTGTGGGGACTGGCCCCGTGGCCATCGCGGTCGGGGACTTCAACCAAGACGGTCATCTGGATGTGGTGACGGGGAACCACGATGAAAATAGTGTCAGTATCTTGCTAGGGACTGGCGAAGGGGGCTTCCGGCCCGAGGCTCAATATGCCGTGCTGGACACGCCCGACGGTGTGGCTGTCAGTGACTTCAATCAAGACGGCCATCTCGATATTGTGGCCAGTAACGAGGGCAGCAACGTGGTGAGCATCTTGCTGGGTAATGGCGACGGAAGCTTCCAGCCGCAGACTGCAGTCCCAGTCGGATCCGGCCCATATGGTGTAACGGTTGCCGATTTCAACAAAGATGGCCGGCCGGATTTTGCAGTTACAAACTCCCTGGATGCCTCAGCGAGCGTCTTACTTGGGGTAGGAAACGGGACCTTCCAGCCACAGGCTGTGTTCTCCGTGGGATCCAACCCGAGGGCTATTACGACGGGTGATTTCAACCGGGATGGTAATCTTGACATCGCGGTGACGAACTATGGGGGCTCCTTGGTCAGTATCTTGCTTGGGACCGGGTCAGGGAACTTCCATACACCTGCGACCACATTTGCAGTGGGCAACAACCCGACTGTGATAGCGGCGGGCGATTTCAACGGAGACGGCTACCTCGATCTCGTTACCACAAACATACTGGATGCCACTGTTAGTGTTCTACTTGGGGAGCCCTGTAACACTTGAAACCATGTGATCGAGCCTCTCTCACCGACACCAGAGATCCTGTACGTTCATGGAGCCTTTCTGATATCTGAATCTCAAATTGTGTGTATACATGCTGCGGAGGAAATGTGAATGGAAATAGGACCATTAAGGCGGGGATGCAGGTTAGACCTTGTCATGGACTACAGTGACAATGACTTGCTAAAGGCTGTTGATATTGTCAGTACTGTGCAAGCCTGTAGACTATTATTAGTAGGCAAACCATTCACAAGGGAATGCTTACCAGAAAGTATATATACGAGTAATGACTATAACACCCACTCGGTGCATATCAGCTATTGGCGCAGTATCTGCGAGGCTTTACCCTATCCACTATCCGTATCTAGATGACAATATCCAGCCCGTGAAGGCAAAGCTTCACGTGACTATAACAGCACCGTACGCTGATTTTAATTATCCTAGCTCAGCTTCCTCGTGCAGTCCACTTTATCCTCGCTGTTTTGCTTGTTCTGCCACTTGAATACGACTTTTACACATCTTGGACGGCAAATCGACCATCTTCACTCAAGTCCAGGCAGCTGACAACCGAGATAAGCTGGAGCTTGTACGCCCTGTGTCCCAGGGGCTATTCGTGTTAAACCTGAGTGATGTAGGCCAATGAACTAATATGCATACCTATTTCAGCCCTCCACCTCCTCGAACTCCCCTGCCCATCTCCCGGTCGAGATGTCAAAAGCATCACGAAAATCCACTTTCAAGGCTGGCCCGCTCCCTAGACGTGTTCCTTGGTACGCGATGACAGGGGTTCACCTGAGCCCAGCCAATAAGATCACCAGCTGAGTCGAGATGTCAACTAATCACAAAAATCCACCGTTAAGGCTAGGACACTGGAGGTGTTACTTGGGACGCGTTGACAGGAGTCGCCCCTGGAGGGGCCAATCAGATCGCCAGCTCCGGCGAGATGTCGAAGGTATCACGAAAATCCACCTTTAGGGCTGCAGGACACTCAGACGTGCTGTCTGGTACGCGGTCGGAAAGGGCCCACGTGGGTTTGGGTATCTAGCGTTATCTGATCGGTCAACTGGCCCCGGGCCCTTCACCCTCACCTCCGTTGGTGTCAACTCCCATCGGTCGCAGGATCTAGTAAACTAAACGCATAGCCTGATTGTCCGTCGCAGTTTGCAAGAGAGGCCCGCTGACTACAATACCTTCGAGGACTGTGCGCAGAAGCTCCGCCAGCTTGTCGTCAGGAAGCTGCTCCGGGCAGGAGCCGGCCAGTCCACCATGAAAGAGCCGGATCTCACATGCATGCGCCTGAGAACTCATGCCGTGACTGGAATTGATCAGCTACTACAAGGCCGTCTGCATTCCCTGCTGCAGGGAACAGGACTCTCTGTATGCGCACTGCCACGCAGAACTGAGCCGTGGAGCGCGGCTCCGCAGTCTGTCCTTGGGGAGATGCGATCGGCAGCACGTGCAGGGAGCCAACGTGGCGGCTCGGGGTGGGTTGCGCGACAAGGCCTTCTGTGAAGAAACTGAGCGTGTAGTTTGGAGGGGAGAGGGATTTCAACGGTGAAGAGCAAGCGATCTTGCGGGAGAAGTACGAGAGACAAAGCGGGTGGGCTTACACAGAGTTTAGGCTGCCACTGTCACCAGGATCGTTGGATCTCCACCATCAACATTGAAATGCGAAGGGCCTGTTAGATTACTATCGTAAATTGACTATCATGTCGGGTTCTGAAGTGCAGGACCAGCTGCGTAGCTCCAAACTCTCATCGGCCACCCACCCAACGACTCCACCGTGGCGATAATCTTCTATGAACGGTAGCGGGCGTGCGGGTCAAGGTGGCTGGAGGCTGCCAAATGGTCAAGATTGTTAGTCCAGCTGATGGGTGCGCTGATTTTGTCCCAGGATCCCTTCTCTACGTCTGATGGAATGATGCACCCGAGGACAGAGAACATACGCGCGGGTCAGCTGCAGCTGCTCCAGCTTTCACAATGCAGCTCTGTTGGGGCCGATCGGAACACAATTCATTTGAGAGGTGCATTTGTGTTCCGATTCCTGAAGCATTTCAGCCTAGGAAAGTACTGTACAGCTTTCGCAGACGGCACACGTGATAGGAAGGAGGCTCACCCCCAAAACACTTCCGTTGCTCTTTCCTCTCCCTTCTCCTTGCTCTTCTTGTTCTTCACTATCTCTCACTCTCTCGAGTTCTGTAGTAAGGATCCACGCATGAAGTGTCAAAATGGAGGCAGTGTCCGTATATCTAATGGTACGTAGGAGTATGCTAGGGCAGGGAGTGTGGATGAGAATGGGAACGCATCGGGCCTCTTAAATGCCTGGCTTATCGAAAGAGCGATCCAAGTAATACGTTGCATTCAACTGCTTCTCCGCACAAACTGCCTAGCAATCTCTGCCCAAAAGTCATCCCCCCCTCTCCCCTCATCATCCTATCTTTTGATAAAGGAAGACCTTATTCGAAGTCCACCGAGGAGTCGAGGATAAACCGTCTCATCTCTCCTCCTCAATAACGTACGGCCCCTGCAACACCTGAGTACTGCGAGTAATCACACGACGATCCTCACCCCCATTCTCCCCCGGCACCCATTCCACCTTGAAGATCCCACTGCGAACCCCGGTCATTAGCCTTGCTGTTGCAACACCACCACGCAACCCCTCTCAAAATAAGAAAAGGGAGAACGTACTGAACCTTCCCCTCATAGATCTTGCCATCATCCTTCCCGATCACGCGGCCCCGCATGCCGAACCCGAGCGTTCCGCCACGGCCCTCCGGGTCGCTGGGGTCCGGGGTGGCGACGGGGTCGAAGAACTTGAACTCCAGGAAGGTGTAGCGGGTGCGCCAGTTCTGGACAAAGTTCTTGAAGTCCTCGAAGTGGAGTTTCTCGTAGTTCCATCTGCCGGGTTGTTGTTGGAGGTTAGTGGGATGGGGTTCTGTTCAAGGGGGTTTGGGGGAAGGTGGGGGGGGCGGCGGGCAGGGTGATGTTTACTCAAAGGTCGTCTCGGGACTGAAGTTGTCCTCCAGAAATTCAAGGGCGTCCTCGTCGGAGGGGATCTCGTACATCAGGCTTTTTTCTGGGTTAGCGATGGTTTGAGCGAAGAGCCGCAAAAGGGGAGTGTTCACCGCTGAATGCGCTGGACGTAGTAGAGCAGAGGGATGATCACCTGCTCCGACTTCGTGGTAGGGGGGGTGGTCTTGCTGGGAAGTGGAATCATTGCTGCAACGATTTTGGACAAGGCTGATTTCATACAAATTGCTGTTGGATACTTTTGCGGTGCTTGCTAGAAAGGGTTGGCAGACGACCACAGTGACGGAGGTAGATATATCCTGCTCCCTCATGTTGAGCAGGGATATGCTTCGACTGCTATACGAAGCTGACGACCCTGGTATCACGCATAGCTTGAACAGGATCGACGCGAGGGTCAGCCTTTCATCTTCCGATTCGAGGGTTTGTGAAAGGTGTTTGTCGGGATCAGTCAGGATCTTAATTCCTCGTATCGGACTGACAACCAGATCTCCGGTTCTGTCACCCAAGACCGGCGTACCACATGGAAATGTCCAGTACTTCCGACAGAAGTGATCTTCTTGCACCACGTAGCCATTTATCCGAGAAATAATGGACGATACTGACGTGGATTGTGTGCCACCCGTGTTGGCAATCTGGTGTGACTGGGCTAAGCCATGACAACGGATGTTGCCGCTCCGCAACATGGTTCATGTACACTGTGCAGTACAAATCCACCAGCGCTGCACAAGTTAGACACGATGACGAGTTTGCTAAAAGTTGTCATAGTCTGCACCGTCTGGCTGGGCGATCACTTTCGCGTCAGGAATTGTTAGCTGCCCCTGAGTATCATCGGGAGCTCTTCTCCCGAGAACTCCGGATGCTAGACTTCTTCCCACAGCGAGAGCTATTTACCACATAGCAGTGTACTACGGATACAGTGTTTGCGAAAAGCCCAGAGTTGCGAACTATCATAAACGTGTACAAGGCAAAGGAATATGATGACGGTGACTGTACAATTTAAGTCGATCCGGATTCTCAGTTACCTGAACGCCAGCTCAGTCGAGGGGAGATGAAGAATACTGGATAGAGGAACCGAAGGGCGAAAGACAATGAAATGGACAAACACACTTCATTCATACTCACTTACTCACCAACATGTGACATACTTAGCCGCGGATTCCATCTGAATACAACAAAAACAATCTCGCAGAAGAATGCAGAAGATGATTAAGACCATCAGACAGCTACGCGATACTTGAAGTTTCAAAGTCCCCTATTCTCTAGCGCCCGCCGCAACGTCTTCTGAAATCCAAAGACATGCTCCGGTGATAGCATCGTGTAGTGCGCGCCCGCCACATCATGGAACCGCGGCTCTGACCGCGCGAAATCCTTCCATTTGACCATATGTTCATCGTACCACTGCCGCTTGGATGATGCCACTCCCGCAAGCGGGATACAGTAGAAGCAATCAATGCCACCTACCGACCCTGACGGCTCATACTCGACTGCCATACTCTGCAGCCCGAACGCCAGACATGCCCACTTCAAGAGACCACGCTTTGTCAGTGCGAGCTCTGCCAGCCGGCTCGAGTCTGAACCCGTCCACACGATCTCCAGCGCCTCCTCTTGCGAGATGCTGTCACCAAGCTCTGCCGCCAGGTCATTCGCACGACCTTCGCTCATTAGGTCCAAGAAGTAGGCGAGATGAAGGAGACACTGCCGGAAGTCTAGCTCACGCATACGCGATCGGATGTGTGGCGGAAGGTTAAAAGAGCCAAGGAAACCTACAGTATCCCCGCGATGCTCGAGCCGCTTGCTGGTCTCGAAGGCGAGCATGGCACCGTATGAGTAACCGGCGATAGCGTAGGGGCCTTCAGGTTGCGTGCGCTTGATCGCGGCATGGTAGGTGGCTACTGCCTCGCCGATACTATCAAACGGCTGTTCAGACTCGTTGAAGCCTCGCGCCCGGAGCGCAAAAACCGGCCGGTCCTGAATATATTTAGTAAGGTTGAGGAACACAAGCACCTCACCCACGCCCGGGTGAATAAGCCAGAGCGGTGTCTTGCGACCCTCGTTGTGCAATACGACCACCGGGTTGTAGAAATGGGGAGCCTCGAGAGTGGCCGTCTGGAGGTCTCGAAGGAAGTCACCGAGGGCTCGGATGGTCTGGTTTCCCAAGAGTGTAATGATTGGGATTTCCTCAGACAGGTCCAAGCATTCCTCAAGGGCCTTTTTGAGCCTGATTATCTCGATCGAGGTGACGCCCAAGTCTAGAAGTGGGCTTTGTACTCCGAAGTCTTGGGTATCCAGCCCGAGGGTCTCGGTGAAAATGGCGAGGAGAGTAGATTCAAGTTCGTCTCTTGGTGGTACTTTTGTAATGCTCCGGTAGAGCTTGATCATCTTGCTATTCAGCTCCTGGTAGGGTTGGTACTCCCCTCTCTCATAGCTGGCTTTTATCTGCGCCCGCGATAACTTGCCCAGTGCTGTTTTTTGAAGGATGGTCTTCGAAAGTGGAATGACCCGTGGTCGTGCCCCGGTGCACATCATGACTGTCTTGGAGATCTCCTCCGTCGTTTCGACACGGGCGACCATGTCATCTGCTTGGTATATGGGTACAGAGACCAGACAGACTTCTTCTGTCTCACCTCCCCGAGGCAGTGAACAGAAGCAACAGTTATAGGTGGGCGTGAGACCTGGGATATCTGCCTCCTCCAGTACCCTCTCGATGGTGTGAGGGTTATACTTCAGTCCGTTGACAATCATTGTGTCTTTAGCGCGACCGGCCATGACGAGATAGCCATTGCGGTCAAGCAAGCCATGGTCGCCCGTTTTGAACCATCCATCGCTCGTGAAAGAATCTGCCGTGGTATTCGGGTTGTTGAAGTAGGACTTGAATATCACCGGGCCGGTGACTTCGAGGTTGCCAATCTCCTCTGGCGGGACGCAGGTGTTGGCGGGCGAGCCATCCGTGATGCGAGCCTGAATCCCCGGCATGCATCGGCCAACTGCCGCAAACTCTAGCTTCTGGTCTTGATCATACTCTGGACACCGTGTATTGAAGATCGAGCCAGCACAAGTCTCAGTCATTCCGAAACCCGGCACAATGACATTCGAGGGCGTGCCGTATCGGGCCAGCAGCTTGGAGATATCGACGCAGGTTCTGGTCACATTGGCTTCACCTCCGGACGCAATGTATTGCAGGCAGCTGAGATCCCACTGGGGCGGGTCGTGTATGTTTTCAAGGGCGGCTCGGAGTTTAGCTAGGAAGAAGTTGGGCGCGAATGTGCGGCAGACACGGTGTGTGTCGATTAGGTCGAGGAATGTAGTCGGGCTGGACAAGAGGTCCGAGCCGGGGACATGTACCTGATCCATGCGAGCGAGCATTGCTTGCAGATGGATCTCAACCAAGGCTGCGACGTGGTCGAGATGTACCCAATTCAGCAAACTTTCCCCAGCAAGCGGGATGACAGAAAGCTTGCCGACATTCGCTGCAAGGATCTGACCGTGGCTAAGGCAAACTGCTTTGCAGTTCCCAGTGCTACCGGAGGTGAGTAGCATGACGGCAGTATCTTTTGGCCCAGGATTGATAGCCATGTCTTCCACGAAAGGCGATCCCGATAGATTTAAAGATTCAATGGATACGGGGCGTATCGCCTCTTGATCACAGAACTCGGGCATCTGGCTCTCTCGAGTCAAGCACAACGGATCCTTTAGCATGACCGATAGATGCTTCAGATGAGCTGTGCGGAGGAATGGGCTGTTTGGAAGTGCTGTGGACATAACTGGGATACATCCTGTCAACATCACCGCCCAGAACCAGACGATGTTGTCCCAGTGGGCATCAAAGTGCAAGAGAACTGGGGACCGGAGGGAGAGGTCCCCGGTACCCCTGCGGCGAAGTGCCTGGCTAGCCTGACGTGCCTCATGCAGGAGGTCGCGATAGGAGTAAGTGCTGCGGCACTTGGTTGATCCCGAAGGGTAGCAGATAATCTGACCATGCTCCCTCTCAGTAGCCACGGTGTCGAGCAGTTGAACAAGATTCTTGAACGCCATGTTGTCGAAATCCGGACAGATGTCGACCAAGAAATAGAGCAGAGTATATTGGGGCCGCAAAGATACAGATCTAGGATGATTGTAAGAGACGTGCCAACCCTCCAAGCATATGAGGGCACTTCCTTATACCTTTTCGCAGGTTCTAGATCTGTATGCCGGGGATCATTGCCTCTCAAATCCCGACCGGCTTAACAATCGGAGTTTCGTTTGGTCACCTCGGAGTAAGTCAAAGGTTGCGAATCTTACCCTGCTTTCCGGAGCTCGATGTCCCAGGGAATTACCACACCCTACCCTTGACTTGCTATACCACATGGAAATGAGTATGGTGGCCGGTTTGATTATGTGGCCATCACTGGACAGAGGCTTCGGGGTGCAGCATGCAAAGGAGTCAATCCTAGATTCGGCCTCTGAGCTGCGATACCTGCTCACAGACCCCGTGAGCGCCTTCTTCGAGGGAGCTGTAAGTCCTAGCGCATCCAGCTCCATCCTCGCGAACCACAACTAAAAGGTGTAGCCGGTGGGCTTCATGAGTATGATGGTGATTCATCGCTTCAATATTGCGAATCTAATCAAGCCGGACATGGAGATGAGCTTTGCCTCGATTGCGGAGCAGACTGGCCTTAAAGAGGGTGTAGTCAAACATGTGCTTCGCCATGCAATGACCTTGCGGGTATTCCGCGAGTCCCGACCAGGATTTGTGGCCCACACCCCTCGGTCAGTGGTGATGAGAGATGGTGATATAGCACGCTGGATGACGTTCTCTATTGACGAACTGACAGAGGCTATACTTTGTGTATGCGTTACGGCTATCTCGATGTAAGAATTAGCACTGACTCTGCCATTCATTCCAGGCGCCCGATGCGTTGCAGAAATGGCCACGATCGGATGAGCCCAACCAGACGGTGAGCTCCACTTGCGTGTACCCTCTGTCGTCATTGTCTGAAGGCCGGTTGGTAGTGACAAACTCATATATGCTAGGGCTTTTCCCTCGCCGAGAACACGGATTGCGCGATTTATGAAGTCCTAGACGCAGATCCTGTGCGTGGTGCCCGGATGGCTAGTGCCATGAACGTGTGGGCTTCAAGCGAGAGTGACTCGGCCTCAAAAGTAGTTGATTCGTATGAATGGAGTCGTCTAGGGTCAGGCACAGTTGTGGATATTGGCGGCTCACGAGGTCAGGTTGCGGTGCCAGTGGCCTCGAAGTTCCCAGCGTTAAGATTCGTGGTGCAGGACCTCCAGAGCACCATAGCTGGAGCTGCCGTGGACTTGCCACCCCAAGTCGCCGACCGTGTGGGCTTTATGGCCCATGATTTCTTTGAAGAGCAGTCAGTTGTTGCCTCTGCGTATTTCCTGCGATGGATCCTGCACAACTGGTCGGACAAGTACTGTATCAAAATTCTCCATGCACTGACTCCTGCGCTGCGACCGGGGGCACGGGTCATTGTCAATGAGATCTGCATGCCTGAGCCGGGAGAGGTTCCTGTGTGCAGAGAAAGGTTGGTACGGTAGGTTACCCTGATTGCGCCATGGAGATTCAAACTAACGGGCTGTGACAGGACGATGGGCTTGGGCATGATAGGCCTGTTCAATGCCTATGAGCGAGATATAGAAGACTGGACCCGGCTCTTCGAGCAAGCGGAGTCGAGATTCCGATTGCTCGGTTGTCGGCACCTGGACGGTGCAGAAATGGCTTTGATCGAATTTGAGTGGACCGGATGATCACAAAAAGCCTTCATGTAGCTGAGGAAACATTGCTGAACATTATGGTATACGTATACAGTGCTGTTCAGGGAAAAGAACAACCACAGAACGAATGTTTACAGTCTATTATCGAATGTCAGTCGTCAATCCCCACGACTTCCAAAGCTTGTAAGGGTTCAACAATTGCACTCCAGCCCAGAACCACCATTGCGGCCGGCCTCCCTTGTCACCCTCGACATCGACCGAAGCGAGAGGCATCTCAATGGCCTTTATTGCAAGTGCAGTAGTCAACCCCCTGTTCCCAATCTTCACTCCGGTCGATCCAAATCTATAGACCCAACTTGTAGGGAAGCCGCCATCCTCACACTGCATGTCCCGCAATGCTCTTTCATCGAGCATATTCGACATCCCGAGCAGCTTACACGTATAGATCCGCATAGCCAGCGAAATGGCGTCGCCATGGGCACCAATTCGCTCATACACTCTTTCTTCCAGGAGAGGCATTAGCCGAGCGCGGAGTGGACTCATCCTCAGAAAGACCGAGAGTCTGGCTAGAAAGTACAAGAAGGCGTCCGGACTGATGTAATATCTCGTGCCCTGCAGGTAGGCTCTATGTCGCAGCACGTCCAGCACCCAGTTGAAGGTGGCGAGTAACTCGGATTCTCGGCCGTTTTGGGCAAACAGGCTGAGTACATTCACACACACGACTGGGTCGACTCGAGGGCGAGTGGGATCAAAATATGTCTTCCGAGGTTTTGTTAGTGGGGAAGATGCAGATGAACTGACGGTGGTCATACTGGGACTATCCCGTCGTTGTCTAGGAGAAGCATAATCTCGTCCATCACATCGGCAACGACGTCCTTATGAATGGGAAGGACCGAGAGCGCGATAGAGGTGGTGTCCAGGTCGTTGGGGAAGGTGCTCGTCGGCGACTGAGGAACCCCTGTTGACAGTCCCACCGTATCAATAGCTGCAACGCCTTGCCCAGGGAGGATTTGACCAACCGATGAAGTAGTTCCATGTTCGATCCCAAGGCTCGAGTTCGATCAAGTCTCTAATCCCACGTTCGTTAGAGACTCCAGATGTCATATACAAACCTCGATAGAGAAGCTCACCGGTCGCCCGTCAGCTCCAGAATCAGCAACTGCGCAAAGTTTTCGTGGATCACGGAGTTATTGCTAGTCACAGTGAGGAGGCTCTTTGCATTCGAGCGGAGATACCTCAAGCCCCGAGAGACAGGGTCTCCCGTCACGTTTATGATCTGCTGCTTGAAATCCGTAACGTTCTGGAACACCACGCCGTGCATCCCCACGGACTGCGCGACCAACACATTCTCCGTTTTGTCGTCGACGAACACGACCTCGTCAGGCCTCAACCCGGTCTCTGCGAGAACAAACCGATAGAATCCAAGATCTGGTTTGCGCATCCCAACGAGCCCGGAGAGATACACATGGTCGAAAACAGGATAGCTGTTCACGATGCGATTCACACAATCCTGTTCCGCATGGGGCGTGTTCGTCATGCCATAAACTTTGAGCCCGGGGTTCCGCTTCCTTATCTCGCTGACAAGCTGAAGTACGGCGTGGTTCAGTTCCAGGCTCTGACGGGCCTGTTCCATGGTGGAAGCCATGTCCGCAGCGCTGATGGAGAACCGTTCGACGAGCTTCGCATAACATTCTTCTTCGGAATATCTCCCGCGCTCGTATTCGAACCATATCTCGGAGGACATGAGTTGTTTGAGCTGGGCTGGGGAGAGCGGGCTCTCGGCTGGCGGGGTCCATGAGCATAGAACTCCGGCGAAGTCCAGGACCAGTGCTTTGACGGAGGGCATGGTTGTGCGCGAGTTCGAGCTAGATCTTCTTCGAGCCCACAACACGGATCGGCTACGAAGACCTACGATGGCCCGAGGAACGAAGTAGGCCGCTTCATATATCGTCATACCGAACATTATGCGGAGTACAGCTTGGAAGCATTCCCGATTCACGGCGCCCTTCGGAGGGCGAACCCCACAACTACTAATCATAAAGCTCTAGTTTTGGCTACAGCTGCCTTCTAGGTGGGAATGGATCAGGGGACGAGGCGTTATGGCGACAAGATAAGAATGGATCTGTGGCAGATGAATAGCGCTAGGAAGATGACGACCGCATCCATAGTAGACAGATGAGAAGCAATCATCGATACAGACACATCATGTAGCTGTATACCTGGAGCCCGGAACTCTGGTATCTCTTCGATCGCATTTATTCTTGATAAACTTAATACACAGAATAATGAGGTGCATATCGATTAGTGATCAAACCTAGTAGTAAATGCGAGCTTGTTTAGAATATCCTCAGTAACATATACTCACGCGAGGTAACCCCACCCGCCTAACACGAGCTCCGAGCCAAAGAGATCGCATCTCGGGACCACTCTGTGTGTACCGGAAGGGGCACTAGCGGATGAAATGCAGCCTAGTCGGAGGCTAATGTTGTTGATTATTCTATACATCTAGCGGGCGGGATAGATTGAGTCGACCAATCATCCTTGACCCATCCTTTGCGGGATCGGAAGACAGGTGCTAGCTCAACCCAGATGAGCAGATTAGGCCTTTTACTGTCGAACACACTTCAACTTGTCTGAATTATAATGTGAGGAATGCTGAAATGTAGGTCCATTGTTCAGACGATTGTCTGCGCGTCTTCCGTAATATATTATTCGAACGTCGCCCACGGTATAACATCAACGATCAGGATCACAACGGATACCCAACAAAATCGCCTACTAGGCCCCACCCTGTAAAACCCAAACCGATCACCGCGCGTCATCTACAAACAGAGACGACACTAACTCCTTCATACTCCCCCCTCCCCGCCCGTAGCGCCTCCCCCCTCCGAGCAGCAGCATCCCACTCAGCGCCCTCCAGTTCCCACTCGGGAGTGGCATCACCCGGAAACAACTGCCGGAGGATCTCGCCCACGACCACAACGATCATGCGTATCGTAAAGACCCGGGCGGAAGGGCATTTCATCTTCCCCACGGCGAACGGGATCCAAGCGAATTGCTGCGGGCCGACCAAGCACGAGCGGATTCGCTGTCCGCTGGTTGTAAGGAATCGCTCCGGATGGAATTGTTGCGCGTTTGCGCCCCAATGGGAAGGGTCCCGCTGGATGGCTTCGATGTCGATGGATGTAGATACCCGACTGATGCGGCGGATTGGCGGATAGAGGCGGAGGGATTCATATGCGATCGCTAACGCGAGAGGCTCCGGGTCGTGGTCCGGTCGGCAGTCCCTAAGAGCCAGGACGTATTTCGGTTGGCGGGCGCCGGGCTGGAGGACTGCGAGGAGAGTGTACAAGGTTGAGCGCCACGGGGCTTCGAAGGCGGGGAGGAGCAGGTTCAGCGGATTGAACTCTTGCGGGGGCGGGGAGCCCGAGACGCGGTAAAGGATCGTCTCTGCCAGCTCCGTCGTCACTGCAGCGTCAATGAAGACGTGGCGCAGGGCTTGGATCAAGGCGTCCGCCGAACGCCGCAGATCCTCGGGAATGTCCTGGGAGGCGGCGGCTGTCAGAGCGTGTCGTTTGCCCTCTACGGTGATGCGATGGATTTCCGAGCCGAGGTAGCTGAGTTTGTCGCAACCGATGTTGTCGATCTCGAAGAGAGCTTTGAGAATGGCAGCAAGAGAGGTGGTGAGGCTGACCTGTCGTAGGTCGGCGGTGACGGTGCAGGAACTACCCGATATTGTGCGTCGGGTGAACAAAGGCTGGATGGCCTTGCCCACTACCCGAGCGATGCCTGCCCATGCACTATCATCTACTTTAGCAAGTGCCTTGTACAAGGCCTGACGGTACGAAAGCTGTAGGTCTACCGAGTCTGACACGAATGGGTTGTTGAGCCGCCATAGACTCTTCAAGACCGGAGCCCCTGCTCTGGCTGCTCGCATCGCGACGGTTGAGTTCTGTAATGTGACGATCGGGTTCTCTACTCTGTTCGGTTCAACCGAGACCTTGTCGCCAGTGGCTTCCTCGCGTCCACCTGAATACAGTAGAACATAGCTGACAATCCCACCCAGCAACAGAATGAAGAGCACAATTTCTTCACTCATCCTCGGATATACTGGCAATACAATCACAGACGGGGAAAGCGAAAGACCTTAGCAGGGATAGCGTCGCGCCATAGGAAACGAGGCCCTGCTACAACGAGATTTCTGTGAGTGATCCAGACGAGCGGAGTGCACAGTATCCGACGCCGCGCCGGAGCGGGAGAAGGAAAAAAAAGAGAGGAAAGAACCTGCTCTGGAGCCAGGAGCGAGGGGGGGGGTTTATACTCCGGCGGGTTTGCGCGACTTCCTCATTTGGCCGTCAACCAGCGAACAATTTGACTCGACCACCACATAGACTACAAGTAATACCGATCATCGCGGTCATGCGGAGTGGACCACACCTATAATACAGAATAGACATACCTTGCATTAATACTCGTGCGAACGATTGTTGCCTGGCGATGCCGCGTTCGAAGCAGCGCAGATGGTATTCCGAGTAAGACCCAACCGAGAACACACAGGCCACCGTAGACTCTATTTTCGAGGGAGCACCGGACAAACCGAAAGCTTCTCGACTCAGTAGGTATGTCGTCCCTGTTGACGAATCCTTGGTCACATCACAGGTGACCGTCCGAGAAGAATTCCTAGCAAAGGCAGTTCAAAGGGTGGCAGAAGATTGAGTGGATAGGATAGCGGGTCTTATAAGCGGTGCGGAGAGCTCTGCAAATCGCCTATCATATGGGCAGTATTACCATTCCAATTTTCGGTGGCCAATGATCATATACGCATCTACATCGACCCTGACGTCTGTATTACAGCCAGGTCATTCGCTTGCGGTGTATTTGCACATGTGGGACAGAAGAAACGACCGGAGATAGAGCTTACCAGCTCAGGGTCGTCAGTTCTCGGGGGTGGCCTGCGCTGGGTTGTACCGTCACATGCTGCCATTCTACCTTATGGCTTTTGAAAATGAATGCCTGTGATCGGATTCAAGAATAGAAAGGAGGACAATGAATCTATCATACATTCCTATAATCTCGTTATAACGTTCATGATCGAGCTTGTGTATATCATTGCGGGATATAACGAGTCCATGCAGTCAACTAACGTAGGAAGAGGATACAGAAACAAGAGAGGTCCCTTTGGACCAGACCGCATGGAAGACTTGAGTCCATCGAATTTGACGAATATAGAACTATTGACATCTAATTTCCCATTCCAGGGAAACTATATACAGCAACCTGCATTCAGCATCCAGATAGCCTGCGTCTAGCAGTCCTCCTCATCCTCCTCAGTAGCGGCGGTGGCAACGGTCGACTGAGTGGTGAGGGTGGTGTGAGTGGCGCTGTCGACGGTGATGGCGGCGGAGCCGCTGCTCTCGTAGCCTTCAACGGCGACGATCTGGTAGTTGAAGGTACCGAGCTCGAGGCCGAGGTTCTCCCAGGCGTCGAAGTGGTTCTTGGTGGTGACGGTGCCGCCGACGCGGGCGTCGTCGCGGATGGACCAGTACTGCTTGAAGGTGCTGGTGCCCTCGATGGAGGCGGCGTTGGTGCGGGTCGACTCGTAGATCTTGTAGGTGCTGCCGTCGCTGGTCACGGTGCCGAGCTGGGTCAATCCGCTGGAAGGGTTGTAGTCGCCGTAGTGCTCGACGATGTAGTACTCGACCAGGGGGCTGGTGGTCCAGCCGTAGACGGACAGGTAGCTGTTGCCGTTGTCGGTGGGGGTCCAGGTACCGGTGTAGGTGATGTCGCTGGTAGGAGCGTTAGGCCGAGGCATGCAACAAGGCAAGCGAGAATGAAACCTACCGATCACTGCCGGTGCTCCAACCCTTCCCGGCAACAAAGTTGCCAGCATCGCTCCATTCCACGGAGTATTCACCAGCATTGCCGTTGGTGTAGGTGACAGAACCTTCGTTGTTCGTCCAGAAGGAGTAGAAGTACCCATTCGAGGTGCCCTCGCTGGAGGTGGTCAGGCTGCGCTTGGCCAACTCCATGAGAGCAAGACGGTTCGGGGCCGCCAGGGCGCCCGAAGCAGCCGAAAGAGCGAGGAGAATGTTGGAAAGAGCGACCATTTTAATGGTGGTATTGGAGTTGCTGTAAGGAATGTAGTTGATGCTGGTGGCGTAAGTAGTGAGTACAAGAGAAGCGCAGCTTGAGACACCGGAAATGGATCGCCGTGCCGGCTGTATAAGTACTCCTAGCAAGTGTACAGTCAATCTGATCAAGGATTGAAAAGGTGAGACAACGACGTCTGTCGTAAATTAATTCCCGTGGTCTGGGAGGTCGGGGCTTGCTCCTGAATCATTTTAGTGACCGTCGTGTTTCAAATTGATATCCCCACCCACTCTTGTCCCCGCCGGCCCGTCGCCGGTGCGTTTGGCCTTAGATCCAATCATAACCTCTTATCCAGACTTTAGTCTCGGAAAAGCACTGCTGGCACAAACGCTGGTGAGGGAAGTGGAGTTCGGCCGTTTGGCTCAGGGTGAAAAATTACCGGTTTGGTGACCCTGACCCTGATCTTGCTGTTGTTCTCAGACATAGACGTCAAGGTGTCTGGAGCACTCAGGGATGCTTAATTTAGCACATGGCCTTTTTCGCAGAATCTAGCTGAAGAACCGGACCGCTTGGAAGGCTCGAGCTACGGGTCAATAGTTCGTTACATAGATTAAACATGGACATGACGCTGAATAAAGCAGGCCGAGGCTACCGAGACAACCGGACTCAGGGGCCGAGTGACACTTTGGGGTAGGACACTCCAGGAGTCTAGGTCAAAGCCTGGGCTGAACTACCGCGAGGCACCCGTTGTTTTCAGGTCCACGCATCCCTTGATGCTGCGCGGGAGCTGTTACAGTGAGCAGGGTGAGGGGAGGTACGATACTCGGTAGCGTATCGGCGAATAAGTATGTCTCGTTATATTGATTGATTGCACTGATCTCATGTCTTGCCTTGTTGCACATTATGAATATCAAAGATCAAGTGTTGTGTACATACGACCACAGGGTGTGGAGAACAGGGCTTCCCGTCCGCTCAGCCGTACTTAAGCCACACGCCGGGAGGTTAGTAGTTGGGTGGGTGACCACCAGCGAATCCCTTCTGTTGTATGTTTCTTTTTACGCCTCCGGCCTTTTTTGTTGCAATCACTTCCAATACGGAGGCTGGAATCAATCTGTAGAGTCATAACTCGCAAAGCCATAAATTTTTAGAGAACTTTCGCCGACGCGGTAGGTTAGCCCCCGGGGCCCGAGTGGAAAAAGACTACTGGGTTGAAAGGAATTGCTTTGTGCATTTGCCCATCACCCACCTATCCGACGATCAACTTCTATTGCATAGCCTGAAAGCAATCAAATTCTAAGCAGGTGCTTGTCTGTATTGGAAGTAATAAGTACTGCTTCACAATCGTGGTCTGCGAGTGCACGCTTGGTTGTCCGGTAGCAACTTCAGCCGATCGAAATCTACAACGCTACTATCCGTCGTTATCTAGCTACAAAGGTAACAACCATAGCTGGTCGTGGAACTAGTAACAACTAACCCTAGAGAAAAATACAGAATGCTAGAAAAGGTCGTTATTGACGACCATAGTTTCGTGCGGCGAGGGGTATGGGTAGATGGGCACTCGCAAGATCTCACCAAGGCCAGAAACTGAAAGACCCCAATATCAGACCAATCCCTATCCGCACTACTCGTCATCCGGACGAGACAGAATCCGTAGCACGGCATTCTCAGCCACGACCATGATATAGGCCTGGTTGTTGTCTGAGGTCAGATCCGGGTGAATGCCACTATCAAAGATGTACTAAAAACGCCAAGCGAAGAAAGGTTGATGTATGCCTCAGGTGGCGAGTCGGGATTGGGCGGTGCGTTACGGTTGGGAAACTCCACAGGTAACGTAACAGATTGTCCATTCCGTACACCTTCGTGTTCGTGTCCACCACCGCGGTGCCGTTGGGGTAGCGACCGTCGTCAAGGCCCATCCTCGTCGTACCAGCATAGTGGATCCCTGCCGTGAGGGAGCTCAGGATTGGGGAGGTAATTGTGTATTCCTGGAGCTCCAGGCCAGTCCCAGGGGCGGTGATGGCATCCACCATCGACTATACAACAGGGTAGCCGCCTCGCTGTCCCCAGCTGTTTGCAGATAGGAGAGACCTCAAAGATTGTCTTCTGGGACGTACTAAGCCCGAGCGCGCCGGTCGAAGTCAGCCCGTGAGTCATATAGACAGTGATAGTCACAACACCCTCGGCAGGAGGAGTACACGAGCCCTGGTGATAGCGGGTAATACCATTACTAGCGACGTTCGACGTAAAGAACACCAGTCGATGTTTCCCTGGGTCAAGACACCAGCATTTTGGTCCTCGTAGGCATGAATTTAGCCCGTAGCCGTCCCATTCAGGATGGCCTCAGCGTCCAGCTCGTTGAAAGTGCCGTTAGTCTTCACCACAATAGAGAAGATCGGATGATTCATCAAATCTACCCCGACGGACAGATTAAACCAGTCCGTAGTCGGCGGGACAGCAACGCCACTCCGTCGGGCCGTCTCAATCTGGGCGCTCGGGCCGATGCCGGAGTTGAAGGGGATTTGTGGCGAGGATAAGGCGCCGGCCGACAGCACCACACGACCCCGAGGTGCTAAGGAAATAATCGCAGTAGTATTGTTCGATCCGAAAGATGAGTCCGACACCCGTGGCGCGGCTGCCGTCGCGGACCACGCGTGTGACCTTCGCATCCATACGCAGAGAGAAGTTAGCACGCTGCAGAGCCCGTGGTAGATACGTGCGGAGTAGACCCACAAGTTTGTAATTCTCGATGTTCCAAACGGGGTGGCTGCAGACCTCGTACTTCTCATTGCGTTGGGCGCTCATATCTACGAATCGCCAGCCAACGCGGGAGAAGAAGTTGGCTAGAATATTGTACAAAACCTGGCCGTGACGCCGGCTGTCAGCGGAAGGCAGGCTGTTACCAGGGTTGCAAAGGTATAGCCGCTCCGCCCCAGCTTGCACCTCTTGCCACTTCCACCCCATCGGCCACTTGTCGTCGAAATCACGATCGGGAGGGTGAACAAAGACCATATAATTGACCGAGACGCCTCCCCCGAGGATACAAGCGGCGGTTCCCTCGGTATCGGAGCACAGATAGCTGCCGACATAATCGATGTTGCCCACATCGAATGACAAGCCGGGGACATCAATAGCCGTCAAGGTGTCGTTCCAAACCAAAGAGTGGTTAGACCCCCTGGCGACGGTTGAACCTGTGATGCTGCGCTCCAGGAGCAGGAGCAGGACCTTCTTGTTCGCTTCAGCTAGGCGCTCTGCCGTGATTATCCCCGAAGGACTGCCACCGACGACGATGTAGTCATGCCCCTCGGCGGGGGCGGGGGGCAGGGGGAGGAATGGTCTTCACAAGCTGTCGTTCCAACGAGGAGCCCCGCAAAGGCCGCAAGTAAAGAGGTTGACAATAAATTGGTACGCATGGTGAACGTCCAAGAAGCTCGATTTCAATCGGTGCAGAGACCCTGTATCAATATGAGGTCTGGTCTTCCAAGCGCTGGTCCCCGGGTTTTATATTCTGCTCATTTTCTCCCGTTCTCCGCCTTCCTCGCTGCTTCATTTTTCATCTTACGTTTGGAATTTCCAACTGGGAGAATGGTCTTCAATGGAGCCTGCCTCCTTGTCCCAAAACCACGGAGCACCTTTCATCTGTTTAGTAAAATGGATGTGGTGACGGACTGAACGGATTGACAAAAGATCGGCCCGTCTCGGCATTGAGATCTGGTTGCAGGGCTCGGTCTCGTGCCGAACAAGACTAGTGGTACATAGTAGTCTGTTATCTGGTCGTAGATGGGCATTCAATCCCTCGCCGGTATTATCAACATCAAGGTTAGTTCTTCAAAAACAGATTTTTAGTTTTTCCTGTGTCCACTACCCAAAGAAAGAGAAAGCCAAGTGCCAGGGCTCATCAACGCACACCAACATTACCAGAACTGCGGGAACCCGGTGGATCTCCCTCCCCGTAAATCCGCTCTTCCGCAGCGCGGACTTACGGAGAGCGGATTTGAGGGCGGAGAGATTTCACCGGTGGAAAATCTTTCATCTTATTTTCCACGGAAGGAGGTAAGAAGGACAACTTATTAAGAAAAATTGTAAAAAGGTTAGGAAAAAAGACAAGGGCAAGAAGGAGAGGGAGAAGGGGAAAGATTCGAATTTATCAAGGATTTGCAAGAGCTGCCGCTTATCAATTCGGCGTTTTGTGCTCCTAGAGTCCTCTTGTAATTCAAACTTCTCCCACTGAATCATTGATTCGGCACATAAGAAAAAAATGTACCCCAGTCTATTGCCGTGATATCCACATTAAAGTCAGCCCCGGAGAAATCTAAGTCAAATTGTAGACCGGCACTGGGAGCCAGCAATCCGGGGTCACCCAGAGGCTCGGATGAGAGGGGCAGGTGGTGCTGCTGTGGCTGCTCTTCCCAGACCCCGGGTCCCATTGCCATCTGAGACAGAGATAGTGGCGGTGGCGGTGGCGGCGGTGGTGCGGAGGGATTGAAACCTTGGAGTTGTGGAGAATGCTGCTGATGGTGATGATCCTGAACGAGCTCCCCGGGTCCGGCGTCGAGGTTCAGGTGATGCAGAATGCGGCGGATGGTGGTTATGGAGCTGCACACGGGATCACCCGGTCGCATGCGGGTCAGGAACTGCAAACCCTCGTGGATGAGGGGCAGATTGCGGGTGTGCTTCTCTGGGTTGGAGGCCATGTCATATAGTAGCACAAATAGGCAATTCTCCATATAGAAACAGTTGAAACGGAGTTCCTACAACAATGAGCGTTGTTAAACACGGCAAATCGCCTCTTTCACGGTCAACCTAGGGTTTTCCTTACCAAGAGTAAAGAATCAGAGGCGGCAATATGGCAGATGTAAAGGATGATCGACTTGGCCGCATTCAAACACCGGTGACACGCATCATTAAGCCAACCGGGAATGTCCGGGCGGGGTTGCGGCGGAGTCGAAGAGGACTCGGATGTCTCCGCCTGTGAATGCTGGAGCTTGCCACGAATGATAAGGAATGGCCGAAAAATGAGTAAGGACACGAAATTATACACTGGAGGTCAATGTTGGCATCAAGGCTACCGGCTTTCGGGCATGGAAGAAGGGATGGATACGAACAGGTAACAAGAACCGTGGGCCGCATACCCCGTGGATCACTTATGCGAGGCTCATCCAGTTCGATTCCGAAGTCCGCTTGGGCTTTGGAGTGAAGTGCAGCCATCTCTCTGCCGACGACGATGGCACTGTTCCAAAGAGCGGATGGGGCGCATTGGGGGCGATAAATTTGCTGGACGATCTTCAGCATGACAGCCGCAAAGTGCAGCAATATCGAGAGGAAGATGTCTTGTGGTTGCGAGACTTCGATCTTGATAAATTCCAGCATGCTCGGGCGACCGAGGTAGAAGCTAGTCCATCTGGGAACGGTCATTCAGGTATCCAAGGCAGCTGGGACGCTCTCACATTTCTATAAAGTACATTGACCAGAAGGTATGGCGCCGCTCTACCGTCCCCTGATTGTCATCCGAGTTGGCGCGCAACTGCTGCCGGTGCAGACCAGCGGCAAAGGCCTTGCGACAAGCATTGCCAATGACAACGTAGGCGAAGTTGGAACGTGCGTATTCCAGATGATACATGGCGTGCATACGTTCCAGTCAGCACTTTTACTAAGCAATCAATGCATAAAAGCATTTTAAAGTTGGAAAGTTGGAAGCGTGTGGGGGGAGGGGGGGGTGCAGCGGAGATTCTTGGACTTATCATCATAATTCCCAGTTGGATAGTTTCCAGGCTGACGATGTGCTCGGTTTTTGCACTCTGGGCTTCACAGTATTCCGCCACGGTCGCACCCCATTCAAAGTGCTCGGTATTGGCTGCAGCAGTCGCCATGGCTAGCAGGCCGATCTGCTTCTGGACTTGGCTACACGGGTGGTTGTCGGCGTCGCCAAGCAAGGCTCGGAGCAATTGGTCATAGCGGGATTTCAAGTAAAAGGGGACGATATTATAATGCGTTGCAAGAAACCGGTTCATCAAGGAATAGCACACCTGTCGTGAAGGCAGATTCAGGAGGGGTTGTTCGGCCTGGTCAGAGCCCGGTGCCGCCGTCGTTGGTCCAAAGAAGATATGGCGGATGCGGAAGAAGTCCAGCCCCTGGTCCACCTCGTCTGTATCACCTCGGCTGAATTGAGGAGCCGACGGATTCGCATGGATGTAAAGACGGCGATAAAGATGCTGGAGGAGAGAGAAGTCCGAGGTTGGGCCATAGTACAATTCCACTGAGTCCGATGAAGACGATTTTTCGCGGGCGGACACACTCTTGTGCACATCCCTGTAGAGGTGCGATGGAGGTTCACTAGGCCGGTGCTGGTGCTCCTTCGGCTTCTCCCCGGGACTAGCTAGATCTACCACTGATGCTGATTCAGTCAAGGTCTGACTACGGGCCTCTTCCAGGTCACCAAAGGGCGCATCAGGCCCCTGAGCGGATGGTGGTGGAATGGCTGTCCCCGGCCGCTGACGCACACGAGCTCGTTTCCGAAACTGGCACACGGTATTGCGTCGCTGACATGTCGAGCACGGATTCAATCCATCGCATCGAATTTTGCGCCTCCGGCATTCTTGACATGCTTTGGAGATCTTAGTCGTAAACATGCTGTGTTAAGTGACTACCATCCAAGACGGAGATATTGGTTGTAAATTTAGAAAGCGAACGCGGATGACACGGGAAACGCTCCGGATTTGGATCCTGGTCACATGACTTTTATACCATCATCTCCGCCACCGAGAAAAAGTCTGGACAACATTGTTTCCCATGATTGCGCCGAGAGTCTACATATGGAGATTCTTTCTTGGGGGGTATTGATATAGGCTGTTACGTCGATTACTTCATGTGGTTTTCTTTGTTCACTTAGGACACCAAAAGTCCGACATGCTCGTCTATGCAGGATACGGATATATATCAGACAGGAATACACCATATAAGAACCACTACGATGAAGGAATAGCAACACTTCAAGAGCAGGCAGAAAAATCATGACATGATACAGTTGTTAGGGAGGCCGCATGGTCCCCCGGCGGGTTCATCGGATATGGTATGATAAACCGAAGCCTTTTCGTGAAGCTGTACGGGCTGCAGGGCTTCTTGTGATACTGCGTGGCCTGATAGATCTGGCCCGACCACTGGCATCGCTGTCTGCGAGCTATCATATAGTCAAGTGGAGTTGAGACGGGAAACATGTTCATAGAACGATCTCCCTTGCGTCTCGGCAATCGAGAGCTCCAGCTCACTAGGCTGGCGAGATCCATCCGCGTCCTGCAGCAGAGAGACAAATTAGCTGCGGTGTGAACTGGCGAAATAAGGAAGAAGACGGAGGCACAAACACTAAAAGTACCAGCGCCCCAGGCGCTTCCACCATGGACCTCTTGAAGGTTCGTGAGGAGGGGGAATGCCGTCTTATAGCCGAGGGGTACATATATGAAGCCGTGGTGGGCTAGGGTACTCATGGCTGCCAGAGCAGTTGACTCCTGGCCACCGCCCTGGGTGCCGGTTGAAACAAACAGGCCGGCATACTTGCCCCAGTAACCGCCTGTCGCCCAAATGCCGCCCGTGCGATCCCAGAAAGCCCTCCACTGCGCAGGAAAGTTCCCGAACCGCGTGGGAATGCCGAAGAGAACTGCATCATAATCGACTAATTGCTCCGGCTTGATCACGGGGATAGATGATTTGGGGGGAGCGTGCATTTTGGCCAGAACCTCAGCCGGCAGCGTCTCTTCAATCCTGATGATGTTGTCTTAGCATGCTGCTGAGGGCTTCGACAAAGCATCAATCACAATGTGCTTACTGGTAAAGGTCGGCATGACCCCCGGCCGCCTGGATTCCTTTCAATTCTGCCCGAGCTAATGTCTCGATATGGCCGTACATGGAGTACTATCAAGCAATCCAGATCAGAACTCAAAGGTCAGATCTGAGAAAGGTAACACACTCACAAAAACGATGGCAATCCGTGGAGCCATGGCGAGTAGCAAACAAAAGATGGTCTTCTAGAACAAGCAGGACTGGTGAGGGTAATGTGCTGCCAGGAAACAGCCAAGTGTACCTGGGATAAGGAGCATCTCTGTATAAATAGCTCGATCGCTTATCCAGCGGGCTATTACATTACATACCTGGAAGCGAAGGCTAACCCACGAATAAACCTTGTGTAGCTATTGGTAATAACCATAGTGGATCCGAGTCGCATCAGCTATGCTTGAAGATTATGTCATGATCCGCCCAAGCCAGTTAAATCCGTCCGCAAATCCGTGATCCGGCCAGACCTGCGGACTTGGGTGCAGAATCCCTCGCGGCTCCTCTCACCAATTCTCTTCTGCTGATAAATGCTGATGAATGATGCTATATTGATTAGTACTCAGAGATGGAGAGGTAGCGTGCGTGTTTCAGCCTGGTATACAACTTTAGCTAAGGACTCTGAAAGTCTTCCGCCCATGCCGCGGCCATGATCCCCTATCCAACTGAGGTATCAGTTTTTCATCGTTGTAGTTGAAGTGATCCTGCCTGCCCTCGCCCCTTGATCTTGCACACCTCTTCAACGCATCCCCATGTTGAAAGACAGCGTTCGTCGTGTTATCACGGCTGTATCGCCACAATCGCCCAGATTCATTACGCATAGCAATGCGAAAACAGCGCCTACCATGACTATCGAGCCACAAGACTATCCGCCCCTGTCTGCAGAAGAGTTCAAGGTGTACAATCGTGCTGCTGAGCAAATGGACTACTTTGTCAGTTCTTCCTTGCCCTCTTCCTCTCCTTCCCTTGTTCTCCTTACGATTTTGATTTCGTTTTTTTCCTTGTCGCCCTGGCTGGTGTGAGTAATAAGCCATTATTGACATATCTATGTGGCAACTTTCAGCATGGATTCCTCCGTCGCTCGTGGAATATCCTGTGGGAGGCCGCGACCAGTGGCCGACGACCAGCCCACATTAGCATGGGGCAGTTCCTGACCGAGGGGCTGCGGTTCGCCGAGCACCTCGAGATCCACCACCAGATCGAAGAAACGCGGATCTTTCCGTACTTGGCGAAACGAATGCCTGAGTTCCGCACGGGGCGAGGCCGGCAAGCAGCTGAGCTTTTGCGGCAACATCGCGAGATCCATGCCGGGCTGGAGGGGTTTCAGGAATATCTGGACAGATGTCTGCATGGAGACGAGGAGCTCCAGCTGGATGTGCTGCGGGGCAAGATGGAGGGGTGGAGGGAGGTGCTCTGGACACATCTCGATCAGGAGGTCAAGACGCTCGGGGCGGAGAATATGAGACGGTACTGGAGTAAGGAGGAGATGGCAAGATTACCTATGTAATGGTCGCGTATCAGGTGGTCTGCATACAGTAATGTACAGTACAGCTGGACTGAGATATGCCTGTAGTGGCCCTTTACCTTCACGGTCTTTGATTTAATAATACCTTATGCTGGTACTCTCACAGCAACCTTGAAGAACACAAAACTTGTCATACATTGGCAGATATGAGCTTAATCTACTTCCTGGAAGGGGTAATCATGAATATACTCTGAACTAAAAGTGACTTTGATATTAGTGTAGCTTCAGAGATTGCCTGCAGTATTGATTGGTTTCCTCTATACAATGGTGGGATTGCAGAAGGGAATGTGATGGGAAGCGTGAAGAGACATGGATTCATGGCTATCAGGAGAACTAACTAACTTGGTGACCGGAAGGCGGTAAGCTGCCCAGCCAATGGAAGGCTGGCCCGGCTCTCCGTCAGAATGTAACCTAGAATCGATATGATCTATTATTATAACCAAGATTTGACTTGCGCTTATGCGGGAAGGGCTTATGCGGGAAGGGCTTATGCGGGAAGGGCTTATGCGGGGAGGATACTTAATTAGCTAACTACCGGCGCCGACGAATTCTTCCAAACCCCGCGCTAGGAACAAATCTACACTAATTGATCGGTGCCAGACTTTGCAGGATTCATCCCCTAATATTTCTCAATGAGACTAATTCTACATTCTTTGACTAATTATACATTCTATCGCAATACAGAGAGACCGATAACACTTCTCCCAAAGCTACCTGTACCCATAAAGGGCACCGCGTTCAGCACACTTATGGGTATGTCCACCATGCTCAGGACCGACAATGTCCCTCACAGAAACTGTTCGCCATACCCATTACCCTCACCAGTCTGCGTATCGGCGAGCGGAACCCGACCGTACGAGAAGCCCGACTCGGGGAATTCACCCTCCAAAACGGGGTAGGCCTTGGTTTTCCAGATCGCCTGGATCTTCTTCGCGGTGGCGAGGAAGCGCTCGCGTACGGCCGGGTAAGTGCTGCTGACAATTTTTCCGTCCTGCTTCTGGAATTTACCGTCGACGAGCACATGCTTGATGTCGCCCACGTTGGCGTGCAAGATGACGGCCGCCACAGGGTCGTCCCAGCCGAGCATACCGGGAGTGTTACCATCCCAGACGACCACGTCGGCCTTGGCTCCCACGGCGATGACGCCGAGGTCGGGTCGGCGCAGGGCAAGACCGCCCTTGCGCGTGGCTAGTAGGAATGCCTGGTCGACGGACATGGGGTTGTTGGACGGAATGTTCCAGTTCTGCAGCACCCAGCGGTAGAAGGCGACACGGGCGCTCTGAAGCCAGAGCCGTGCCTGCGTCAGGATGTCGGTCGAATAGGTGAAGTGCGTGTCGACTCCCAAGGCGGCCTGGTCCTGGATCAGGTGGCTGTGGGGATGGTCGTGGCCGTAGTGCATCTCCGATTCGGGGGTGATAGAGATATACTGGTTCGTGCTGCGCAACAAGGATGCGCCCTCGCCGGTCAAGAAACTTGCGTGGGAGAAGACCACGGGAATGGTGGTGTTAAGGATCCCCAGATCATTCAGATCCTCCGGCGAGTTGATGGCTATACGCGGAACTGATTAGCAAGCTGGTCCACTTGACTTTGATCTCAAGAGGGGCAACATACCTCCCCAGATACCCTGCAGGGAGTGAGTGGTGATGACCGAGACGTTATATTCCCTAAAGAAGAAGCCTCGGTTATTGATGAACTTCCCAAGATTTGGTCTGACAACAGGTAAGGCAAGACATACTTGGCCAGCTCAATGACCTTTTCGGTCTCGGCCGGACTACCAGGGTTGAACCCATCGTAGGCGATGCCGAGGCTGGTGGCCGTGCCGTCGAAGCGGCCGCTATTGGCGAGTTCCTCGAACTTGTTCACTTGCTCGGTAAAAGTGTAATTCGTCACATTGTGGAAGGTGTAGCACCAAAACATCCGAGCACCACTGTCAATGGTGGCAGTCAGACCCGCCTCGGTGGTGTCATTGGACCAGATGTGGTGCGCATGGTCTAGGATTGTGGTGACTCCAGCGTTCATCGCTTCGTACAGACCCGCCAACTGACTGATGTAGACGTCTTCGGTTTGGTTTCTCATTTTCGCCAACTACATCGGTTCTGCGACTTACACCCCCGGCATTACTGGTGTTAGCAAGGTAGCAACTACGCTCGGGCTGGCACTCTTCATGGTGGGCTATGAAATTGGTTCGCAACCCACCACCTTCTACTGTGACTTTAGAGAGACCCTTTCCAACTGACCATTGCTTTGACTCGGACCCATACTTTGGTTGTGGCTTTGGGAGCTGCCTATTATCGGGGAGCCATCATCAAATAACTACCCGGACCATCTTTTTCCTCTTCAGCTTTGCTGTCATATACGCCCAGAACTTTGGCTTGTTCCTTGGGTTTTGATCTTTGATAGGGGTCTTTAAATATTCCGTTCTTGCCGCTGAGGCGGCATCGATGGGTGATCTTGGGGATTCTCAAGTGCACGAATATATGATTCTAGGCTGGGGATGTTTTGTGGTCTCCGCTCCGGTCCTCCGGTCCCTGATCGGCAGCTTCACCAACCCCCTGGCGGGGTTGGACAAGGATGATTTGACTACTGCTGTGGATGTCTGCCGAGGTCCTCATATTCGTATCATCTTTGTTCCGGAGACCTTTCCCCTTTAAATCCTTTAGAAGCCCTGATTCGACCTTTCCAGCTCTATTTCAGGAGCCGAGTGACTTCCCGATCAAGGTGTAATGTACATTGCTCTTATCTACGGGATTCTCTACTTCAAGTATGCACCCTTCCCGCTTGTCTTACTTCGAAATCACGATGATCAACAACTTGTAAAGAATATGTCTGATTATTGGTAGTTTCTCTATCATGTCTTCCGATGGTAGAACACGTGTATGAACACTTATTACCAAGAAGTATAGTTAATCGGTGAGTAACAAGCCCAAAGGCTAGGTGGTGGAACTTTACTGTTACCGAACGAGTCGTGCTCCACTGACTAGTCCCGTAAAAACAAGGCACCACCAAGCACCTTATATCTCGTCTAACTGCCCACTTGAAGCTTCAATTTCTTCTCTTTCTCTCTGGCTTGGCTCCATAAAGATATACATTTCGGATCCAACCTTGATAGAATTTCCGACATGGTTGTTTCGGCTCAAGACTTTCTTTTCGACCCCAATATCCAAATGTATTCCAACTGGGGATTCTTCGTCTACTACGCAGCATTCTCAAAGGAATCCCCACCCTTCGCCGTATGACTATGCATCCTTTGTGGCTCGATAACAATCATAAAATCACATTGAAGATCCGAAGCTTGAAGTTAGTTTTGTCGATTTTTTACTACATAAGATGAGCTAAGTCAAATCAACATTGCAGAATGGGAGCATTAGAAGACCGCCCAGAGAAACACAAAGGCAACTTAAATCCTCCAAAAGGGTTTTCAATTCGAAGAGGCTAGTCAACATCGATTCGAGAGGCGATAAGGTAGACCAGCAGAACGAGCTGCGGGTCCCTGTTGTTGTGGTTGCTGCCCCAGGAAACTAAAGTACCACGTGGGCTTTCCGTGGTGGATCCGACACCCACGATCAAATCTGTCGTCGCTTTCCAAACAGATCCAGTAATCTTTCTTATCAAAGTGCTGATCATCGCGAAGATGGTCCTTCTCGGCCGTTCCGAACACGCAATCAAGACAGAGCCCTTCAAAGAAGCCTGCCACGCGACTCGCCGCACATCTGACAACACCGTTCCAGTTTGCGGTGCACACGGGACAGTCTGCCGGTTGGTCCGCTGAGGGTTCGATATACTTGTGCATTCGATCTGCTTCAAAGTGGGCTAAGCGGTCGATCAACTCGTCAATGCCTTGGTGTCTCAAGCACTCGTTGAGAGGCCAGACCTGAATTCTCTGCAGCTCCCGAAGGTATTGAAACACGGTGCACTTGCAACAAGGTGGCAGTGATATTTGAAGCATGCTAGAAACGCGGCCAAAAAGGTCGTGGATGGCATCGTGGAGAGTGGCACGGGCGGCGTTCAACTGCCCTATTACATCCATACAACTTAGGTGTTAGCAAGGAGGACGTCGCTGTGTTCGAGGGGAGAAGAAGACACGTTGGACAAGAATGACTGAGACTGTACAATCGAACTTACGCAAAATCGGCGCGGAAATCGGCATTCGCACATTAGGTGGGCACCACGCGGTGATATGCTCTGTGCTCTGGTACATAAGGGCCTTCGTTGTCCGAGCAAAATTGTCGCATGTTCCAGAGCGCAGCTTGGAAGCAGGATCTCTCGATAGAAGCTCAGTTCCATGCCTGGGTCGACCTGGCTTTCTTTGTGGGTGCACCATACCTCGAACCATTGTGTAAGGTTCTGGGCAGATGCGAAATAGTCGGCAGTCGAAATTCAGACACCAGACGTCTGCCAAAGAAGCATCGTCCACGGCTTTCTGGTCCAAAGTATTGTGTAGCTTCCGCAAGATGATCTCCAATGCAGTGATGCTGTGGCAATCAATCTCAACAACAGTCTTTCGCCTATTCAGGGGCTGTTTCTAGTTTGCTCTGGAAATACTGGGACGAGTTGAGAAGTGTTGTGGGGTCAACTCGAAACGTGGCGTGTTTGTAAACAGGAGCATCCTCGAAGGGTTGGTATGTTGGGTTACATGCAGCTCCAGTTGAATGGGCTAATGATAGAGACAGTGCCAGGACTCTTCCTGTTCACAATTCGTGGTGGGGACATCTTGCAGTGTAAAAGTGGAATTACTTAAAGTGGAAGAGCGCAAATGTCGAGTTAACAAGATCGGCTAACTCGTAAAATTTTCTGTGGTAGTTGAGTGAACAAATGCACAGTACAAGCTCAGTGGTATTTGGCAGAAATAGAGCATGGATCGATGGATCGAATGACGCGGTGAGTGAGTAAGAAGTGCGGTGTACGGAGGAACCTTGCCGAGCAATGGGTTCATCTTATCCATCGATGTTAGCGTTGATAAATGCAAAAATAAAATGCTGCAAGTAATATGAGAATTGACATTGTACAGAATAACTTCAAGCAACAGCTGGTCAATTTGATCCAGTCACATGATGCTATCTAGTTATCTATAATTTCAGTCAACAGATCAGCGACACAGGGAATTCGGTCCAGGCTGACTGGGGTAGATGGCTCCCTTTGAATTTTTGCTGCAAATGTTTCAAGGGCGCCGCGCAGACTTATCCTCATAAGAGAACCCCCAGATTTCACAGGCTGCACGGGACCTAGAAGCTTTTGGTCGAGACTCTGCCAAATGAGAAGATAGACACAAGAGTTATGTCCCCATGTAAGCCATTTAGTACAATCTGGGGCGATCATTCTCGAGCAATGACCTCGTAACTATGTCAGTTTTAGATCCTTTGTTCGATCGGCTGTGAGCATCGAATTCCAAATAGTATCTAAGCCTGGGCTGAATATCACATTCACTTCTCTGTCTCTCACCGCAGTGGAGTGTCTTTTTGAGGTAGCAGAAGTTGGTCTTCGGGCTGCTTTCGAATTCTCACTGTAACACCACGCACGGGCCAGATTGAGCCTCACAGCCTGGAAAAAAAACACTGGGACACACATGTGGTCTGTCATGATCGATTGAGCCATAAGTGTTACTGGCAGTGGTACCTTAGCCACTGGCGAACTAGCTGGTCACAACACAAACTAGTAGCCAGGTGAGCTTGCCGGAGTTGTCTCTGACATTGCAACACACTCTTCTTTCTTCATTCCTCTCTTCCACTCCAGCTTCATTCCTCCCCACTAGACCGACATCCTTCACCACACCTCATCTGACTAGCCTTGCGGGCTCTAATCAGTGCACTAGCTAGCTTACAACATCTCCTTCCTCATCTCATCACACACGGGACCAACACGATGGCTACCTCTTCTCAGCGAAGAACCAAGGATGCTCACAGGCATCATCTTGGCATGCTCCCCCAACCTGAAGCTCGTGTCGTTCAGGAACCTTCATCCTCCGTACAGCACAATGGCCGACCGAGAACCCAGATTCGCGTGACGATGGAGGTAAGTCGTGCTACACTCCTGAGTACGACTCCTAATTTCCGACACCTACTGACTGCTGCTACGCCGGCTGCCAATTCTCAAAACGTGCTTTCCATCACGCTTCAGACTGATGAACTGAAGGCTATGGGAATCCTCCTGTGCCAGCTCCACCACACTCTCGGTGAGGTGACCAACAGTGAAGTTACGTCCGTGGATGTGTGGTTTCTGGCGCTGGCCTGTGAGAATTACGGGGTCGATCCCAAGGACAAGGACTTGGTAGGATGGTTCAAAAAGTGGCACAAGAAATATTCTACAACAAACCTGCTGGACTCAGACTACAAGACATTGGTCTACCATCGACAGCTTCTGTACCCGAGTTGGGTGTTTGACCATGCGTTCCTCTTTGCTCGGCTGACGAAGGAACTGGTCTATGGAAGCGAAGGGTATATTAATGAGATCAACCCAAAAAATGTGGAACATCTGCAATTGCCACCTCGCGTCCTGCGTGGGTTTCTTAACAACACCTCCCACCCCCACCCCGGCGGAACCTGCTAGCTAACGCAAACCGCTTGAACACATCAGAGCAAATCATCTCCACCCGCAGCCGCCTGCGTATCATCGCTCACGAGACCTCTTCAATCGTGTCGCACGCATCGTCGGCTCCGCCACCTGCCCCTGCCGCCAGAACATGACATTCGAGTATCTACGCGAGCTGCATCGGATCGGTGTGTGGCCGTTCGAGGAGTACATGCCGCGCAATAGTATCAGTGACCTGCTCGGCCGCCTGTACCTCTCTGATTCGGATGAAATGCGCCCATCTACTGGCAGAGGCAGGCCGAGAAGAGCTATTGCTGCCGTTGGTGACGATGTCGTCGCCCTGTCCTGCGAGTCCTGAACCCAGCAACCGACGTGCAAAACGTCTGGGACACGGCTGAACGGACCTCGCGAGTACCCTGGAAGCGAGTTCCGTGCCTACATGAACAAGCGCGGGCGGTATGATGGGGATTATTGGATCCTTCACGGTAAAGCGTCTTTGGTATTCAGTTTCATGAGTCCCAGGCAGGAGATGGATTAGTCCTGCCTCATGTGTTCCCGATAATGTTTGTCCGACCTCGGTAGCTGGTATGGGCTGATTCCACTTCTGGGATGATATTCGTAGTGCTTGGTAAAGCGTCTGGGCGTTTCAACGTGTTATGGGCACCATCCATCCGGATGAAAACTTGTTGAGAAGCATGGGCATCGCACTGATTGTGGAACACATTGTGTTCATCAGCTCCTTCGCAATAAAGAGGATAATCGTAAGAACTCAATTCAGTCAAGGTTTGCCTCAATTCCGAGAGCAACAACCTCCTTCAAAAACAAAACAATCAAAGTCATTTGGGAGTCGTTCTGCGTTCCCCTTTCGATCGACCCATAAACTTGCGACCTACCTTCCTCTCTATGCAATTGAAGACATTTCAGCAACTTTAAGAAGTCTCAATGCTCATTTGAGCGTACAAGAATTGCTATAGCGCAACTAAGTCCTCGATGATATTATTCAACAACACTTCCATCACTTTAGCACTCCTTTATCAGGCATTCGCCCGAAGAGCTGCTTCAAAGCTCATCCAGTACCCATCAACAAGACAGCGCCTTTAGACCTGGAGCTCAAGCCGTAGGTGTTCTCTGCAAGTAGAAAATGCATGAGAACATGGTTCTACCATTCCCAACCCTCAGTCGATCCATCCCAGATTTGGCCCCAACCCGCCATGGATGAAGGGCGCTTGGCAAAACCCCATCCACACCAGTGCAACGGGCTCCAGTTCTCCCTCTTATCCGTGGTCTGAGCCATGAAGAAGCCGACAAAATATCTGCCGTTGCCATCAGGGCTAAATCAATGATTACAGGGTTGGATCCCCATCTCCAGCATTGATGCTGACAGAGTTGAAGACTCAGCATCTTGAATTGCGACGCCCGGCCGTGAAGCGGCGCGAATCCCCATTTACAAAGCTGGCTATGCCTCCATGTCAGCACGACCCCAAGTACCCCAGAGAATAACAGACGCACAGGTAATTCCTCCGGAAGTGCTGACGAATCAATGCCCTTTCTTCAGGCTCCATTTGACCAAAAGGCATTGCTCTCGACCCCGATGCGGCTTGCCAGACGTCGACCGGGCACCACCTCCCACTCAACGTAGCTCAAGAACCCACCCGGATTGAGTCCTGACCCCCCCCCCCCCTCTTGGCATGTGGTCTCGGAGTCCAGTAAGCGCGGGGTAATCTTTGAACCCTTACGCGTCAATTTGCGCAAGGCGACTAGCTCTGGTGGGTTATCCCAGGTCTCCCTGGTCTGGGCTTGCTGGCTGCGGACCGCTGAAGGCTCGGCCTCGGTACCCCCGGTAGGGATCTGCCGATAGAGACTCATGTGAGCTTTGATGTTGCTGTTGGCTTTCTTGCAGATAAGGCGGACGGTGGCGTAGGATGCAGGTAGGTTTTCTGGGTTTCCCTCGCCTAGATGATATTGAAAGACGTGTCCGTTGCATGCCTCGAGAACGGTCCAAGTCTCATTAAGTCCAATGGTGGACTCGATACCGATCTCAACCTGCGTGAATCAACGGTAAAACATGGTCATCACGGCTAGAGGTTAGTTTATGGCTGAGGTTCCCAGGTCGGACAGGTTATGGTTGGAAGGACGAAAACAGAGACAGAGAGAGAGGATGTCCTTGTGGAATTAGTTTGGTACATACAGTATGACTGGAAAGAATGGTTCGGGTGAAGTTTGCGATACTGAGAGAATGAATGACGAAGGAGGGCTGTCACAGGCAGAACCATGAATGTAAACCTTCAATGCGTGATGTGGGGGCGTACAAATCAAAAATCTTATTCACTCTTCTGATATTACATCCACACTTCTTGCTCAAACCCTGGGTCCTGATGGCTGCGACTCTGCTGTTGTTCCCGGGTAGGCCTAGCCATCTAACAGATATCTCATGCATCAGACCCTATCAAGCGCCCGTCCGGTATCCTCATGATACACTTAAGCGATAAACGAGACGGATCAAACCATAAGAGATTGCAATTCTAGTGTTGGTACTCAATGAATGTCTTTAACCAAGTTCGGGGAGTATTTGTGTAGTACGAAGACTGTGTCCACTGATTTCGTATTATATTGAACTATTGCAGGGTATGTGTCTAACAATCTCAAGTATGCCTCTCCTCTCATTCGTTATGCACTGGTGGAGTTAAAAATTGATGCTCACAAGGCTTGGGCTCTCCGCAATTGGTGGTACTCAGATCCATGAGCTCTGTCGGAGGTGAAACACGTAGGTTCAGGAACGATTCGCGATTGTCGCCGACGCTCTGGTACTGAGTTTCAGGCTCCTTTATACGGACGGCATTGATCCCTGAAGTCAGCAGATAGACCACAAGCACCAGCACATAGACCATATTATACAAGCAAAAGATCACATCAACAACGCTTGCCGCCATTGGTGAGCCTTTGAAGATACCCGAGAATATGGGGATGCAGACGGAGGTCAAGAACTCGATGATCGCCACTGCGATGGCGCGACGATTCATGCTTCGTTCTCGACAAGGGCGAACCCAGATCACGAGACTCATCATGATGACATTGATAACCAAGAGGGTTATAGCCTGTGGAACTGGAGCAGACTGACTAACAGCAATGGTAAGCCCGCCCGTAAAGTCGTATAGTTGTTGTATGGCAAAGAAGTAGTATCTGTCGGCTGTATGGAAGAACTGAATTAATCGCACATCCTTTGCGTCAATGAAGCCCGATGACAGAGTGTATGCTGCGGTCAGGCCAGACTTCTGACCTCTCTGGACGCAGAAGATGGTTCTCACTGCAATTCACCCGAGGCATACGGTGATCCCGGCGCACCAGGTTATGGCCAAACCAATATTCTGGTGGAATCAAGCTGTGTGAACTCCCAAAAGGCAAATCGGACAATTGAGGGGAGGGCAACGGTCAGAAATAGAAGGCACAGGCCTCTGCTAGTGTTCAACAAGCGCATAGGTGCGGACTCAAGCCAGCGCGGAAGCTTGTTCTTGTTCGACCTTTTCAGAATGGCATGCCCCAGTCTAGCTGTCGCCAGCCCCACAAAGAGAATAACAGCGACAAACATGAATGAGAAATATGCCGTCATGAATACATTAGTGGGCTCAATGCCAGCTCGGTATAGGCCATTCGAGTAATGCCTTTCACACTGTTTTCGTTATCCTTTGACACGTTCGAACCCGTTCTTCGGGGAAGACTCCTGCCAGAACTGAGCACAGCATCGGAGAACCCTCGCTTCTCTACAATCACTGAGATGCTTCTGAGTTGTCCACTACAGTAGAGGGGGTACCTCCTGTCGCACGCAAGTACCAGCGACCGAACGACTGGACAAACCCGAACCGTACAATTCCAATAGTCCACTGGAACATTTGTGTCCAGGACTGTGCTATAGGTGGTAGCCTGACTGAGCAGAGGCCAAACATTGCTTGCGACTGCATGAAGCCCAACAAATCCAGTGACGTGACGGAAAGCTGTGTGGCGGAATGAAGATGGCCTCGGATCATGGCAATAGCGGAGCCGATCAAATCCAGCCCAGTCATGACCGCAAGAACCCACGAAACAGCCGCTTGATCGACAGTGCGCCCGTTGGAGAGAACAGCTGAAAGACATGCTATAGACTTTCGAGCCGAGTCACTGTAAATGTATACGAGATTGTGGAATCGAGGTCCGGAACAGTGTAGCCATTACCTAGCTCACAGTCGCGGTCAGTTTGGAATATTATGGCAAGAATAAAGAAGTGGTCATGTCACTTACCTGGAGTCACTGACACGATGGATGGCACGTTCACGCTTGCCTGGGGTATATCGAGTGCGCCAGATGCAAGTGGACAGAGGCTGTGCCGGCCCAGGTCACACAGGCTGATCGTGTCGTTGAGGATCTGGTATCCATACACCAACAGCACCACATCTGCGGTATATTGAGATATCCGGTAAACGCGATGTCGAGAGTTTCAGACCGTGTCAATCTGGCATCGAAATAGGTCACGCTGATGGCTGTGTTGGGGCCACAATTTGCCAGAGCAGACGTTGAGATGGATTCGTCAGCAAGGACAAATCGAAAGAAGGATATCATGAGCAACAGCCGAGATTTCAATTGAGATTGTGCACGCATCCTTGAACGTTCTGGTGTTCAGAGGGTGTAAAGAAGGTGATGTGGGTCGAAGGAGGAATCACCATAGGCGGGAAGGCGAGTGTCTTGGTGGAAGAATGATTTTCAACGATAGCATTAGCCTCGGATTGTGACTGTGACGTGTATTCCGTAACCTAAATTCTATTCTCGGACCTCGTTACTCGCTCTCGGCTAATTTCATCCAATATATTGGTGCGTACCTGATCTCAAAATGCATACCACCATTCTATATGAGTGGTCAAATGATGCTGATTGATGGTACCGAACATTACTCATGGAGAGCAGTACATCTGTGTGGTCCCCCGACTGAGCTAGGCCTCGTCTAAAGAGATCATAATACTGCATGGATAAGCTCAAGTCCGGGCCTTTCCGTACGGAAGCAGCTCGTCTGCTGGATTAAATATCATACTAAGGCCAGACAGACACTGGCTCGGCAAACGCTGCCACAGCCTCATTCAGGCACCCCACTGGTCGAGAGAAAGTGTGGAGGGAAAAGGATCCTCAAACCTCGGTGGTCGGGAGGTCGGCAACTCGGAGCCCCGATGCTCCGATATATTCTAAATCCCGCATGTATGGAGAGTGGCCCAAGCACAAGTAGAAGTTGAATTACGTTGTCCACCCGCTTACATAGGCGGCTGTCATTGCGAATTCCTCATGAGCGAAGTGCCATAGGTAGTTGGCTATAGCAAGGCATGGATTTGCTAGGTCGATCTAGCTTGAGACCCCCCCCTTGTCTACTGTCCGGCTGGGTTCCAGTGGAGACGATGACGCGGAATCCCGAAGCCGAGCTCTGTATAAATGGACGCTTGGGACAATGTGTTTGCTTTCCATTAAGGAGAGTAGCCGATTTACACTATTGAGCCGATCAGTATGCTCCCTCTTCCGTCATGACTCTCAAAGTCGAGTATATGGGAGAGTACAACTATGTACCCTCCGTTGCGGCCGCGTCCGTCTTTGCTGTCCTTTTCGCAGCAACGACATTTTACCACACCTTTCAACTGTCTCGAACAAGGACCTGGTTCTTCATTGCCTTCACGACTGGCGGCTACTGTATGTATGCACGATCAATTATGTTCCCCCGAGCGGTCGTCGCTGATACAAGGACCGGGAGATGAGTAGTTGAGGTGGCGGGATACATTGCGGTCAGTCTCCATCCCTCATGCTTTCATCTCACATTGATCTCAGGAGAGCAAATCATAATGTCGCTAGGTATAGAGGGCTATCTCAGGTAGCCAATATCCCAACTACAAGCTGGGCCCAATAGCGGTCCAGACGATCCTCATCCTCATCGCGCCCTCCCTCTTCGCCGCCAGCATCTACATGACCCTCGGTCGCATCATCATCATAACAGGGGGCGAGCAATTCTGCATTGTGCGGCGCTCGTGGTTGACCAAGCTCTTCGTCTTGGGAGACATTATAGCCTTTCTCACACAAGCTGGAGGTAAAAGCTCCTCCTTTCCCTTCGTTCTTTCCCTTCCAGCGAGGTTACTAACTCAACACACAATCCCCGCCCGACCAACAGGCGCATCAATCCTTGTCCAGCAGAAAGCCAGCAGTTTCTCCACCGGCGAGACGATCATCAAGATCGGCCTCATCATCCAGATCATCTTCTTCGGTCTCTTCATCCTAACCAGCGTGCTCTTCCACGTGCGACTGGTCAAATCCGGGTTTGCGGAGCGGTACAAGAGAACTGTGCCGTGGAGACGACACATGCACGCGCTCTACATCGGCAGCGTCTTTATCTTCATCCGGTGCATCTTCCGTCTGATCGAGTACGACCAGGGGAAGACGGGCACGCTGTTGCAGCACGAGTACTGGGTGTATATCTTTGATGCGGCGATGATGCTGATCGTTATGGCGGTGTTCAATTGGGTCTATCCATCGGAGGTCAAGGAGCTCTTGAAGGGGACTTATAGATGCGGGTCGGGGACAGAGTTGCCGTTGCATGAGTGATTAATCTGCGAATGCGCAGAAGGTGTGGGGAGGAAATTGCACATACGTCTCAGTGGCACGGTGTGTGGGCCAGCAGTAGGACTGGGAAACATGTAATGTGTATTTACTACACTAGTATGTAGACTTAAGAATCAAGATCACTGCTCGTAACAGTTCTGGGCATGAGAAGAAGATCACAGTACTTCGATATTGCAAAGTAAATTCGGATCAGAGCTCAGCTGAGAAACCTACGAAGCTCTGGTCTCCTTTCTGCGAGACAGCCGGCGGGAACGGTGACAGAGGGACGCAGGTACGGTAGCAACGCGCCGATGGCGACGTTCATCAGCAACCCGCAGATCGGGGCGGGGAGGAAGTACAGCGAGAAGGTCAGGGCGGAGACGTCGCGAACGTCTTGGAGGTATAATGCTGTGAGTTGTTCGCCGGCGTTCAAGGTGCCCCAGAGGAGGAAGACGGTGATGCAGATGCTCGTGAAGGGGAGGTTGGTCCAGAGCGTGTTGTGGATCAAGGCCGGACGATTGCGGCGGGTTTGGCGGTGCATCCAGTAGATAAAAGCTGGGATGAGCAGGGTGGCGATGCAGAGCAACAATATGTTGAGTGGGGAGGCGAAGGTAGTAGACTCATCAGTGCCGCTTGTTGCTACGGCGAGTTCGTAAGACAAGAGCGCAAGGCTGATGCTGATGAGCAGGGCGCCGACCTAGTCGACTTCCTGGGCGAGCCGTGTGAGCGTGGGTTTTCCCAAGGAGGTGTCGGTGGGGGTGGGTGAAGCCCAAAGAGCGAGAGCCAGGACGGCGCCGTTAAGAAGGGCGGTCGCGTGGAATCCTCAGCGCCAGCCGACAGTGTCGGAGAAGATGCCCCCCAATGCTAGACCGAGGCCGAAGCCGACCGCCTAGCCCCCACCCATTGCAGCGAAGGCCATACTGCGTCGACGCGGATTCTGATTGGCGGGGAAGACGTTAGCAGTGACACCAACCGCCCCGGGGAGGCAAAAGGAGACGGCGATTCCTGCGACAACGCGCAGGGCGATCAATTGTGTGGAGATGCGGGCGAGGCCAGCTCCTACCGCACTAGCTGTTTGTATTAAGCCTCCCAGTAAGCACGCGCGGCGGCAGCCGAGAATGTCAGTGGCAGCCCCGAAAGGGAGGAGAGTACAACCATATGCGAGGGCAAAGGCCGAGGTAGGCCACAGCTGGAGGGCAGCTGGGATCTGTAGCTCGGTCGAGATGGTCGGAATGCATACTGTCAACAGGCCTGCGAGCAGATTGCCAAGGCCGGTGATGCAGGTAATGCAGGTGATGATCGCCACCATTCGGCTCGTAGACATATCTTCCCGTGTTCATGTTGTTCGAATTGTTGTGGAAAGGCAAACGTTGCATGATCCGACTCAGGATTTGAAAATGCGCCAGATCGGGTTCCACTGCTGATGTTATCTCGCGTGGCCATTGTTGAGGGGATATAACTTCGCACAGAAGACGAAGGCTCTGCAGCCTGAGAACTTTTGTGCATAGCTCGTGTCAAAAATTCCTTTCGAGTCGAAGTATCTTGATCGAGCTGGAGAGACTTGCTATAAGAAACCGAAAAATTTATAAAACTCTATGTGGCTAGCTTGGCGGGATACGGGAGGAAATCCCGCTCGGCCTCCACTGCGGACCCTACACATACTATGCGTAAGTAGGTAGGGTGCGGGCGCCCCTGGATACATCCCTAGCGCATTTTTTTACTAAGGTGAATTGTGATAATAAGCGAGGTCCCATGCAGGAAGAAGTCCAATCAAGAAATCCACCTATGTACATTACAACTAGTTAAGAGTTAATGATCCTCATGATTTACTTCGTTGAATCGACACGACAATGCGTGGAGACAATGTTAGATAGAACCTGGACTAATAGTATCGGCCCTGATGGTAGTACTGGTTTTGATTCCAGTCCCGTCTATCACGGGAAGTCAAAACGATGAACCTATTATGCGTTAGCGAGATGGTTGCAGAACAACGATATCTACCGGGCGGTGTTACAATGCATGGATTATGCCCGGAATGTCACCGAGCAGAGTCAGGACGATATTAATGCAGAGATCGGGTCCACATCCCCGCTTCAACAAGACTGCGAGAGGGGGAATGAAAATGGCTAGTATGACAAGGCAGACGTCTCTGCAGCGGCAAGCATAGTTAGTCACGTGGCCACCGTTCGGGCATATTCGTGGCAAACTCACGAAGCTGTGGCTGGCATGACGGCGATAGCACACAGGACAGAGTTAAATTAAATATAATATATGTTGCGTGTGCAATATTTTCGAGTTACATATTAATGACACGGACGACGTAGCTGTCTTATACATAGAATCAAAAAGTGCGCATCCGGAAACTGACATCATAGACTCAAACGGCCCGTATAACCAGAACCGAGCAATCCCGAGACAGGCACCGCACTCACTACGAAACTACATCACCCCGGCATTCGCCAGGTTCTGGCCCAACTGATCCTCGCGCCCCCGTTCCTGCATCGGGGCTGAGATCTTTGGCTTTGCCCAGTAGATGTATCCTATATCGAGACCGAGTGCCACCAGAGCACAGAAACTAGACAGGTCAGCATCTTATGGGAAGTGTTCACCGTACCATCCAGAATGGCTTACAATGCGATGAAGCTAAATGCCTCTGCGGCATATTTTCGGCTGCAAGCCGTCAACCCATTCCACAGAATGACACGGCAGCTCACAGCGTTGAAGTTCTGCGCCAAAAACACAAAGGCAACGAGCCATCTGCAACACCACGCGTCAGAACATTTCCAGGCATTTCCACACCTACGTGGTAATACTACTTACAAGTAGGACATCACTCCGTCAGTGATCAGTATCGGCCAGATGTGCCATCTCTGGCGCTTGATCATACAGCTGAAAAGAAGCGCCGCAGAGGCGACAACGAGGCTAAGGACAGACTGGACTCGTGTCAGCACGGCAGTGTTTCGAGTTCCAGAACAGCAACGACGGCTTACAATAACCAAACTATAAATGACCGTAAGATTTTTCGTCTCCTGCACAGCCCAAGCAGTGATTCCAAGGACGATCACGGAGCTGATGAACTGGATTACTCGAGGAAAGTAGGACACTAAGCCCAGAGGATGGTTGAAAAGACTCTCCATGATGAAGCTTTACAAGCACAGATTTGCTCGCAGATCGTGGATCTAGCCAAGGCGTTCGGGGAGTTTAGTGTTGTTATAAAGTGTAAGGGTGGAGCGGAGGGCACTGAAGATCTGCTTCCCCGCAATTTCTTTATTTCGAAAGTCCATGATCTCATTACCCGAGGCCAGGTTGGTACAGCGTCTCACAGGGGATACCAACTATCCGGAGATTCCAAGGGAATACGATAAGTGGCTCGATGAAATCACCACTTGAAAGGAACAGTCAAGCGATGCTGAGTCAGAAGGGGCTGGATTTGGCTCGGCTGGCGGTATTGTTACCACTGCTGACCCATCCCGCCTGCGGTTTCAGTCAGCCGTGCTACCACAACCCGTGGTAGTTTAAAGCTTTTCCATGGATCACGATCGTCAAGTACAGTACCATCTCAATCCCAGGTATAGTTTGTAGACCTATCCCCATAGAACTATCCCATGCATTTGAGTGTCCTTTTGCATGTGGTTGACGATTCTGAAGCTTGTTGTTGTCTATCTCTCACTACACGATGGTCACAACCATGGGCGGAAGTCGATACTCTCGCTAAGGTATGAAGGGCAACAGTCTCCATACTGAAGCATAGAAGCTCGGGTTAAAACCATCACCGCCTTTCTCTTTCATATCGCCGCTTGCGTGACTAAGAATGTCATGGTCCACGCACAATGCTATGGTGAGTATGAAGGCCGATGCCATGGCCCGTCAAGTCCGTAATCAACGTCGTGAGGGTATCTAACAGGCTATGATGTCGAACCCTCATTGGTAAAAACAAAAAAGAGAAGTGAAGTAAAGAAAAAAGAAACAAAAGAAAAAAGGTTGACCATCATGTTTCACTTCGTAACATACCCAGCCAGAATGCCATGGTTACATACATACCGAGAAGCATGGGAAGAGGAGTCGGCCACTGATATCCTTGTATGGGTCAACAACCATGTCGCTTGACTCTCCTGCAATTTTCTCCCCGAGGTCGAATCAAGCTGGTTGACCATGTCTCGCACCTTTGATGAAAATACAGCACTTACCGTGAATTTAGATCCAGTTATCTTCGGTGGTTAGTCTATAATAGAGAGAGAAGTATGTTCAGTGTCTAACTCCGCTAATAGTACAGGAGAAGGGGTAAGCTTCAGTCATCTTGAAGGGCGGGGTGCTCAGCCAGCTCAGCAGCCGTTGATCTCTCCGTTGGATCCCACACAAGCATCTTCCCGGTCAAATCCAGAAAGTTCTCTTTGTCTTTACCGTCAAGCAGGGAAAGCGTATCCGCGAGCTTGCGCTCGGGAATTAGGTCCGGATACAGGAACTTGCCTGTCTTGCAATTAGCAATATACTTTATTCGAAATGAGGGAGATAGCTACCTTCATCATCAAAGAAGGGACCATCAAACAAGTCTTCGACCGTGTCACATAGTTTCCCATTACAACCTGTCATTCTTATTTTTGGAGACCACCTTTGATTCGACATTTCCCGGGCTCTTGCAAGCATTTCTGGAGGAGGGGTTCCGAACAAGGCGATCATCTCCGCTAGGTGCGACCTAGCATTATAGTATCCTTGAGCATCGTATACCTGTGTGTACAGGTTACTACCTTGGAGAAGGTTCCAAAGCTGCAAAGTATTAGCAGTTAACACATTGAAGGAACATCAACGCACTAGTATCCCCATATTCCAGACATCTGCGCCCGTGTTCCAGCCACAGCCAAGAATTACCTCGGGCGCCCGGTAGTGATGCGGTTGAATCGGCCAAATGCATTTGGCATCGGGATTGAGCTTGATTGCCGACCCGAAATCCACAATCTTGGGGATATTTCTGACTTTTCTCAGCGGCCCAAATTCATTATGGCAGAGGTAAACATATCGACCGGCGTAGTCAATCTTGTAGTCCATGGGCATCTGGAGTTGCAATGCGGTAAACTCATCCAAGACCGATGGGTCCTCGAAGGTCATCATGATGTTGTCGAGTTTGAGATCTAGGGAACATCTTATCAGCTTCAAATCAGGTAAGCAGATGTTCATCGATTCGTACCTGTATGTACCATCCGACAAACGCGATGAAGGTAATCCAGCCCAACAAGTAGCATTCTGATGTATAGCTTCATCAATGAGAGAGGTATCCGAGCATCGACAAAACGCCATCGAAAGTCACGCATCGATTCCCGCATAGCCTCGTATACCAAGCACAGATGCTTACCCGCTTTACTCTCAATGACAAAAGACTCCAGTGCCGTGCGAAGAAATATTCGACCTTCTTGCATCGCGTCGCTTGGCGGGATGTGTCTTTCGACGGTACATTCGTGTTCCTCTGCGTCGCAATTAGTGTTGCCGATCTTGAGCGCGACGACTGTCTCTTGTTGCCATCTGTATCTGCATCGCGCCTAGCATTAGTGTAACACTTTACAAATGTATCGACAGGAAACTACCCTCTCATATCCCGCGCTAACCATACGGTCGAGGCCATTCCCCAACCGAGCTTAGTAACGAGTTGGTAGCGGTCGGCAAGTATCTCGCCCGGTTTGGCGGGATAGTAATCTTCGGACCTGTAGCCAGGGAATTCTGCCTCTTCGACAGGTTCATCGCGCAATAAAGGGTTCTGTGAATGAGGAATGATAAGAGGCTTCCTCCGGAGGAACGAGAGGTTGCGCGTGCATAGATGGGTAACGGGTGTTGTCTTGTGCAACCTCTTGCAGATGGACAGGGGATCGGCTGACCGTCGAAGGCTAGCCATGGTTGTGGGTGATTTACCCCCAGGCAGGGTATATCACGAGGCAGACGATTCGCGCCTGCACAAAAAGGTTTGGGGTCTGAAAAAAAAAGCTTTAGTGGTGATAAATGCTCGTAGTCAGACAGTGGTACTTGGTGCACTGCCTTCAACTCCTGGAAGATTGTTTGTCACTCGACGTGGATTGTATGTAAACATCACGTGATCCACGGGCTGTCATTGGCTGCGCCTCAGGTATACGCATTTGCGAGCGACTATTTGCATGTTACCAACCTGAATTCATCCCGGCTAGAATGCATTCAGATAGAAAAAATCGTCTATCTTCTTCAGATAGCTATGTGTGGTTCTTGTATACCTCAAATGACACAAGACCTACGTGACTAAAGGTTACGAAGACTAGTACGGCCGGGAGAATGTGCCTAGTAAGGAAACTTTCGAGGTAAGCCTGAGCTTTAGCAGAGAGCTCCGCACTTTAGATACATAAAAGCAAGAGTCGTCATACAGCCGACCAGTAGCACATCAATTTCCACCAAGAAGCATCGTTTTAACCATCCAATCCACTTCTCCAAAGACTCAAGGTCCAAGAATCCAAGCAAAAGAGATAGTTGGCACGATGACAAAGGCTTCTAGACTTTCACCCATCCGGGCTCCTCGCCATCATAGTTGTAACCATCGTTGAGAATCTGGAGATCTTCAATCATCTCCTGAAAGTTGTCCAACGAAGCGATGGATCTTTCGAACTTGGCAGCCTCGTCCTTGGGATAGAAACCCTTCGCCTCATCCCGAAGCAAATGCAAAGTAGCCATTCCAATCCGATCAAACGCCTTTGAGACATACACAATCATCGCTTCCTTTTTATCCACTCCTGCATCGACCGCGGCGTGATACTCCTTGCAAGCCCGAATGATTTCATTGTTCGCATGTCTGAACTGCGCACGGAATGCTGCAAGGTCAACTTGGCCCTCTGCGATACTCTTGCAATCCACAGTGTTTCCATCGAGAAGGTCTTTGAAAATTCTGACGGCGCGCCCGAGGAGGCATTCGGGAGTCTCGTCCTTGTTCTCCACAAGCTCACAAATTGCCACATCCAAGAAGACAAAGGAAGACTTGGAGTCTACTGCAGTCTTACTCTCGACCAGAGCCTTGCGAATTAGAATGAGTCGTTCGATGGTGACGCCTTCGATGGTCGGGTCCGACTCGGTGATTGTCTGGCGAAGACGCTCCGCGACGGGCACTGGGAGCTCCTTGGGGTTTGAAAGGCCGTTGAGAAGCCATCCCAGAGACCCAAAGGCGGTGCTCTTCACAGATTCGTTGACGCCAGAATGAGCGGTTGTTCCCTCGGTGGCACGCTCATTGCTAGGCACAGCTTTCTGTGACATCGAGTTGTCCATGGTGTTTGTTTCTGCACGTATTCATCAGAGACGTACTGAAATATCAAACCAGAGTGGGATCAACCTTTGTTTTACCGGAGCTCTGGCGGTGTAAATCAAAGATGCAAGTTGATCGATCGATCGGATCTCCGCTTGAAGACGATACTCTGTTAGTCTGAGCTCAGCAATCTGCTTAGAATCCGGGACCTCACCAGTCTTAGCTTCCGAGGAAGACTTCTATCAAGAGATCGATATGTGGGAGTAGTATTTGATTCGAGATGATGATGGATGTGTGCAGACAGCCACAGAGACTCTATCCAGGCACTTGCAGGCTGTCTGATCGAGATCGATGACAAAGAGAGAAAGGTTTCAGGAAGAGAAGAGGTGGTGAGGCGATTTTGACGGGGAACCTTTATAAACTGTTGGAAGGGTACAACAAGTGAATCAACAACTTCAGCCCTCGTCTAAATTTCAGCCTTTTGGATATGTTTGGTGAAGTTCTTTGCGATATGTCTTCTTTCTAATTCGCTTCTGTTCCATCATTTCTTTGAGATAATTTGAACAGACGCGTAACGCGTGCTTTCACGACGTCAGCGTCGATATACAGTCGCTGGTACGTGTGTTCAGCTAGTGAATATCTTCACTACGTCTATCTCTTCAGCTTCTGTTTCTTTTCGTGAATTTTGGATGTAAATTCTGGATATAAAACTGGGCTTCGTCTTTCGTTCGCTCAGAACATCTTCTCAACATCCCACATCCGTGGCTCACAGCATCTCATCTTCGACTATCGTTCCATCTAAGCCCTGGCAAACACACATATCAGCTTCCTCTAGTCGTTACTATTACGGAATGGAGGGAAAGACATCAGATCTCACCAAGTGCTTCGAGGAACTCTATGATGAGATATCCTTCAAGATTAGCGAGATAACTGTAGCATGCACTCATCGCCTGAGAAATCATGTGGTGTCTCGCGATGAGGGTTTGGAGACCGCCATTCGGCAGTGCCAATCTGGGATCCGATTCGGCCTCATGGAAGTGCGCATCCGTCTGGAAAGCCTGGGCGAGCCATGGGCTAGCAATGACTTGGTTGTTCATTGGCAGAACATTATCAATGCAATGAACCATCTCCAGACTACCGATGACCTTGATGCCCTTCTTGCCATCAACGACAATCTTCTCGCGATCTTTCTTGCTCAGAACCCGTCGATGATTGCCAAATTGGAGTTAGAGACCTGAATCTGTCGTATGAATTTTATCCAACACCCTTCTCTCCACACCATAGCTAATCGGATATGATATCATACTCTAGGAGACAAAATCACAAAGCCCTATATTGGAGGGATATTGGTGCCTGGAGGTTGACAGATACTGAGTATTGCAAAGAAGCTTCGTTGTTGCAGAGTTGGATGTCTGTCATACTTGGACTGTTGGAATGAAATCTTCATCACCACGATGTAAGAGAGAATGCCAGTGAGGGTCTTGGACTTTTCAGATTGGATGAACTTGGATACTCGCTTTCTTGATGCTCAGATTGTAATACTTACATGCATCGATGTATGTTCAGTCAATTGGTCTACTCCTCCTTCGGTGGTTCATGCGTAGGAGTAGTTCGGCTAGAGCAATGCCAGAAGATCATGTAAATCTGGCTTGCAGATCACCCTGGCTTATGCTCTTCCAGGTTTCATGCAGCACAAACACCTCGCGGACGTTTTTGCGGTTCCCTTTATTGGTGGCGGGTGGCTACTCTAGGTGACTTTGGGGTAAAGGTTCATGGTCCTGGTAGGTAGTTTAAGGAGTCAAATCATTCAATCGCTTGATCGGCGACTAACACAGGTACATGGAGGCATGTCATGGGGCTGAGCCTTGACAACTTTGCGGTGCGTTCTAGCCCAAACAACTGCTAGAATATATATTGTTCGAACAAGTAGTAATGTGGAGAAGACCTTGACGGGCTAAAGATCATTCTAGCTCATGCTCTCTACGACCGTCTAGAGAATAATTGTCCCATTACGGGAGTGTACCAGAGCGAGCATTGTTAGGCCGGAGCTTAGGTAGAGTATCACCGCACTATGGATTCTAGTGACCACTAAGTCAGATCCGTGTCTGGGTCGTCAATGTAGAGGTTCAAATACTCCATCCAATGGGAGTGCAGGAATTGCATTATGAGTATCGGGCCGACCGGACCGCACGTGACTCGGCCATTCTTGGGCCAAGACCGGGGATTCATCCTGTCTCTCAGAATCTCCACAACCCACTCCACATTGATAGCCTGGATAAACCCGCCTTGAAATGCGAGAATGCGATAAGCTTCCACTTGCTGATACTGTCTTTCATCACAGGAATTGCGCTTATATCTGCTGTAAAATGGAATTCCGAGTCCTTTACCGATGAGGCATTCGGTGAGCTCGAGTGGCCCGTGGCAGCATTACGCCAATGTGTCCGTCCCATGGGGTACCCCGCGTTTCGGAGCGATGATCCACCGACTTGTTGTACCAAACAGGCCAGCCCGCTGCTTATCCTGACTCCGATAGGCAAGCCGACCAACAATGTCCGTTTCCAGTGGATCCCACCCTCTCCTAGTCTCGGGACATTGAAGGGCGAACTTCTGACGATATGCTGCCAAGCCGATGGCTGAGTATTAGATGGACGCCATCCCGCTGAGGCGTGATAGCTTAAAAGATCCTTCGGTTCATCTACCTATCCTACACTTAAGCAAAAGCTCTGCGGTCACCTCACTCAAGATGCGGCTTTGGAAACATGATTTTCGGGGCCGGACCCTGATTTTTGCTATCACCGCAGCCTCATGTCAGGCCTTTCTTCTCCTAGGATATGACCAGGGTTAGTGCCGTTGCTGGAGAGCCATACCTCATGTGCTGAATTGCATCTAGGCGTCATGTCCGGAATCGTGGGAGCCGACAACCGCTTCGCCAAGGATTTCAACAACCCTGATGCTGCCATGCAAGGTGACATTACCGGATTATATGATATTGGCTGCGTCATCGGGTCTATTGTTTGCTACTTTGTGGGCGAGAAGTATGGGCGACGGACTATGCTCTTGACAGGCGCAACAATCATGGTTATTGGTTCTGCTCTGCTTGCTTCATCCTACTCGATAGCACAGCTGCTTGTTGGTCGGATTGTCACTGGTTTCGGCAACGGCATGAACTCGTCTACAGCACCCGTGTTCCAAAGTGAATGCTCACCTGCATCCTATCGAGGTGCTCTCCTGACTCTTCAGGGCACTGTTACCATCCTTGGTGTGGTCATTGCGTACTGGTATGTCGACCTCCTGAGTGACATTAGACGTTTGCTCACATACTGCTCTCTTCCAGGCTCGATTACGGCACCAGCTTCTACACCTCCTCCTTCGAATGGCGCTTCCCACTTGCTTTCCAGGCCATCTTCGCCATTTGTCTCATTCTACAGATAATCGGCCTCCCCGAAACTCCGCGTTGGCTGGTCCAACACGACCGACATGAAGAAGCCCGCGCCGTCATCGCCGCCATCCAAGACACTGACCTCAACGATCCAGCTGTAACTAAAACAATCCTTGACATCCAGGTCGTTCTTGACGAAGAGCAACGGGAAGGGCCTTTCCGCTTTGCGGAGCTCTTCTCATGGGGCGAAGTCCAGAATCTCCGCCGTCTTCTGATCACCATATCCATCGAACTGGGCCAGCAATTCACGGGCTCCAATATGATAAATTACTACGGACCGGTTTTATTCCAAGAAACGATGGGGATGAGCCGCAACCTGTCGATGCTCCTCGGCGGCGGCATGCAGTGCACCTACCTCGTCGGGTCCGCGATTCCGGTGTTTCTGATGGACAGGTTCGGTCGTCGCTCATTGTTGATGATCTGCTCCGCAGGGTTGTGTCTGTGCTTTGTGATGGTCACAATCCTGCTGTCGCTCAACCGCACTGACTGCGCCTACGGCGCGACCGTGTTCATTTTCATTTTCCAGATCTTCTACGGAATTGGCTGGCTGCCTGTGCCGTGGTTCTATCCATCTGAGATCAACACGACGCGGGTTCGAACGCGAATGTCGGCCATTGCGTCTGGGTGGAACTGGATGGCTGTGTTTGCCGTGGTGAAGATCACTCCGATCGCTTTTGGTATGTTCTCTAAGTTCCGCTATGGATGAAGAATCTCGGGTTCACAGCTCACAGCTAACCGTCTGCCGCAGAAAACATTGGCTGGAAAACTTTCATCATCTTCGCTGTGCTCAATGCCGTTTTCATCCCGATGGTCTACTTCTTCTACCCAGAGACCAAAGGAATCGAGCTTGAGGATATTCCTCTGCTCTTTGTCAAGGGAGGGATTACAGGAGGAGTATTCAGCTCCAAGGGTGGCCGGACAGTCATGCCCGGCCAGCATGCCCAGGAAACTCACGTGGACCGGAAAGTGGAGACAGATATGCAGCAGGTTGAGAATGTAGATCACATTCCGCTCGAAGCGTGAGCACCTTCATTGAACTTTAGACACAAACTAGAACTAGAGCTACAGCACGGAAAACATGCTCAAATGAGGACAAAACTGATAGATTGCATACAATTTGTTGAGAAGCGCAAGGCTGTTGCAGTGCAGAAAACCATGTCAACATCGTAAGCCCCCGACCTCAGACCATGCCTTACCTCCTTCTCCAGCCCGGATACCATCTGCGACACCAAGGTTAAGAAAGCGAGAAATCACATCTCATCAATCCTGGGCTCTTCTCGCTCCGGGAATGCGCCATCCGACTTCGCAGCGGCTTTCTGCCCGGTTTTCTTGAGCTCGAACTTGATATCTCCGCGATCGGCTTTGACCTACCGCATGACCGCATCATTATCTATGCCTCCCGCAGCGCGTTCTTTCGTGGACTGATGGCCAAGGTAAAACGTACCGAGGTCTCACTCATCGTAGCCTGCAACTCATCCCACATGCTCTCCTTGGTCTCCTTCTTGTGGATTAGCTTCGGGGGCTCGATGTCGTCCGGGTAGGATGGGGGGATGAACACTGTTGTATCTTTGCGTTAGTATACATTATCATCACTCCTAACGATGTAGAGGAGAATAGAAGATGAGAAGGGACATGAAACAGCTGGACTCGGATCAGGACGTACTCTCCTCGCCTTTGTTGCTGTGCAGTTCTTTGTGGTACGGCCGGATGAGATACGGTCGCAGGAGGAGAGGACGGAAGAAGAGGGTGGACGAGCGGGTGGGTTTGAGGATTGAGCTCATTTTGGGTTGGTTTGTTGTTTGTTGTTTGTGGTGAGTGATGTTTTCGATGGATGGTGTTGTTTGGAGAAACTGAGAGTGTTATTTGCGGATGAGATCCGGGGCTGGTGGGGTTAATATGGGATTCGATGGGGTGGGCGGAAGAACAACAAGGTTCGGTTGGTGATGTCAGGAGAGGCTCATTTGGGGTTGGTGGGTTGGGGCGGTTGTGGTTGAGTTACGGGGGTGGCGAGGGACTCGTGTTACCGCGTTAGGAAGTGTTTGGGTGAGCTTGGTGGTGGTGTAGCGCTCGCAAACGCGTCTTCTGTTTGGGTTGAGATGAGAGGGAGAGGAGTTGCTACTGTTGTTGTTGGAGAAGATAAGCTCTAGTTATGCTGTAGATCTGATTAGATCGGCTGTGGGGTAGGACTTTACAGGAGCACCGGAAATAGCCTATTGCTCTTCTGAGCTATATGACTGGAAGAGATGAATGCTACTCACAGTATTTACATATCTGCTAGCAGCGCTTTGCTTGCAGCTATACCTGCTTACGTTTCACTGCAGCACACACGATCTCTCGCGGCGCATCGGAACTGATCACTGATAGCTTAAGGTCTACTGTACCCCGGACTCTTATGGGACTTTCCGTCTTTGCCGAGACCCGAACAGCTTGAGAATGAAGTCTTGTTGCCAGAAAGCGTCCCTCATCCTTCACCTAGAATGAGAGTCTGCATCATTGGCACACTCCTGGACGACCGAACTGATTCAGTTAGAGTTCAGTCGGCCGTACATTAGTTGTTCACAGAAGAGCCACAATATTCCTTTCATACCGATGAAATAGGCATCGGGCTGTAGGCGTTGTCGTTTTGCTGCAGATTTGACTACGTGATCTGTTGCGAGCTGCTGGCACGACTACTGGAATTTCAAATTGCTTTCCGTCGAATCGTCGCTGTTCACGAGTTTGGCGACAGGCAAAAAGAGGCCGAACATTTGGAGGATCCTTACTTTGCCACGTGATGTTGAGAATGGCATTGAGGAAAGCAGGTGAACCCCGGGAATGTAACTCGACAATGAGCTCGAGCTACCTCATTTGTTTCATCAAGGCATCAAACACGATGATGTCTCTGCTAGCATATCTGCTAAAAGTACCCATGGCTCCGGTCTCACAACTGTCACAAACAGCCAGTCGAACGTCTCCTTGAGCTTGCGTTGTCGCCCTGCAAGGACCTCGCGTCCTCGCATTGATGACGTTGACATTGACCCCCTCGCAGCAAAGTGCAAGCCAAGCGACCGCACGATAACACTCAGCTTGATAGCTTGCAGTGTGACCCGGTGAAAGAAACTGGACTTGAAGTGTGGAGTATAAATAGCATCACGTGTGGGATTGTGTCTCAGTCCTCGTTCATGCGCCGTCGATCTTCCTCCGCGGAGAGAGCCTATCGCCAATTTTCGATTCCCAGCGCTTCAATCACTCCCTACTTGGCGAACAAACTTACGATTTCCAAGACTCTCCACCTGCCTATACAACCCGCGCGACATGTTTCGATCGCATACGAGTCCCTCGTATCCCGCCCGGTCACAGTACACACCGATGCATCCGCCTCTGCATCTGATCGCCCTCCCTCGCGCTTCCTCCGAGCTGCAGTGCAACCCTGGCTGCAAGTATATAAGAGCAGGACCCTGCACCACTTGATCTTTCGCTTCTGTTTCCAGAGCAAGGACCCAACATGTTCAGCTCGATTCAATCCATCAACATTACCATGTTTTACCTCTTTGCTCTCTTTTTGTTTCTGACTCTTGGCAGTGTGTTCTCGTTCTCAACCATTGACCTCCTATATCTCGCTCTGAATACTAACAAGACGAACAGAAACTCAGACAACTACATTCGCGACAAGCACCATCCCACCGCCACCATCCACAACGACCACACCTCCAACCCCCTGCGGGACCTTTCCCTCCTGCCCAGAGTCCCAAACCTGCACAACCGCCGTCTTCTTCACCCCGACCGCCTCCTATACAACCACTGTCACCTGCGTGCCGAAGCCAACCTGCCTAGGCGTTTACGGTGAGTCCAACCCCAATCCCAATTCCTGTCTCTTTTCTTCAGTTTCTACAGCTCAGCGGCTAATTCGAACACTCGGAGACAACAGAGGTATGCTCCTTCGGAAGCGGACTCAGCTGCTGTTCCGGGTACTGTGCTGCCAGCCACTGTCGGAATACCGATCCCAACTGGCCGTACTGTCAGGAAGATATGGGGGTCTGTCGCGGGGATGCGGATTGTTGCTACGGGAATAAGTGCGTGGCTGGGATCTGTATGCGAGGCGTGTGATAGCGATTGCCTTTAGAAGTGGTTTCGAACGGTAATGTAGTGATAGGAAGGAGAAAGCAATGTGGGATGGGCTGCGATGGGATAGGGGGTTTGGTTGATGCTTTGATGAGGTGATGAAAAAGTGGGTACTGGGTTCTTATGACTTTTATGATAATGATAGCGCTGCAGATCTTCTGCAAGTTTCATTCAAAAAAGAAGTATAATTTACTATTCCGATTCAGGGCAAGACATTGCCTCGGGCTGGTAGTAGGCCAAGCAGAGTGGGCTTTGCTTAATAAAGCCAAGCTCTTTTACTCTCCAGGCTCCCTGTGTTCTACTCACCGGTGAGGATAGTTGCGAGTACTTTTGCAGATGTCTCTAGTACCTGTAGAGCTGAAAAAGAGTGTCAATCAGGGGGTATGTCCAAGCTACGTGCATATTGCAGGGGTACCGCGGAGGAACGGAAGACGAAGATCTTGACCTATGTTTAGACTGGCGTAAAAGAGTGTCTGAGAAGACAGCCATCTGCCAAGAAACCTCAAGCTACTTGAAGAAACCAGTAGCACCCTGCTACAAGGCGAAGCCTAGCACCGTGTCAGAAAACATGGTCAACACAATTACGATTTTGGAGGGTCTCAATTGCCTACCCGCAGATCTTCGCTACCTGTCTTTGGCTCTACGAGCCGTGTCTCGGACGATCTTCCCCCGTCACCGTGTAATCTAAATCAATAACCTCGACCAAGCATAATTGACGATCAGTCAAGCTCCCCTGAACCCCACAAGCTACCAGAACTAAGAACCGAGGTACAGACACTCATACTTATACATCCATACTCAGAACAGTCCTCTTGCCCTACCCCAACGCTAGACTAGCAACCCAGCATCCCCGCCCCGCGCGCCAACACCGCCGATCATCCCACCAAGTGGGGAAAGACCCGTTCCGCCGGACAATCACAGCTCAAGAAAAACAATTCCAGAAAAGTCGCCGTTGAGAGATCCACCGTCCCCCAAACCCCGACGCCGTCGCTCACAAACGGGGGGAAATTGAGTTGGGGCAAACGTGATCGATCTTGTTTCGATACAGCATATCGTGGTTTACCTTCCGTGGATTCCACGGTACGATGTCGTTGACACATCGCGATGGAGACATAAGCTGCATTACTGCAGTGTACAGTACAGCGCACCCAACGGCGCTCTGAAACAATGTCTCAACGGGACCCGCTGTGCCCCTAATCCCGTGGTCTGATATTTGAGACCGATGATGTCAAATTTCGTGGGTGATGGAATCATGATGCTGGATGCTGTTCAGGGGAGCATCGGACATATAAAGCCAGCTGTTGCTGCTGGGGATCTGGGAAGTAACAAGAACAAGAACAACCGCTCCGTTAAGTGACAATCTCTCCTCAACTCCGTCCAGTCAGAACAAATCAGACCTTCCAGCCAAAATGAAGTTCTCCATTGCTACTGTTGCTGCTCTCGCCAGCGCCATCACCGCCACTGCCGCCTCTCTGCCCGAGCGCTTCACTCTCGTCGCCGACGACAACAGCGCCGTCCTCACTGATGGCCGTACGTGTTCCCCAGCTATCTACCTACCACGCCTCTCTGCTATAGATTTCTAACACATAGCAGAGTACCTCTACATCGGCAACGCCACCTCCGACGACCAAGTCCCCGTCGTCCGTAAGTTCTTGCCCCTATCCTCCTTGATCTCCTGAATTTCAACAACAGTACTGATCTACGCAGTGACCTCCAACTCCGCCGGCGCCCTCACCTACCTCGCCGACGGCGCCGTCCCCACCGCCTTCCAGAACCTGTACATCGTCGAGAACTCCGTCGCCGCCGTGCAGTTCACCGTCCCCCACTCCGGCAACATGCCCGAGGGCGCCAACATGACCGGCTTCGCGGTCAACGAGGACGGCCAGCTGACCCACGGCGACAAGGCCTGGTTTGCCGTTGATGGGTACGGCGATGTTGAGGAGAAGACCGTCTACTGGTACGGAGCTCACAGCTCTGAGTACATGGCTGCCTACCTGAAGGTCAAGGCTGCTTGATTTAGTGATGGATTGGGATGCAGGACTTGGAGAGGGGATCCCCTGAAAAGATGTATATATTCAATAGATTTTGAGCAGCGTGTATTAAGATTAGGCGACTCTGGGTGATATATCATTGAATTTATCTCTGCTTCTGATATGATACGATCGAGTACCTGTTCCTGGATTTCAATGTTGCTTGACGTTCGTCACTCGTGGGTTGATTGACGGTGTGTCGTCTCAACAAGTCTCCCTCCTAGATTGTCCAATGTAGCGGGCCAAACGGAGGACAGATGTGGCGGTCGGACAATCTTCGGGCGGTACGAGACTGAGTCTTACAATAAGATCTCATGTCGCACTTCCTGCCTCCTAGTATATGACGGGTGGAATGCCCGGAGTATCGGTTTTCGTCCTGCTCGGAAAGTGGGCGGAAGGCCGCGGGCGACAACTGGGTACGTCATGGCAACAAACAAAAAAGCCACGGCTAACCGCGGCGCCTTGCCTCGGTTTAACAGACCGCCTGCTCCCTTGAAAGCTGTCTGGCAGATCGGGCGGTCACCCGTCATACTCCATGGAGGAGGTGGTGACCACTGCCGGAGGCTCGAGCAAGATTTGGGAGAATCCATGAAAGTGACAGGTGGTTTGCGGAAATGGGCATTCGAGATCGCTGTTACCGAAAAGGTTTGTTCCATCGAGACATTCGTCGACAATGTAGCTCACTTCAGTGAATCGGCCGCGGCGCGTCAAACCCATCCCACGGAGTCGTGACATGAACGCCTAGGTCGCCTCTCATCTTGGTTATGAGGTTGGAAAGGAAATGTTCGAGAAGTCCCTCTAAGCCCAATGTCTGGGGCCCACCTTTCAAAGCGACCATCTTGACAGCCCCGTTAATATGATGCTTCAGCATGGTTGTATTGCGAACATATAGCTATTGATTGTTAGCTCAGTGCTCTGCGCCAGCCGCGAACGGAACGTGCCTCATCATAAGCGAGCATGATTGCCTTTGCGACCGTCGCATCATCCAAAGCTGGCACCTCGGCCGAAATAGCGCGTCTCAGTGACCGCAGACTTCGCGACTTGTACTGGAGTGTGACTTGCGTGAAGAAGCGTCGCTGCTCCTGCTGCTCCTGCGTGTAACAGCATGACAAATGTCGACTCGAGGTGAGAAGCACAACGTCCAGAAGGCTGGGTTCGGTGATGGCGACAGGGATCCAGATACTATTCATGCGCTGTGAGAAGAGCACCTGCGTCTCGTTGCAGCGCATCAGAGGTATGATCACTGTGACGTCTTTGAGTCGCACAAATTCAGGGTCAGCAAGAGGAAATATAGAACTCTGCGAATGGATACCCACAGTGATCGAAGAGAAATTGTTCGGTGGGGTTTAAGACCCTTGCGAAACTCATGAACGGGTCTGTCCTGTCTGCTGGGAGGAATGTATCCAGTTCAGCAATGGGAAGGTCTGGATTTTCTTGTGAGAGCCTTGCATGGCGTTCCTGTCTCTTTTGTGCCTGGTATTGAAGCGTCCGCAGGCGCCTGGTCTTGGCATGCGCTGAGCGAGCGGCGTGCGACAGAGCGATTCTCCGCTGCGACTCGGTCGCCTTTGTCGGCTGGGATGTACTAATGATAAATGGTACTTCTCGGTGCGCCATCTAGGTAAGGACAATTTTTCTCACTTAAGGCCAGGGAAGGATAAGGAGTTCGGTGATTCACTGAAGGAAGTTGAAGCAGGAGGCCATGGGATGGCTGACAAAGCATTTTGGTGAGTGCCCGGGCCAAGACATGCGCCTGCTCGAAATAGTCTAGCGCTCTACCATGTACGCGCTCGGTTAGACAAATTCGTAGCTGGCTGCGGAATTTATGTTAAGTCCTGCTTCCTTCGTGGATGCCCTTCTCGGATGATATTCTTTTCAAAAGTTTGACATGGCCTCGATGCATGGGTCAGCATGAGTGATGCTCTGCAGCTACCATGATCTCATGGCCAAGACAGGCGCTTACTACATGTAGACTAGTAATGACTACCAGATACCATAGGGTAATGTGGTACGAACTGTGAAGAGTGCACAGAGGGTAGGAAGTCAAGGTCGAGAGGTATAAAAAGAACCAGTCATGCCGTCGTTACCTTGAGTGAGACCTTAAGGTCCCTGCCAATGAATTCGAAACTGTAGCGATGGAAGGAACAGTGGTCCTCACCGGCGCCAACGGCTCTCTGGCCCTGGGCTTTGTTCAAGCCCTCTTAGAAACTCACCCTCAGAAAACATTGGTTGCAACTGTCCGCAACCCATCCCCAGAAGAAGATCTCAATACCGAAAGACTTCTAGCACTGGCTGCAAGATTTCCAAAAGCAAAATTCCATCTCGAGACCCTCGACCTCGGCAAGCTGGCCAACGTGCGCTCCTTCGCAGACAAGCTCTCTCGTCTGATTTCCTCTGGAGCAGTCCCTCGCATCTCAGCCATAGTTTGCAACGCGGCCTCGCTTTCCTTTGAAGGAGGACAGAAACTGACCGCCGATGGTTATGAAGCCACCTTCCAGGTGTGCCACCTCGCGCACTACTTGTTGATTCTGAAGCTTCTCGGGAGTATGGACCTCACTTCCGGTCGCATTGTTATGCTGGGCTCCATCACACACTACCCAGAAAAATCAAACCCATTGTGCTCGCTTCGACCGCAGTTTCCGGTTGATTTGGAGGAGTTGCTCAGACCGGGGCCTGATTCCCCTGCCCTCGTGCATGATAGGGGCTTCCAGCGATATGCCACGGCCAAGCTGGCTAATGTCACGTTGGCGAACAATCTCAATCGCAGATTGAAGAGGGTATGCTCACTGTCGCCGGAGGTGCACTAGAAGAGTTGGCTGACGTTTTGACAGGATGATAGGTTATCAAGCATCACGGCGGTCGCGATGGATCCGGGTGGTCTACCGAGTGCGAGATCGCAGGCTCAGCAGAAAAGGTCCACCCAAAGGATCTTCGCAGTAATCAACTTTCTCATGCCTGTTCTTAAACACGTCACCACGATGTTTCGGACCACGGAGGATGCGGGACGTGATCTGGTTGCTTTGAGTGTTGATTCGTCTTTTCAGGGAAGGAGGGGTTACTATATGGGTCAAAAAGAGAACATCCCTGCGGCTGTCAGTATAATTCCAGAAGTACAGACAAAGTTGTGGGATGCTTGCTGGGAATGGTGTGGTCTTGCAGCTGAGGATACTGTACTTCGAGATGCTGCTCCTGAGAGATGATGCGACATCGCATGTGGAATGGCTTGAGGGGTATCTAGTCGTAAATGTGAAATAGTATGTACATATTGACAGGAGATGGAAGTAGAAGAGGAAGGAGAAGATGGTATCCGGACCGAGTGTTATGCAACACCCGGGTGATGGTCACATGCTCTCCCAAATAAATGGTTGTCGTCTTCCGATTTCAAATGATCCACCCAATTGTTCTAAGTTTCCGAACTTCATCATTCCTTCCAGTGCGTTCAGTCTTTCCTCATGGTCATGACCTTCTACTTCTTCTCTTTCTTCCTCCTCCTCCTCCTCCTCCTCCTCCTCTTCTTCTTCGTCATCTTCGTCATCTTCGTCATCCTCGTCATCCTCGTCATCTTCGTCGTCCACTTCTTCCTCGGTGCTTGTATCATCGTCCAACGGCAAGGACGGCATATCTACTATGCCGTCCATCAACATGCGCGTAATATTGTACAAGCCTTCGCGGTACCCTAACTGCGTGTGCAGATGTCTTTTGCTGACCTAATCGCCAATACGCGGTTCATCATGCGCGCCGCCAAAGTCCACAATCCACGCGCCATCGTTAGGATCAATCAACACATTTGACGGCCGCGCATCACCCCACGTCAACCCCAGCTGGTGCAGAAGATCCAGTGTCTCTGTCAGCTGGACCAAAAAATCCCGCCGATATTCCAGCGGCATCTCCGGCCCGACGAGCGATTCCAACGTCCCAGCGTTCTCCACATACGAGATTAGCAGCCCGAGGTATGAGCCCTTTCTGTCCCCGGTCACCACGCCACAAACCCGCGGCACGCGCAGATCGTCGAAGTCCTCGACCTCATGTAAAGCCTTATGCGTTTCCATCTCGCGCACAGCGTGCTGTCACCGCCATAGCTGTAAGGGTTTGAAGTAGCACATGGGCATATCGCCAGCCACGGTGTTGCGGCCAGACCATCGTGGGAGGCTTTTCAAGCTCTTCCTCGTCATCGTCCGCCGGAGAAGCCAGAACTTCTTCCGCCTTGAACAGCAACCAGTCCGGGTGCAGCTCGTAGTGCGGCAGCCACACGCCCAGCTGCTGATCCCGCCGTGGCGGCACGTCGTAGTCCAGGAACGGCTCGGGTACCTCCTCGACCACGTACAGCTTCCACCGGTGCTCCGGCGGGTCCAGGTAGTGCGCCAGCGTCGGGAACGGGCCCCCGTAGGTGGGCTGCTCCAGCCGCTGCATCCAGCCCTCGAAGGGCCGCAGCGCCCACCGGTACAGCTGGTCCGTCGCGTGGTCACACGTGGCGCGGTCCTCGTCTGCATCAAACATCGTCCGCGTTACCTCCGTGTACGTCTCCATCGTGATCGGCGATTTGCAGAAGTAGTCCTCGGAAATCCGCACTACGCATCGCGACCCTTGCAGGCGGTGGTCACGTGTGCTTTCTCGTCTCTGCCATCATAGCCCACGCTCACCATGCGGTGGGTGAGCGTGGCGTCTTCATCCATAATCTGGGATGCTGAGTCGTGGAGGCTCCGGTTATGGACTGTCTGAAGGCATACAGGCTGCGGTGAACGGACTAACAGAAGATATGAAGCTGCTTGCCATGCATCAGCATCAGCACTGGAGCCTGACGCTGAAGCTTGGAACGCCAATCACACGGTCGAAAATTGTCAGACCCCTGAATTATGTCATCAGGTGCTAGTCACGTGAATGCTAACAGCCACAGATCTCACGCCCACCTCACCGCCAGGCGGGCAACAAGCCTTATCGCGTGTCGGCAATCCGCTCCCTCGAGCACTTTCATGTTGTAACAAACCACTAGAAAAATAGTTCAACAGGTAATATCCTCATACTCTTCATGATGCTTTATACACAGACCCAAAAACAACAACGAAAAAAGAAAAATGAAATCTAAGATCTATGACCCCCTACACCCAAACCTCCTCTCCTGCCACCAACCAAAACCCCCTACTCATCCCTCCCCTCCGTCGCCCGCACAATCCCCTCCGCCATCCCGACCAAATCCTCCGCCGTAACATCCAACCCGGCCTCAAAGACCCGATAACACGGCTCACCCTCGTAGACCGTACAATACGCGCCGCGGAACCCGGTCTTGGTTGCCGCCGCCACATCCCACAAATGCGCCGCCGCGAACCACGGCTTCTCCTCACCCCCAGCATACCCCAAGGCCTCCAGCGCGGGCCGATACGCCCGGAGCGCCGGCTTGGCCACGCCCGCCGTATCGCAGCTCAAGAAATTCTCGGCGGGCATGTCGACGCCGCCCCGCAGGAAGTACCCGCGCACGCGCTGCGTGTCCCCCGTTGTGAGGCACCAGACCGTGAACCCGGCGGCACGGAGGGTGGCGAAGCACTCGGCGAGGCCGGGCCGCAGGGCCAGCGCGCTGTAGCCCTCGACGCAGGCGTCGCGCTGCGCCGGGGTCGCGAAGCCCGTCGGGTTGGCGACGCCGATCATGAACAGCGTCTGGTAGAAGAGCTCCGTCAGCACCTGCTTGTAGGGCTTGTAGCTCTCGGAGATGGACAGGAAGGTGAACTGCAGCTCCGCGTTGGTCATCCATGTGAAGCCCAGGGTCTGGGCCGTGAGGCTGTGCGCCGCCAGTTGCGGGCCCAGGGTTTGCTGGATCGTCTCGTAGAAGGCGTCGAAGGAGACGCAGGTGCCGACTACGTCAAAGACGACGTTCTTGCTGGTCATTTTTGCGTGCGTGCGTGCGGGTATGATGTTGTGATTTCGGTTGGGTCGGGCTGGGGAGGATTGAAGTTGAGGCTATTTGGTGGTGATGACCGAGGACCTAGGGGGGGGAGAACGTCAGGAGGGGTAGAGATGAGGTCGAAGTTGCTTTTCGGTCTTATCGCCAGCCGATACCGGGCCCACGGCCGTGCGGGGAAATCTTAGTCGCGTCTGACACACGGCCGGGCAATCTATCGCATGCAGCTAGTTCGCTTAGGGAGCGTTAGTCGACATGGCCCCCACGACCGTATATTGACCCGCGATATGAGATATGGGGTGGATATGCGGAGCGCTCGATAATTCCGATAAGCTCGGGGGTAATTGATGGCTTATCTTGCTCTCTATGCTTGACACATTCAGTGCTAGATAACACTGCCCGGACTGCTGCTACTTCAGTATTGCTCTTTTGGGCAACTAAGAGGAGAAACTGGAGGTAAAACATACATGGTAAGACACGGGAGGTCCAGTCGTCACAAAGATAAAGAAGATAATACAGATTGATTATGACATTAGCTATACAAATGAACACGCAAGATAAGTCGCTAGAATACAGACACACGAGACTCGACCAAATCACACCCACCAAGAGGCATCATCCCCAGAGAAAGTTCAACCGTCTAAGCCCGCGCTTCGGTTCCGGCTCAGGATCGGGGTTGGCTTGGTAACGCTCGATAAACGGCCGAATTGGCACGTCCTCCAACCCGATGATCTTGCTCTTGGCCCAAAACTTGTAGCCGAAATACAGAACAAAAATGATGGGGACATTCAAGTATGAAGAAATGAATGTCTCCGTGGACCACTGGCCGTGGATAAAAGTCTGATACCCACCAGTCAGGAACAGAAGGCTGAAAAGCCCCAGCGCAAACCAGGTACCCCATGGCTGAAAAGGAGCAGCCCAGGGCAGCTCCTTGTGCCGATCAATGCCCTGTCTTTTGCATGCGTAGAGAAAGCGCAGGTACACGATGCAGATACATCCCCAATTGACCAGGGTGGAAATCGAGACGATGTCCTGTAACCAGGTGAAGACGGTACTGGCCGAACTCGACAGCGTCATGTAGCCCAACGCCATGAAAACTCCCAGAATTGTCACAGCCACATACGGAATACCGAAGCGGTTGACACGCTTGAAGCACTGGGGTGCGTGGCCTTCGGCCGCCATCGCATACATGATGCGCGAACCGCCCAGCATGTTCGAGTTGCCGGAGGACCAGGCGGAGGTGAGTACCACAGCATTGATAATGGATGGGACGACTTTGATTCCGGCGTTCCGAGCTGCGATAACGAACGGGGACTCAGACGCAGTTCCCGAGGACCCCAGAAGGTTGGGGTCGTCGGAAGGGACGACTAGCCCGATCATGAAGATGGTCAAGACGTAGAAGAGTAGGATCCGGACAAAGATGCGACGAGCGGCCATGGGGATGGCATGACGGGGAGAACGTGTTTCCGCGGCTGCGACGGTAATGTTTTCGATTCCACTGTAGGAATACAGAGCACTGTTCAGTGCTGTCCAGAATCCCAGGAAGCGCCCCAGGGCGCCTCCGATGCCAAGGTATTGCACAAACGGGCCCGGGTCACGCCAATAGCGAAATCCAATGCTGGTTCGATTGGGGCCTCCACCGCAAGTAATCACCAGGGCCATGAGGTTGATTCCAATCACCAGCATGATCTTGAGGATGGAGAAGCCGAATTCAAGCTCGCCGTAGACGCGCACAAACACCAAGGCCGTGAGCAACATGAGAAGACCAAACACGGTGATCCAGACAGCATTGTTGATTGTGGTCCAGAACTCGATGACCACGGCGGCAGCAACAATCTCGGATGGGATGGAGACGAGATAGGAATAGACTTGGTTCCACCCATTGGCGAAGGAGAGGGCTGGGTCCACGAACAACTCAGCATAGCGAATGACTCCACCCTGGAGCGGAACGAGACTGCCCATCTCGCCCACCGCCGCCACCACGCTGAACACCGCCCCACCGATGATCGTGTATGCCAGAAAAGCTCCCAGCGGTCCTGCGTGAGCAATTGCCCGTCCTGAACTCAAAAACAACCCAGTGCCTATCGTCCCGGCCAGAGCAATCATCTGAATGTGACGCTGATGCAGCCCCTGATGGAAATCACGAGCTTCGTCGAGGTGGCCGGGGGCGGTGGCCTCAAGGTCCCCATCATACTTTTCGCTGGCCTGTTGGTAAGGCGGCTTCTTCTCCGAGGGGGCGGAAACATCCATAGTGACAGGAGATTGCGTGAGAGAAATAGAGGCCATGATTCACAGAAACGAGAGTGAGCAAGAGTGGCGCCATTTTGTATTGTGCACACTGATGCCCAATACCCCGCATTGGAAATCAGAATCCTCTTGTTGGTCCATGAAGATGAAGCTAGTTAGCATGGTGAGGATCGACTGTCTGTGACCGCTGTTGTTGTGGTTTGTGTTTGCTAGACGCTTATCAGATGATTAGGTCCGGGTCCAATTACCTATTCGGGACGGCCCGCCGTCTGTGTGTGTGCGTGTGAAGGAGCGACCGACCGACCGACTGACTGACAGTGCCAGCCGTCCGACCGCTGACCGATAAGATAATCGACGCGATAAGCACACCAAACAATACAAACGATAAAACGATAGAACGATAAGCCTCGGCTGTTATCGCCGACTCCTTAAAAAGGATGCACGGGGGCGCGCGATAACCAAACTTCACCACCGCAACTCTACGCCCATCAACCTACATCTCCGACCTTTCTCCTAAACATGGCGACTTCCACTTGCTTTCCAGGCTCCAATCCAGGAGAGTGCTTCTGGCAGAATCAGCCCCATGAATTACACAACTTTCGGTCCACTGAACAACTACCCGAGCAGTCGGAGGTGGTGATCATTGGGGCCGGGTACGCTGGCACGAGCACCGCGTACCACCTGCTTCGCGACCATGGAGACGCCATCAAGTCAATCACCATTCTGGAAGCGCGAGGGGCCTGCTCCGGTGCGACCGGCCGTAATGGAGGACACCTCCGTCCGGACTTCTACGGCCACATTCCGACGTATATCGATCGGGCGGGGGTCCGCGCGGGAGCAGAGATCGCGGAGTTCGAGATCTCCCACCTCCACGCGATGAAGAAGTTGATTGAGGAGGAGCAGATTGACTGCGATTTCACTCTGACGCGCTCCATCGACGTCTGGTGCAACGAAGAGGCGGCCCAGAAGGCCAAAGCGGTGTATGATCGCATGAAGTCGCTGAACCTGGATTACATGAATGACGTGGTCTTTTACACCGGCAAGGATGTAGAGGGGGTGAGTGCTTTCAACCATAAGATACCCCATGCTCCCGCCCCCCCCCAACTCTCGCAAATGTACTAATCACCCAGCGCAGATCTGCGGGGTCAAGGGCGCCAAAGCCTGCGCCTCGTTCACGGCGGGAACGATGTGGCCATACAAATTCATCCTCCACCTCCTCAAATCAGCTCTAGCGTCGGGCAAGGTGAACCTGCAGACGTTTACCCCGGCCCAGTCCATCACCCCCGCACCCCACGGCGGTTTCACCATCCAGACACCGCGCGGCAGCCTGCACGCCGCCACCGTCATCCACGCCAACAACGCCTACGTCGCGGGCCTGCTGCCCGAATACGCCAAGAACATCGTCCCGTGCAAGGGGATCTGCTGCCGCATCACCGTGCCCGCGGGCACGACCGCCCCGCTGCTCAACAACTCCTACATCAACCGCACCGAGGACAACACCCTCTCCTACCTGATCCCCCGCGCCGACGGGAGCATCGTCGTCGGCGGGGCCTCGTCCAAGTTCCGGCCCTTCAAGGAGCAATGGTATAACAACGTTGACGATAGCGAGCTCATCGACGCCGCCAAGGACTACTACGACGGCTACATGCAACGCACGTACCGGGGGTGGGAGAACACCGGGGCGAAGGTCGACCAGATCTGGACGGGCGTCATGGGATACTCGTACGATTCCAACCCGCACATCGGTGCGGTGCCCGGCAAGGAGGGCCAGTTCATCCTGGCCGGGTTCAATGGCCACGGCATGCCGGTCATCTGGCGCTCCGCACAGGAGTTGGCCCGGATGGTGGTGCAGAAGATCCCCTTTGAGGAGACGTGCATGCCCCGGCTGTTCCAGACGTCCCAGTTCCGCATCGACCGCGCGATGAACGGGTCGGAGGACGATGGGGATATTCTCGGCACGGGCAACTTTCCCTCCACTAAGCCTTAATCTACTCCGCAAGGTAGCCTGACAAGGGCATTTGTACATATATTGAAAGTCTTGCAGATAATACAATGAGCGACGGCTGTTTCGTTATTACACTTGTTCGCCACTCTGGTGATTTGGTTTACCATGTAGATCGGCTGTAGCAGTTGTATATCATTCTATGACCGCACCCCATACAAAAATAAATAATTTATTCAATGACAATCTACACAGTCAGATGGTAATAGCAGTCTACCCCATCGCTAAACATCCCACCATCCTTCCAAATACGATTTCAAATCAATATGGTCCGGTTGTTTCAAATGAGGTGTCAAGTCCGCATCAGGCTGCATCTCTCGTGTTGTCCACCCGTTTCCCAAGTAGGCGAATCTGTTCCCGCTTGGGTTCGTATACGTATACTCCCAGTCCTCCCACCGCGGGTCCCGCCGAACAAAATTTGCCAGACTGGCACTTCCTGGAAAAAGCCCATGCACGAACCCATTCGGTCGGCCCCCGTTCATCCACGACCGACAATTTGCCTTCCCTGGCGTCGAGTCATCGTTGCCTGTCCAAACCGTCCGTGAGAAGAACGCATGGCAATACTCGAGGAAGTCATCTGCCGCGGCTCTGGCCGGCACGAACGTGCGGATTCCCTGGCCTCGCACTTTGCGAATCATCTTCGCAATGTAGGTGATCTGGTTCTCCACGCAGTTGGGGATCGTCCCGCTGGGGCCGACGACGTGGGCCCCGCCCAGCCAGAGCGCGTTGGGGAACCCGGGCGTCGCCGTTCCGAGATACGTGTAGGGGAACCCGTAGATCCCGTCGGATGCCCACGCCTCGCAGAGATCCACCCCAAAGGCCACAACCGGGAACGGTGGCACGAGATCGGAGTTGGCGCCCGTCGCGCAAATCACTACATCCGCGCGCCTTTCCATCCCGTCTACCGTATGGATCCCGTCCCGCGTCAGGCGCTCGATCCCCGACCGGATGAGCTCTACGTTCGGCTGGATCAGCGCTTCCAGATACCCCGGACCTGGGGTGGGACGACGACAGCAGGGCGGGAAGTCCGGGATCAGGTCGCTGAGGAGAGTCTCGTTGTGCTCGACACGGGCCAGCATCGAGACCGTCCACATCTGCCGCAGGAAGTCGTTCTCAGGCGAGTCCAGGAAGCAAGTGGCGAAGCCGCGGAAAAATTCAGCTTCTTTCTCCTTCCGGTACTGTAGGTATGTCTGCGGGTCGCGGAAGGATTCGAGCTTGTCCACTGCGAAAAACGCCCGTTGCCAGTCCCCGTCGACGTTGGGCGGGTGGACGATCCAGGTGCGGCTGCGGGCGTAGTGATCGATTTTGCCGGCGATGGGTTGGATTTCGGGTAGGATCTGAATGCCTGATGCACCGTTGCCGATTAGAGCGATTCGTTTACCTTCGAGCGGGACGCTGTGGTCCCAGTTGGAGGAGTGGAAAATGGCCCCTTGGAATTGGTCTATGCCTTTGAAGTTGGGGATGCGCCAAGTGTTGAAGTACCCGATGGCGGTGATGAAGATGTCGAAGGTATCTTCATATATCTTCTCTCTTGTTAGCACGAGTTGGTTTAGATGATCGGATAAAGTACGCGTCGTCACCTTATTGTCTCGAAGATCTTGGATGGTGACTTTCCATTTGGCTTCGTCCGGCTGCCATTCCGCTCGGAGGACTTTGCGCTGCAGACGCAAGTACTTGTACACATCGAACCGACGGGCAAGGTCCTGCCAGTACTCGCGAATCTCTGGTCCTTGTGCGAACTCTTCTTTCCATTGAGTATTCGGCGCGAAGCCGGACTGGTAGACGTGGGCGGGCACATCACACCGCACACCAGGGTAGGTATTCTCGAACCTGTACAACAGAGAAGTGAGAAAAAATCGTTAGAGGTGTCAATCATACCAGTGGTTACAACGTACCATGCACCGCCCTAGAAGCCCGTCTCAAGATTAACTGCTCTGCATACAGCTCCAACGAAAAGATGGTAAAGGGGCAGCTTACGACATCTGCATTTTTCTCCAGGATGGTCAGATCAATCCCTGGCACTTTAGCAGGGAGTAAGATCCCTGCTGTAATCCCCGACAGCCCCGCCCCGACAATTCCCACGCGAATTCCACGTGGCTGGTCACCGGGATGGTCCTCGATGCTGAATTTCGGTCGTGTTGTCGCAGCCTCGACAGGGGTGATTTCTTTGTCCACCACCACGGTTTTTGCTATCTCCGCGATTGAAGGCTTGTAACATCCCTGCTGGCGGATAGGAAGGCTGTGAGCTCTGAGTGCTACGGTTTCGGTCATCCTTGCGTGATTGATGTAGTTCCTGTTGTTGAAATTGAATCTCCTGTGTTCTGTGGAGGAGGACGAGCGCTAGATGGTGAGTTTCTTCTCTATTTCATGTCTTTCCATTAAGCTTCCCCGCGAGTGAATAAACCTCGTGGCGTTGACTAGGAAAGAATGGGAGAATAATAGGCATGCTGGTCCACACAATAGACGGGGTGTATTGTTTCTGAATCGGTCCTGTTGTGCTCTGGTACGTACCCGTTACATAAAACTCAGATCTCGCTCTTACCAGATTTAGGTCCGGGTCTACCACGCCTACGCTTTCTTTATTCCTTTGAAGGTGCCAAGTACACGTGGCTATGCTTACTTCTTCATTCATTATATAAGATCATATTTAAGGTTGTTTTGAGGTGATTGCGCTATGCACGTTGCGCGACGCGGCGGTTCTGGGTACAGGGTACAGTACACTACTCTTGTTTGCAAGGCCGACACTTGACAAACTGGATATGAACTTGCTCGACTGCGGCGCAGAAATTAGGTTCCAGCAGATCATTGACAATTCTCTCTATATCTGACAGCTAAAACCGCCATGGGTTAGGACATGCACCATGCCCCCGCTCTTTCAAGTGTACATGTGGAGTGACTTAAGCACTCCTGCGGCACCACATCCTACCGGCAAGAATACCTTGGCAGAATTATTGTATGCTTTGCTACGAACGAAATAAAATTTGAAGCACTTCTCCGCTAACCGAAATCACGTCAAAAAGGAGACCGGATCTTCTTATTTGCTTTCTCATCCGCATTACGCTTCATACGATGGGCGGACTAGCCAACTCAAGGCAGGTGTATTCCATCCCAACGACGGATCTCGGCCCCAGCGCCACCCGCTTCGCGTCTAACCTTGAATCCGAGTGATCTAGACAGGATCCATGAAAGATGGGTAGCATCATACCAAATTTGCTGGAAGTCATTACGTCGCTTCATGCAGACACATTGACGTTATATAGCATGTAAACATATACGGTCGGACTTTCAGCCAGTGCCTCTGAGAGACGCTCTTTCCTATGCTTCGGGGTCGGAGGACTACCACAGCGCAGCCCACTGAATCGTGGCTTCGATGGTTGTTTACTCAATCATGACGCTCGGAAGATGGCCTTACTGGGCTCATTTACGCAAATTTTCATGACTCACGCCTTGCGAGCTGTATGGTGAACCGGGCTTCTATTAATAAAGTCTAACTGTTTGGCAAAGATGTTTGTATGTATTTTAGTCTTAGTAGAGTTGAGATGCTTGGACATTAGACATTAGAAAGCGGGATAAAAGATTACTAGGAAACATTGAGCTGGGTATCGCGGAAAAAAGAATCAAATCGCTCGGGTTTACCTGAGGCCTCAGCCACTGCCACATATGTGTCGGGGCGGATCAGATATGCCGCATTCTGTGCTAATCCTGCTTGGCTATACTGAGAGGTCCAGCTAAAGCAATGTAACGGAATGTTTCTCAGCTGGCACCATTTCACCAGCTCAGTCGAAGGGTCGCCATACACATGGACCTGCCAGGTGATTTCCTTGAGAGATTCATAGTTGTTGCCTTCACCTACTGACACCCATGGTAACCGATCTCCACCCTTGATAGTGCCGGCAGACCCGGCAGACAGCAGGCTGTGTTGATACTGTATCTTGAGCTGTGACAAGCCAAAGAATATCCGTCGACGAACGAAGCCAAACTTGACTGCAAGCTTCACGACAAACGGGATGAGGTAACTGCGCATGAAATTGGCCAGCCAGCCTCTGGCAGCCAGTTTGTTGAAGGCCGAATCGGTTGTCTCGACGAGAGTCAGCGCAAAGGCTCGTCGCTCCGACTCGTAGGTATCTAGTAGTGATGCGTCCGCCTTTCGCTGTAATACAGTAGACAACTTCCAAGCGAGATTGATCGCATCGCCGATGCCTGTGTTCATCCCCTGTCCTCCGACTGGACTATGGATATGGGCAGCGTCCCCAACGAGAAACGCGCGACCGCTCCGGAACTTGTCGGCCACGCGGTGATGAACTCGATACGCCGTGAACCAGTTCACCTTGTCGATTTGCATCATCTGGCGCATAGCTGGTGTGGCGAGGGCCAGGTCCTCGAAATTGACCTTCGAAATATCCTCCTTGGCTTCGATGTGAGCCAGCTGCTTCCCATCCACGTTGCCTATCAGTCGCGCATGTCGCTTAGAGTCGTAGGCAAGAGTGAGGAAGGTGACATCGCCGTCGAGTTGGAGGTGTCCTTCGCCGTTGATGGCAGGCCCTTGGCCCTCGATATCGGCGACAAAGAATATTTGACCGTACGTCTCGCCGGTGAACTTGATCCCTGCCATGTGTCTGACCGCGGAATGGGCGCCGTCGCACCCGACGATGTACGCGGCTTCACACGTCTGGAGGTCTTCTGCTACTTCACTCGACTCCAGTGAGAGATTCCGTGTTCTCGGGTCCCTGAACCGCGCCACCACCCCGCCATCGTTCTCCGCGAAATCCACCAACTCCTTGTTCCGTTCCACCTCCACCCCGAAGTCCCTCAACCGCTCTTCCAGCAATCTCTCTTGCACATCCTGAGGAACGATCAAGATATACGGATACGGCGTCAACCCCATTCCGAAGTGACCGAAGGGGATGCGAAACCGATGCACCCCCTGTGTCCAGATGTTCGTTGCCCCTAATGGATGGCCCAGTGCTACCAGCCGATCTCCGAGGTCTAATTGTCGATACAGCTCGAGAGTTCGAGCATGGACTGCCAGCGCGCGGGAGGTCGTGGCGGTGCGTTCCCCTCGTTCGATGATGCGGACCTTGATGCCTTGGCGCGAAAGCCACAGAGCCGTGACCAGGCCGGTGGGGCCTGCGCCGACGATGAGAACTTCAGTTTCGTGCATTGTTGTTGCGTTGCTTGTCTGTTCGAGTACGGTGTTGATACCAAGTGGAAATTCGATGACTCTTTATACCATTGCGCATTTCTTAACGAAAACAGCAAGGCTGACCCATCACCTGACTGGTAAGGGTCACAAGCGGTCGGGGAGACCAGGAGGCTCGGCTCTCGGCTTTCCGTTGGAACCGATGGGGCGGAAATGCGGGCCTCGCAAGGCCGGCCACCGCTGGCGGACCCCGTACTCCAGATCCATGATCATTGAGGCCGATCGATAAGATCGCTCAGCTGGATATATTGTAGCCCTCAGCATCAGCATCTGTGAACAGCTAGTAGGCTTGTAGTTAGCGTCCTTGACGAAACCGTCATAGATATCGTATATCTGAGGCTGGACAGGTCGAGCTGCGCCGTCCCAAGGATTATCCACGGCTGTCCACCATTTAGTTAGGTAACCGAACCTTAGTTCCACTATTTGTACAATAGCCATTTCAGCTATCTTCCAGCGCGTAGGATGATTCGTCTGAAAGTCGAATTCCCTTCTTCTGCAAAATCTATATTCGGAGAGATAAAATATCTATACCTAGTGGTAAGATCTAACTTCGCTACTTTCCGGCCGGTGGCTTGGAGATGGTGGAGTAACTACAGCTTCCTTGTAATTTGTAGCACTGTACAGTACGTATTGAGTACGGTATAATACATACGTAGCCCCATCCCTGAGAGGTGGCGCAAACATTCCATGTAGATCGCTCCGCAATATCCGTTAATGAGATCCGGACGGAGAGATCTGAGTCGTAACAGCGGGTCCAGTTCAATTGATCAGCTTCTATCGAAGCCTGAATCAGAGTATGACGCCATGGCCCACTCAGCGTGAAGTCTGCGCCGCTAAGCCATATTAGGGCACATGAGGCCTAAAGCTTCAGGCATCTTGAAATCTCTGCCTAGACTAAGGTCAATAAGAGTATCGATGCCTAGATCTTGTGCCAGAGCGGTGAGCATTTCTGCCTACAGGCAGCGAGCTGAAGTCTGTACTAGCCCGCTTTGGGAAAGTACCCAGTCCGATCAATAATGGATCTTCTGGGTCTTATAAACACGGCAAGACACCTCCACCTCGATGTTGATCGTTGACAATTACATCCCCTATCATCTCGCTCAGTTGAACAGCTTCCGTTCCTTAATCCTTAAAGCTTAAACCCGCTCCCCTTGAACACATTACTTGACTGCTTTCGCATCGTGACCTCTCTCCTTCGCTCGCCCCAAACATGGCGAATATACTTACACTTCCATCTCTACCGGCGAACCACCGGAATCTCCCCAGCTGGATCCAAAGCCAGCCCCTCGCATCAGTTCATGATCTTGTGCAGCCGTACAATCAATACGATGCTGTCGTACGCAAGCTGTTTGCCCAGGAGCCATCTCATCCCCTCCTAGAAGATCCTCATTTGAATGTCGTTCCACTGTACAACGAGAATGGCACAGCCAATATCCACATGCGGGCACGCCAGCTAGAGTCGGAAACCCCGCAAGAGAAAGAGAAGTATATTCTACCATTGAAAGGCGAAGACCGTCGACCCAGTGGTTCTCCAGCGGTGGTCCCGAAGCTGGAAGACTTCCAACGAAACTTCACTATCTTTTCAGAAGGCGCATTGAGTGATTTGGACTGGTCGAATGTGGTGGTCGCAGGAAGTGCTGTTGTGACTTGCTTACTTCCAGTGCCAGAGAAATACGATGACTCGAAGCGTTCGCTGCGCAAATTCTACCACGAGAAGATAGCGCCCGCGTCCGATGTTGATCTCTTCTTATATGGGCTGAGTGAGCAGCAGGCCCTGGAGAAGATCAAGCAGATCGAAGACCGGATCAAGAACACCATCCTCTACGAGACGACGACGGTCCGAACCAAGAACACAATCACAATCGTCTCCCAGCATCCAACCCGCCACATCCAGATTGTCCTGCGCATCTACAAATCAGTAGCGGAGATTTTGACTGGATTCGATGTGGATTGTTCTTGCGCCGCCTTTGACGGAAAGCAAGTCTATGTCTCGCCTCGTGCTTTAGCCTCATATATTACACAGATTAACACTATTGATCTGACAAGACGCTCCCCATCTTATGAAAATCGTCTTTCTAAATACTCTCATCGTGGATTCGAAGTCTTCTGGCCAGAGCTTGACAGATCACAAGTCGATCCAGTAAGTAGGCACTTGCAAGACATACCTCTTATCTCTGGACTAAAGATCTTGGACAGACGATCTTCGAGCGAAGTTTCACGAGGGTAGTTGGCTTGGCCCGCTTGTTGGTTTTAGAGAGACTACCTAAGCAATCCGACCGAGACTTCTACATTGAACAAAGACGAGAGGAACGTGGCCGTCCGGCACCCAAAAGCATGTCATGGCGGAGGGGCGTGCGTGGTGATCTCAAGAGCGACTGGGATGATGAAATTGCGGAGTGGGACAACGAAGACCATATCTCCTCATATGAGACATTCGTACGTCTTCTTGTCTGTTCTACAATGGGCTGACCTGCTGATATTCTGGCATTAGAGAATTCCATATGGGCCTAGGTACAACGCTAAGAGAATCGAGCGACTTATTTACGCAAAGGACCTGTTACTCAACGCGGAATGGAACAAGAAAAAAGAAAGACAGGTTGACCTTCACAGGCATCCCGCTTTCTTTGGGAATGTGGAGGATGTTATCCAAGATTGTTGTGGTTGTTGTCCCAAACCAATGTCGCCTGAGGACTGTGAGATTGCGGAAAAGGAAAGCAAGATTTATGTCTCGGGAGACATTTCCTTCATCAAGGATGATCCTGGTCGCCAGGAGATCGGAAGTTTCAACCCAACCACAGATACCGAGTGGACTGGTAAGCGCAATTCACCCGATTACAAGGGTTCTACTGACAACTGAAACAGATATGGCCTATCTGGGACACACCGAGGTACTTTGCCAGGCGATCGTTGACTGTGACCTTGAAAAGGTGCGGGAATGTGTCTCAACGGACGCCCTAAGTGTGAACAGTCGCGATTGCACGGGCCGCACACCGTTACATCTAGCTTGCATGTCCTCAACACCGGCAATCGTACAATGCCTTGTCGATCATGGCGCGAGGCTGGTATCTCGCCTGGCGGATGGCCGATCTGCCCTGCACCTAGCCGCTGCACGAGGGTCGGTGGATATGGTCCGTACCTTGCTCATGAAGAGTGAGCAAAACGAAGGCGAAGCAGATAAATTCAAGGTGTCGGCGAATGAGGGGAATGATCCTAGTTCTGCTGAGGAGGCACAGTCTTTCACTACCGGGTCATTCGTGAAGGTCGACAAGAATCTCGATACGGACATTGATGGTCCGCTCCCAATTGACGACGCGGAAGATGAACCTGATGTTTATGACATAAATGCCGCGTCCTGGGATAGTCGTACAACTGCACTTCATCTAGCCATTCTCAACGGCCATGCTGATGTGGCCCACGAGCTCGTGTCATCATTCGGAGCAGACGTGCTTTTGCCGGTGAAGCTGGTGCATGATTATGACAACAGTCCCAAAGCCGCTATCTTGAACCTGGTACTTACACTCAATCTACTTCCCACTGAAGCAGCTACGATGACCGAAGCTCTTCTGAAGCTGGGCGCATCGCCAACACAAGCTGATATGGATAATACCACCCCGTTGACTTACGTCGTTGCCTCTTGGTACAACAACCTTCTGGACGTCTTTATGAGCTACAGCGCGCCCGCAACGAAGAAAGCAATTAATTACTTCACTTGCAGAGGTTCTTCTTGGTATCCCAAAATCTTTACGCCGCTCATTGCGTCAATATCGTCAAGGAATTGTGAAGGGGCACATAAACTGTTGCAGGCCGGGGCCAGCCCATTGATTCAATTTGAACAGTTCGTCAAGCCTGGTCAAGGGGCTTACGAGCAGCTTCGAGACAGATCAAATGATAGGCTGAAGGAGATCTTCCGACACCGATTGACACAGCCTATCATGTTAGCGATCCAACAGGATCTACCATTGCTTGCACTCGAGATCTTGGAACTTGGAGCTGACGCCAATACACTGACACCCGAGGCCTATAGAGCTCAGGATGAGGATTACCAGTTGGGAAGCAATGGTGATGGCATGTCTTTGCTGGACTGTGTTCGAAATAAGCTCAAGGCGCTTCGTGCTTATCCGGAAGATGACTCAGAACAACGCTGCTGGCAGACATACAGCTTCGAAAAAGACTATTTGTCTAATCTCACTGAGAACACATATCAATGGTGGTCGACAAAAAATCTTGTGTGGGACGCCAAAAAACAGAATCGGGCACGCAATCGTTGGGGCCGCAATTCCAACAACCAGGGCCTGGAAGAGAATGGTCAAGCGGAGAAGGATCTAGCTGTCCAAGCTCTTCTCTCTGATTTCGAAACCCTAGAAGCTGCTCTTATCAGTAAGGGAGGCAAGCCTCTCTACGAGCTACGCCCAGATCTCATCGAGTTCCAAGAAGAAAGTACAAAGGAACCGAAGAAGCCCAAGCCCTTCGAGCCCGAGTTTCAATTCCCCAATGTGCGCGATATGACTGACAAAAAGCAGGAAGCCTATGTTGAGCTGTAAGTATCACACCTGAAGGGCCTTTTATAGGTACATTCTAACAGTCAATCCCTCAGATTTCAAGCAGCTTGGGCTGGCGACCTGGACACAGTCAAGCGCCTTACCTTGACAGTTGGAGACGCAGAAAACGACCATCTGCCACTGCAGATTGCTGCGCGCGATGAACATGACTTCTCTCCATTTTCTATTGCCGCCATACGTGGGCATTACCAGCTGGCGAAGGTTATCCTTAAGATCGCACAAGCGCAATTCAAGCCGAAGGATTCTGACGCGCATGAAGAATATGAGTTGGACCTGGATGATAGTGATTTGTTGCTCGACGACAGCGACAGTATCGGTTTCCGCAAGAACGTGGTTTCTAGCAAGTTCACCACCGAAGACATAGGCGAGGCGGTAGAGCAAGTTGAGAGTGAAGTCTCCGCTTATGAAATGTTCAACTGGAACTGTCAGGGGGCTAGGTACCTTGCGGCCCAGACCGACAAAGACATGGACGCCTTGGAGACCGGCGACAAATTATGCAAGGACACGTCTTATTGTCCCAACGGGCTTCTCGAGTATGCAATCTGGGTCAACAACGTTGAGCTGCTGCGTTTCGTTTTAAACCTCGGTCAGGAACTCGCCGAAGCAAAAGCTTCACCTGAAAAGAATGTCTATCGAGTATCATGTAATGCCTCACGATTGGCGATGCGAAAGGGGCATTTGACCTGTCTCCAAGAGCTTATTCGACATACTGGCGCCGACTTGCCTATGGAGGCCATGTTACGATCGTGCGAAGTAGATCCCACGGAGAAACCAAGGTCCTATCAAGGGCTGTCCATTCATGGCAAGAAGAGAGCGGACTGGGCGGTGGCTGGCAGAGGAATGACGAACTCATGGGATGAAATGAACGATCACCCACTTCTTATGGCCGCAATTGAAGGAAGTTTGGAAAGTGTCGAGTGGTACTTGAGTCCCGCGCCGGAAAGGTTCTACACAGAGTTCATTATAGAGCACCAGCACGACGCGAGACTAAAGGCGTTGGCTCAAGAGGGGGCTAAAACGACGACAGCCCTTACAAAATGGCTTTCATCAAAGAGTGAGTGCCCGGTCAAATTGTTCTTTAGACTTATTTTGAGCTGACACAGAAACCAGGTCAGTTTGTGCTACATTGCGCGGTGCTTTCAGACCCGTCGGAGCACTCAACCAGATTGGTCAAATACCTGGTCCAGTGCGCTCCCGAGTATCTGGAAGTCAAGTCGATGGATGGTCACACCCCGTTAGCATTGGCATTCTCCCTTCATCGGACAGAATTCGCCCAAATCCTTATTGACGCAGGGTCGAATCAGACCGTCCGCGACAATAAGGGCAATAACCTCATTCATCTAGCGCTCTGCGACGCATGCAATCTCCCATGCTTGGCACCGGACAGCACACGACAGCTTCTCCATATGCTTGATCCTCGCCTCGCCTCTTCTTTGCTTACTGAGCGCTCTTCCGATGACCCAGGATCTCTCACTCCCTTTGCACGCTGGCTTCATTCTTCGAGCAATCAGCAGGGATGGGCGAGAGGTAGCCAGGACGATAAGAGTGCAGACTTCCAGGCTACTGCACGTTGCGTGCTGGACTTCGGAAGCTCAATCAGCCAAAGGTTTCTGGAGATGTTCGACGGTGCAGGAAATACACCAGTTCACGAAGCGGTTCGCTCTGGCTATCCTGAGTTGCTGAGGTTGTTGCTTAAGTATCGTCCAGATCTGCTGTTCCGTGAAAATGCCGTGGGAAGTACGCCTCTTGAGCTCGCAACCGACAGCTGGGTGACACATGTAACTTCGGCCTGCCCTTCAGTCGAGAGAGAAGACCTAACGCGAGAGGGACCTTGGAATCCCGAGATGACTTGTGTCCTTGAGCGCTCGACAGAGACCTTTAAGCCGGACTACCGCGCGCCAGAACATCCGAAGAAAGCCATTTACAGGATTGCTCGTGAGTCAGCTGCTCACCACCCAGCTAAGAGACGGTTGGTGAGTTTGAACGAGGCCACGGAGGTAACAAAGCGACTGGCGCTGCGAGGCGAGGAGGGGACCAGAGTCTCGAATCAGGACAAAGATGAGTATGATGAGGTGACTTGCTGGCACAAGTACGGAGGTCCAAAGCATTATGGGGCCTTCTCTGATGATAACTGAGAGGCGGAGTAGCGATTACGGGTATGGAGACTGGATGAGGGCCCTCTGGCTCAGAATCATGTTGCTTTGTATCACTCCCCGTGTCTTCGAGCTCGCGACATGAGCATAAGCGAGTGAATGAGCCTTATCTCTATTCACAGCTTCCGTGCTTAATGTCGGGAAACATATTTCAATTCCATGTGTAGTGTACTCATCTCCTCCAAAGCAGATCTTATCAACATGTTTCAGGTGTGCCCCTCCAAAAACAAATCGCGAGTTGTGGGGTAGGATCATCTCGTACACCTAGCGTATCGTCAATTTCTTAAAGAGCACAGCTTTTTCTCATGGTAGGTCCAGGGTGGACCCGTCCTAAATAAAAGCGGCATTAGTTTGCCGGCTTGTTGGTGGCATTCTAGTTCCATCTCATGCTTTGTACAGTTGAGCACAACGTCATATCAGATGTTAAACATTGTTAATTTGTGTACTCTGATATTCTAATTCTAACCAGGACTGTGACCTCCAGGCCGTTGGATACGGATGCACCTTGATGCGTGCTTTCCATGGAGAGTCTCTTCAAGTGATAGCTGAATGTTCCTCGTCGCATCGATTGTCTCTGATGCGTATGCTTCAGAACCATGTGCTCCGTGCTTGAGAGTGTAGCAGATATGGAACTGTGGCGGGTAGTCGCTGGCGTCGCTGACGAAGCGCAGAGAAAGCGATAGGTCTTGGGGCGTCGACACGGGAGGGTCTGGGTCATTGCGATGGGTGAGCATAACGCAAGGGAAGAGATGCGCGAGGGGAGAGGGTACCTTAGATGAGCTCTTGGCCTGTGTAGTGATTGGCTAAATAAGGCCGGGGATGGGTCATGTCTTAGACGTTGAGCCGTGCGAGGACCGAAGAAGAGGTCGCCTCGCACTGGGTACTCGGTCGGCGAGGGCTGAGCGAAGCTGGCGTGGCACGAGCTTTAAAATACACTGCCGGACTCGGGGCTTGTTGACGTTGAGTACTCGACCCTTTCCATGGGGAAGGTGGTTGTGGGCGTCCTGAGGCAGCTCAGGGCGGCTTTGTGATCGGTTCCCTGTTTGCTTGGCGTTGTCAGTATGGAGGGTGAATAGCTAGTAGCTACAGCATCACGTGGGCAGGACACTTAGAACGCTGACGTACTACTTTTATTGTCGTGCCTCGCTTGATAATGCGAAGAGAGTGATCGGATGTTTTTGGCTATTCTTTTCAGCCGGCTGGCTGCTCCGAGATTTACGGTCGCGCTCTCGGAAGAAGCGCAGCTTTCCATATGGGGCTCTTAGGTGTCTTCAAGCAGCGACAGCATTTGAATTTCATTGCCCTGCACCAGGGAGCTCTTTCGCTACATACTATAGCCCACACTCGCGGGTAGACTCATCCCTGCCCATGCTACTATGACAGCGCATCTACCATGCTCAAGCTTCGACCTGTGAGTAGCTACTCGAACACTTCATATTTGAAGTGGCTGTCGGATCCCAAGTTTGGCTCCAGAACCTCATCGAAGTCCGGGATCGGGTCATTTATCGCAGGCTCAGGCGTTCGGACAGCGGTGATGACATGGTTCGTGAGCACGCGCGACCGGAAGCCTGCCTCACAGTAGGTGAAATAATACTACATTCCGTTAGTCGTCACGCTCAGTGCAGCGCTGCGAAAGAATGGGGTACGTACCACCCACACCCGACGGAAAGCCTCAATTTCATGCTCGGTCGCCTCGGGGTGTCTGTCGATGTAATCCCGGCGGATGAGATTCCACTTCTTGAGGAAATTCTCACGCCAAGTCATCAGAGTCTTAATATAGCTCGGCCCGATGCTCTGTAGGGAGTCGAGCTCCAGCGTGCCATTCGACCCGGTGTGCAACGCATTCAGGAACACATTTGTTGAACAAAGGTACCCGCCGGGGAAGATATATCGATCGGTGAAGGTGGTAATACCGGGTTTGTTGTCATGCATCTGCCCATCCCTCAGCATCAGCTATACGCCGCAGAACAATTTGCAGAGACCCACTCACCATGTTGTTCGTCGTGATCGCCTGCATCACGAGAATACCTCCCTCAGGCTTCAGAAGCCGTGAGATCGACCCGAAGAACCCATCCATGTATTTCTTCCCGACATGCTCCACCATCTCCACCGAGACGATGCGGTCATACCCGCCTGCCGGCATTGGCGCATTTCGATAATCGCACAGCAGGATTGTGATCTTATCGTCTAGCCCGGCAGCCTTGATGCGCTTCTCAGCCAGCGCCTTCTGCTCCGAGGCAAGGGTGATGCCCGTCACGCGGCACCCGATCAGCCGGGCGGCCTCGATTGCCAGACTGCCCCAACCGCATCCGATGTCGAGAATGTGGTCCGTTGGGGAGATGCGGGCTTTTTGTAGGATGTTGTGTACGCTGCGGATTTGCGCGGTTTCGAGGGTCTCATGGGGATTGTTCGACCACCATCCGTTCGAATAGTTCATGTCTGGGGAAAGGAGGGCGGCGAAGAGGGCGTTGGAGGTATCATAGTGGAACGTCACGTTCGAGCGGGAGTGAGCCAGAGTGTTTGTGGGGGTAAAGAGGAGGTGGCGGAGGCGGGGGAGGAAACTGAGGAGACGATTACCGAAGCCGAGCCTGGTACGGTTACGGAGGTAAAGCTGGGTCTACATTAGACGCCGGTCCTGCTGCTGAGAGTAGGAGAGACCTGGATTGGGGTTCTCACCTGGAACATATGACGGAGGTCGTCACATTCAAGCTCTTGGTAGATGTATGCTTCCGCGAAACCCTGGACGAAGATTAGATCGTCCTGAGACAGTGAAGGACCATCTTACCAGATCAAAAGCCTGGCAAATGCGAACCCAGGCGTTAGGATTCAAAATCACGATCTGCACATCTTTGTCCGTCGACTTGGGTCCGAAGACAACGGTTTCTGGCTCCTTAGCGTGATTGTTGATCACTAATGTCAACCGCTCCTGGTGCTCAATGCTGGCCAGAGCCTGCAGAACAAATGATTGGGAGTATGACTGAACCAGACCTTCGAGCATCGTGGTAGTTAAGAGCAAGTAAGTTCTTTTGGTGTGTACTGTTACTTACTGTTACTGTAAAAGCGACTCCCTCGCACATTGATCGAGTTTAAGTAGTCGTCGCTGGTCAATTGAGACCACGCAGTACAGTCTTCCAAGCCATTCGGTTTACTTGTCTCCATGCCCGCAGGTTTCGGAGCCCGAGACGCAAGCAAATGAGCGGGCTGTTTGATTGGTGCAGAGTGGGAAGGATGGCGAAGCGAACGTTGTTACGCAAGCCACAAAACGGCCTGACAGCTTCGCTGGCTCGTATAGGGAGTGCGTGCAGGTCAGCTCGGTTCAGCTTGCTGCATGTCTCAATCTATGAGCTTCTCCTCACTAGACCCTTGTTAGCAAATTCTATTCACCTTCGTGTGTGAAATTTGAGAATCTGAGCTTGAGACTTCAGGGCATTCGACTCACCAACTCCCCTCAAGGCAAATTGGGGACATGGCTGGCTGAAGTCTGCAGCTTGACGCACAGACGTAATGAAGCTAGGACGAGCTCTCTTGATTGTCTGAGTCGACCATGTGATTGACAATATTTAGCAGTGGCCTTAGCGAAGAAAATCACATATCATGGTCATTCGAAGCGAGGAGGCGTGAGAGGGGTCTGATTCATTCGGGCATAAAATTATGGAGAGGTTGTGCATTGCGGGGCTTGTTGCCTCAGGCAATAAGAACAGCCCATGACTAACCGCTTTGGGCCATTGCTTCGTGCTCGTATTTGCCTTGTCGAATTGTAGCAAGTTCTCAAATCTGAGACGTTCATCCACCTTTCAAAGTCGATCGCTACTGATCAATGTCTAAAAGATCATCTTGATCTATTCATATAATGAAATGTCATCTACACAGTCTTGATTGCCCAGGTCATGGCGTTCGCTCAGGCTCATCCACAAGGCCACTCAGCAGGATCCGGACAACTTGTTGCGTTGGGCCCATGAGACAAGAGAGTTTGTCTAGCATTAGATAGATCAGGTACATATCCTAGTCCTGGTGGCAAGTCCACGCCCTGAGGTGCTAAAAGGACACTCTCCTAATATCTTATGGCAGGTTCCCTTACTCGCATCATACTCCATTCGGCATCAACGCCGTATCCGTATCTCACCACCAAGGTCCGGTCGATCAACAGCCTATTTTACTCCTGAGTGGAGCATGACGTGTATGTACACTGGAGACATCCAAAACATGACGAACAGCAGGTTCAAAGGTCCACAAGCAAAAGTGCGAAGCATATCGAGAAGCGACAGACTAGCTATAAAGTGTCGTACCCTGCCTCCTCAAGGCATCTCAATCCAACAACATTGAAAATGCTACCCCTGATCTTCTGGTGCGCGCTTTGCCTTACCACGCCTGTGGTGGCAGGCAAATGCAAAAACACCCCTCTTGATGTGACATGGCCCTCTGACACGGATTGGTCGTCTTTAAATGCGTCCATTGGCGGTCATCTGCTTCGCACAGTTCCTGCTGCTGCTTCCTGCTGGCCTAACGGCCACTTGGAGTCCTCCATCTCATGCAATACAGTTCAGTCACAGTGGACCAACGCGCTCTGGCATGCAAGTCAGCCAGACTCCATTGACTACCCTATCTACGCGAACAATTCCTGTCTACCGCCAAACGTGACGGGTTATGTACACGATCTGGGCTGTACAACTGGGGGACTGCCAGCATATATTGTCAACGCTACAACGGAGACTCAGATTGCGACGGCAATGAAGTGGGCCGCCGAGCGCAGCATTCGCATCGTCATTAAAGGCACTGGGCATGATTTGAATGGGCGGTAAGGCAAACGGTTCGCCTCGCGTCACACGTCAAGCGCTAATATATGTTTGCATTGTTAGGTCAAGTGGTGCCTTTGCTCTGTCGATCTGGACTCACCATCTCCGCAAGTTACAGCGCGATATCTCCTGGAAACACCCAACCAAGAATATCACGGAGGATGTATACATCGTTGGCAGCGGCCAGCAGTGGGGTAATGTGCTTAATTACGCGCTCGCTCAGGGCCGAGTAGTCACCACCGGACAAGACCCCAGCGTCGGACTTGGTGGCTACATTCAAGGGGGTGGACACGGTCCATTGTCACGGACCTACGGTCTTGCTGCTAGTCACGTACTGCAGATGCGCGTCGTCACCACCCAGGGAGAGATACTTGTAGCCAACGATGCACAACACCAGGACCTGTTCTGGGCGCTGCGCGGTGGCGGGCCGGGTCTGTATGGTCTGGTCACAGAATATGTGCTGCGACATCATCCGGCTCCGAGCAACGTGACTATGGGAAACCTCTTGATCACCCCAAAAGCGGACCGCAACAATCTCAGCGCGGAGGCATCGTGGAAAGCAGCCGTGTCGTACCTCCAGGCGCTTCCGGAGCTGATGGACGCCGGTCTAGCAGGGGCATGTATGATGTCAACTGCCGAGGCAGCGATGCGGTTCGGCTCCCTCTCTGAAGCCACGACCGGCGTAGTCATCTCGCAAGCGTTCTGGTCCTTCAATTCAACTCCATCCGCCATGGAAGCCTTGGTCCGTGCGGTCCTCACTCGCATTGGACGTGACTCGACTCCAAATAGCGGTAGCCCTGCAGTGAATATCACGTTCAGCACTTCCAACGTTGCGAACTACACCTCCTTCATTTCCGCCATCTCTGGTAGCAACGCAGCCGGCGGCCAGAGCGTCGTATCAAGCCGCCTTCTCGGCCGCCGCGAGCTCCTCGGCACGTCGCGCACAGACATGACCAGCTATCTCAAAACTGCGCTGCAAGCGCAGAACGCGACCGCGGGAACCTTTGCGACGATCGGCTTACAAGGCGGACCGGGAGTGCAACAGACCCCTCCAGGGGACTGGGGTGCTCTGCTACCGGCATGGCGCACGGCGTACCTGCATTTCATTGCCAACGGAGCGACAGTCGACTCCGTCGCTGCGGGCTCTCCGAAGCGAGCGCTGCAAGACGCCGCGCGATGGTATGAGGCCAAGGAGCGCATGTGGCAGCTGTGGGCGCCGGAGTCGGGGGCGTACATGAACGAGGCTAATCCATTCGATCCCGAGTTCAAGCGTGACTTCTATGGGGCGAACTATGACCGGTTGGTGCAGGTCAAGGCCAAGTACGATCCGACTGAGAGCTTGTTTGTTCTGGCTGGTGTGGGAAGCGATCGGTGGGATTATGATCTAGATAGTGGTCGACTTTGCAGGGTGGATTAAAGAGGTATCTATATTCCGAGAATCTTCTACAGTATGGGCTGGGTCTCGTAATGTTTGTCTGCGGATTCAAAGCAAGTGACTGCTATTCTATCGGTCGGTGAGGAACATTCGGCTTTGGCATGCTGCTGACTTCGGATAGTGTCTTTGTAATGCGGTTGATTATCAACTAGATAGGATTAATCACGGCAAAGTATTGTACATCTAAGGCATCAGTCATCAAAATTTCACAATCTATACACGCACGTTCCCATCACTGGCTCCTTCCTTCTCCATCGACGAAGGCAGAACTTCGATCTCCTGCCGTTTCTCCAGCATCGACTGCCTCATGAACGGACTCCGTGCGCGAATCTCCTTCCCCCAGATCAGCACCAAGACCGGCGCAAAGGCCAAGGCCAGCGAAATCAAGGCCAGCAAAGTACTCGCCCACTGAAAATGCAAAGTATTGTACATGCTCTGCGCCGCGAGCGGCAGGAAGGCGGAGAAGACATTCTCGCCTAGCGCCACGGTGGCGACCGCACTCCCCGCCCAGTAACTGTACGCATCGACCACATAGTCCGCAATACCGCACACGACCGTCACACTCCCGGCCCCGACCATGGCCAGCCCTACCGCTGGCGCAACCCACGGGATGTTCGGGTACGAGGTCCAGGCATACGTGAACATCCCGCCCGCGATGCCCAGGATGCCGCCCGCCACGGCCGTGTACAGGCGCGCCTCGGGGATGGGGGCGCCGGGGATCTCCGTGTTGCGACGCGCGGAGTCAAAGTACAGTTTTGCGGAGTAAAAGCACGTGGTCCAGCCGAGACATTGGCCAACCACGATCGCGGCCTGGACATAGCCGGCCTGCACAGCGTTCCAGCCGTATAATCCGCTGAAGACTTGCTCCACGGTCTGTGTGAAGAGATAGAGCGTCCCAACGGTGAAGGCGGACCACAGCGTCGAGACGAAAATCACCGACTCGGTACACAGCAGCTGCAGAGGCCGCTTGATGCTGGCCAGGAGCATTTGGTGGCTGGGTTGTTTGTTTAATTCCTCCCGTGCGTACACGTTCTGGCCCTTGGCGCGGAGGTGGCGCGCGCGTTGGGCGAGGATCACGGCGCCCCGGGACTCTCGGAAAAGGAAGTAATAAATCGGAAAGAGGGCGCCGAACCAGATCAGCTGGAGGTAGGAGATCCAGCGCCAGGATAGGTATTGGAGGATCGCGGCGCCGATCACGGGACCGATGCTGCTTCCAGAGAGGTAAGCGAGGATATACAGGCTTACGGGCATGTTGCGCTCGCGCTCGTCTCTCCAGACATTGCCGATAACCGAGGCGACGGTGTTGGCGAGGATCATCACGCACCCGCCGCAGAAGAATCGGGTGATGATCAGAGTGGCGAAGTTGTGGGCCAGCCCCTGCGGAATAATGAAGCAGAGAAAGATTAGGTAGGTGCCCAGAAAGCAGCGCCGGATGCCAAAGTCCTCCATGACGGGGAGAACAAGGAGGGAGAAGAATGCACCGCCGATAGTCCATGAGGTGACAGGCCAGTACGAGTGTGGGAAGCTTGCATCGCTAATCCCGAACTCCTCGTTAATTTGTTCATGGGCGACGGTGATGATGGTTCCATTCATGAGTGTTGTGAACGTCGTAAACAAGGGAATCGCTGTGACAATCCATTTTCGATGAAGAGGCCAGTTGAGGGGGTCCCCCGGGTCATCGGATCCCTCCCATTCTAGAACAACGACGTCCGACTCTTGCGAGCTGGCTGGTCATGACAGTCAGTATTGGGCATTGATCAGAGGGAAGGTTTCACCTGCCTGAAGGCGTTCTTTCAAGGTCAGCGCTGGCCATTGTCGCCATATGATAAACTCGATGCAGTGAACCTCTATCCGAGTGTGATTATATATGCGAGGATGGTGAATTCTAGTGGCTTCTGCGAATATTCCCGAGTCCGTCGGACTCGTGTATTGCCGCAAACGGAATTGAGAATTCTGAGCGAGTGAAGGACAACAGAAGGGAGGAAGTTCGGAGGATACATCGGGGTTGCCAGATTTATGTGAGAAGGACAATCTCCCCGTCAACGCTTCGGCAGACGCGCCTCCATGGAGCTGAGATGAAGATCTGGACTCGGACAAGGCCAGGTTTTTGCCTTCATGGACTCTCGACGGAGACTCGGAGAGAGACTTTGGAGGCTCCACCCGCTGTTAGTTCTCAAGTCACCTGCCGCATTCGGGTTAGTCGGTCGCTCTGTTCCATCTCCCCGATTTTCTTGTTTTAGTCTCTGGAGAGTTGATTCAGACCATTGCACTTACCTGGTGGTACCTTTCGCGTTAGTTGATTTCTTCAGCTAAATCCGCGGAGTGGATGCGAAATTTCTTGCAGCTCTTCAGTTGCACATATGTGCAGTATGTATGTCAGTGTCTGATACATCCAATCGAGCATACCGCCACTCCTTCTCCGAGCTTGCTGACAAGATGCGTAATCATGTCATAAGCATGTCATCCTGCTGAGAGGGATGGTTTGCATCCTGGAAGTCGGCGAATCTCTCGTGGCTAAGCAGGGTTCACCATTCGATAATAAATGCTATTTATGATGTTAATATCTACTTCTCGTATCGGCTTGAGACCGAAGAGTCAGCTGGCGCAAGTCGGACTGAAATAGGCTAGCGGGAACCTTGAACGACTTTTTTTTGTCTTTTCTCTGTTCCGCTGGCTGCCATCCGTCCCCTTCAATAGGTTCTCTCCATGGACTGCCTTGATCCAGCAGGTCGGAAGCGGGTTAGCCGAGGTGGGTCTGGGACTTTTCCGCACCTGGCGGGCGCTTAGCGCGCTCTTCCCCTCGTGCACTCCAACAATGAACAATCCCATTGTGCGGGTGTGACAACCGCCTCCTTCCGGGCTTCTAAATGGCCTTCCAAGTTTCTTGTTGAACGGTACACAACATACTTACTTCTCATCAGTCTACATCATGGGCACTGCGTCTTCGACATTTATCAGCCTCTTTCTCGCCACTGCCACTAGAGACAATCCAATAGCTGCTCCTATGTCATGAAGGTTCTTTATTCTCACCGATTCTCGGGGCATCAGCTGTACCTGATCACGGGAACCGCGCAGCGACAACGCATCTGCACCCACCCCACTATGACCTGATGAATTGTGCGCATATCGCGGGAAATTTCAGCGCTCTCGTCATGCACGGTGCTTAAACATTTATAGCCGTCGATGTCTCGGCCTTCCCCACTACATGCAACCTGCTCCTGCACCGATGAATGTGTTGGCAGCACGCTTGCTCGCAAACCCGTGCTCCTCGGTTTGTCAAGAATCATTTCTACAAGCCCCACAAACATCAATCATGGACAAGCGGGCGGTTAACGTACCCCTGGAACCGGATCCAGATCTTACATTGCTTAACTCAATCTCGGTCCGACGATCGGGTGCGACCGTCGGAGACGAGGATCTCTTCAATCTTGTGCATAACCAGTCTGCAGGCCTACAGTTTAGGAGAAATCCACTCAACCTAATTGATCTAATGGAAGTAGTACCTGTTTCTCTTGCAGATTCATGCAGCCTAGTCTCAGACCACCACAGGCACTACCCGCAAGAGCCGACCGGTGCACTATTCTCCGTACGAAGCACAGCCGGTGTGAACACTGTAAACCCAGCATACAACCATCATCAATTAATCACTTTCAACGTCCTAAACCGCTCCCTCGCCACCCATTCACAGATTTCTAGCTTCAGACATTAATGCCAGACCATCCCCAGTCTCTGAAAGAAACCAAACAGAGACCCCTTCGGCACATATCCCGCATACCGACTTTGCCACCATGCCGCAAATGACCCTTCCACCGGGCCCAACTCGGCGAACCCAAGCACCTCTAGCACCCACGGCATGAGGGCCACAAACACTCCCAGAGCCAGGATGGTAGTGTACACGGGGTGTTCTTGTGCGAACTCAAAGGCTTCCTCGGAAGCGCGTCGCAGAGCCTCGGTGGCTGCTTGGGCCATTAAGGCGTGTTGCTCGATTGCGTTGACCAGGCCTGAGAGGAGACCGCGGGCGAGGTAGTCAGTCCAGCCAGCTGGGTGAATGAGCTCGCTGGTGGACTTCTGTATCTCGGGGACGGTCGGGGTGGTGAGGATTATGGTGAGGAGCTCCGAGACTTGTGGGGACGAGGTATGAGGTGTTCTGGGTTGAGCAGATGCACGTGTGCGCTTGGTAGGGACCACGCAGTTGAGCATAGAGAAGATGACACCCATTCTGTCGAGCTGTTAGATACGATGAAGGTAATGGAATTGTGATGACATTTAGTGAGCTTGGTGATGACAAGGAAAGGTGATTGGCGGGAAGAGCTTCGGGGGTGGCAAATGGAAGGTGGATGAAGATTGTTGTGATCAAGACAAGTGCTAAGATGAGGTCTTTATACCATTCACATCCCCTTTCTTCCATCCACTGCATGTTTGCATGGCAAACAAAGCTTTTCTCTACCCGATTGCCGCAGCAGCAGGATTGGCTCACTTTTGGTGGCATAGGAGTTACTGCAGCTATTGATTCGGTATCCTTCACCCCTCGGCTTCTGAGGTAGCTTGGTAACGGGCGCTTACAGCCACTCAGCCCGGTCATACAAGGCCAACGGGCGGAGTTGTAGCAGGCGGCGCGTACCAGCTCGGGGCACAACATCCAACCCTATCTTGAAGGATCTCCATCGTGTGCTAAGGCAGACATATAGGCTCAATTAGACAAGGTTCTATTGACTAGATTTGATATAAAGATATTGTCACCGTCCTCCTGCATTCAAAACCGATCCACGCTCTATCGACAACGGGCACCACCATCAAACTCCACGCCGTGCTTTTTCGTCTTCTTACATATAATTGGAGATCCTGTGCCATGTCACTAATCAAGCCATTGAACAAGAGACGACCACCTACTCAATCAGATTGCCGTCCGGATCGCGACAATACACACTGTGAATCTTGCCTCGAGCCCCGGTGCGCTGAACAATCTCACCCCCCTCGAGTATCTCAATGCGAGCGTCCTCAAGAGCCTTCTTCACCTCACTGACTTTGGTATCAGTCAAGAAGCAGAGGTCCGCACTGCCTGACATCACATTCTGGGCTTTGGGCTCGAATTCCTTGCCGCGTTCATGAAGGTTGATTTTCTGCGAACCGAAGATGAGGGAATGACTAACACAGATCAGCACGAGGGTTCATCCAGGCCAGACGCAGTGCATTGGTAGAGCAGACCGTTGGACCTCCGGACTGCTTGGAGAGGTGAAGATCTCGTGTCGCATTCCGAGGTGGGAGGTGTAGAAGGCCACCGTCGTGGGAATGGACCGCACCGTCAGCACCAGGTGGTCGAGGGACTTGATGGCGAATCTAGCTGTCATTGTGGTGCTTAGTAGTTCAATAGACAGGTTGTGAAGTCAGAGTCTGGGGGAGGTGGCAGTGCACGTTATGTTGCTTCGGTAGTCATCTCCGAGGTGGGGAAAGAAATGTCCGGCAGGACAGCAGGACGCCGAGCGGATTTGAAAGTATACTTAGCTCTATGGCGTCATAAGATCCATTCAATTATCTAAGATGTTTGGTCTGTGGGCGTGTCTCAATGAAATACTTGACTAGACGCTGTCAGTGATTCTATGACCCATTTCTGAATGGTCTCAGATCCAAGCTTGTCCAGTTCACCAGACCGAAGTCGAAACTCGAGCAGAAAGATACCAAGGTCGAGTTTGCGCTGACTTGAGTTACATTCAGCGGAGTTGTTCATGCTGAGTCAGAGTTTGTGCTCATAATTCCGTGTAACAATAGAGTGCGGGACACCACAGCAACTTCCCATCACCATCAATCAAAGAACTCCAACAGTGCTATGCTGAGGATTCTAATCCTTACAGGGACGTCGCCTGAGCCTCTTTAGTTCTTACTCTCTTTAGTTTTTACTCTCTTTGTTTCTCTCTATTTGTGTTGCGAGCTGATTGCAGCGCTCTTCTCGTCGTTGTTGGTGGTTAGTCCCTTTGCATCTCATGTTCACTCATCCGCGCCGATATAACCCATTGGTTCTTCCTTCAGTTGTTCTGCTTCAATCGATCCTAGTTGCTCTCTTCTTTCTGTCGCTTTCCCGAGTGCTTTCACTTGTGGCTTGTTCCTCTGGTTTTTGGTTAAGTAGAAATCTTAACAACTACCACAGATCTCGTCGCTAAAGTCAGCACTGTTCCTGCCTACAAATCGTCTCAGACGGAGTATCCTGATCGACGTCTCGCTGATTTGACCGCAGAGACCATTCTCGGTCCCCCGACCATCGATTCGTTCACTGCAGGAGAGCCTACCACCCCAAATTCATTTGGTGGCAAGGAAAAAGATCAAGAACGGTCCTTTTGTACGGGGTCACAACAACTAAGGAACATTAGGCTCGGTTGGAGCAAGGTTCCCATTACACTGACACTAACGATGATGATACCTCCATGCTGTGGTTTGCTTTACGTTGTATGATTCGCGCAAAATGGGCATCTCTTATCAGGGACTAGCAATGCAGTCAGTTGACGTGGCTCGCGACTCAGTTCCACTAGCATATTCGTCCAACTCCACATAGTGAAATTGTTGGCAGATTACAAACATCAAAATTCAAGATGATGTGGCCGAGCTGTCTCCAGCAGAACAACAATTCTCAATTGATCAAAGGCGCAAGTTAAGTACTTCTTTTGACCAACTATCTGCATGGCGACCATTACATAACCCTCCCATTCAGCAATCACCTCAACTTCCCAAAGAACTGCACCAGTCTCCTGCCAGTCGATGGCCTCGGCCCTCTGGATGCTGTCTTCTCGGCTACCACATGGTACGCCTGCAAAGCATTGACGGAAAATGCATGCGCTCCACCCCACAGGAACAGCCTAAAGACACGATAGGTCTCCTCGCCCCAGCCCGCTACAATCTTATCTTTGGCCTGATCCAATCTCCTCGCCCATTCTTCCATTGTCCACCCATAATCCTTGGTCTCCTGGACCACCTCCTCTACCGTGAACCCATGCATCAAAAGCTCACCCACCACATCCTGCACCGCCATATACGTATGTGTGCCACCCCAAACATACCGCCTCGTGAATGGGCTAACAGCGTACTTCTCCACCGCCGCTGAACCATCTAGATACATCCTCCCTCCTACCTTCAGTAGATTCCAGGCCCTGCTTGCAAACCGCCGATAATCTGGCAAATGCTCGATGACCCCTAAAATAACGACCGCATCGAACTCCCTTTCAGACTCCCACACCCAAAAGTCCCCGACCAGCACGTGCCCCGGCAACTGCAACCTTTGCCGCATCTTCTCAACATACCGTGCCTGGTATTCGAGCAATGTCAACGTGGTAACATGTACCCCTCTGGCGCCACAGTATTCCGTGACCCCACCCCAGCCCCCACCAATATCCAGCACGCGCATTCCGGCCTCCAATCGCAACGCGGCAAACATCCGCGCGAGTTTGCGCTCGGCCGCATCCTCTATGCTCATCCTCTGTCCGTCTGTGTCCTGTTGATCGAATATTCCGTGCGTGTAGAACCGGTACCGCGTATCGATGAATGTGAGGAACAAGTCGTCGCCGCGGCCGTAGTGCTCGTTTATTGATTGAGCGTTCATATGGATGCCGGCACGGAAATAGTAGTCCCAGAGGAAGCGGAGACGTTGGCGAAGGGGGACTTTATCCTCAAAATCAGGACGGGATGCGAAGAGCGTCGCGAGGTCGCCGCTTATGCTGATGGTGCCTTTGACGTAGGCCTCACCAACAGCAAGCTCGGTGATCGGGGTGCGGAGGGAGGCCGGGGTGTGGAAGGTGACGCGCCAACTTGGCTGGTGGAGCGGGTTGACGGGGACGATGGAGCCGTCAGGGAGTTCGATTTCACCGGGAGTGTTTAGCGTGGTGAGGAGAGGGGCGAGACCGGTGCGGGGAAGCTTCGCCGGTGATTGCCCTGGGTGTTGAGTGGGGTACGTCATGGTCGCTGCTGTTTATCTCGGGTGAGTTTCTAAAGGGTTTGCCGGCAAGGCAGGACACTGAGAGGAAACATGCTGCTTATATCATTTTCTTCAAATGCTAACAAGCTCAGAAGCAAGGGGTGCAAGTCTGACATGTTCCATCCGGGTCGAGGCTGAAGGAACGCCTGCAGACGCCTATCTTGAGATTCCGACCAGTCAAAAAGGAGTATCGTGACAAACACCTGGTCCGTACCGTGTCTTAGCAAACAGAGGCTCGAATCCAATACTCTACATCTCACATGCATTTTGCGCGGCAATCAGCGCCCAGTTACTCGTCCGGAAGGGTCTTCTCATGGTGGTGTTGACCCACTTTCTGCAGCGCTTGTTAGAATGAATACTAGGTCAATGTGTGGCGCGGCTGAAAATGGGAGCCGAAGGGAGTGATTGGCCAGCCATTGACCACCTACAGAGCATGCTGAGGTCTTGCAAAGATATAAACACTTACCCAAAACAGGGCGTGATTGTCTTCAGCACTCCGGCTTGTTTGCATTGTTTGTGACCGAATTGTGGGCCCGCCCCCTGGGCTATAGGACTGATGTGCTATTGCAACTCACCGTTTGTGGCGAAGAGTCCTAGGCGTACAAAGGTATATCCCAACAGAGAGAGGCTCGATCAAACGGTCAATCTTAGCATCCTAGAGATAGCTACAGCTTGGAGAGTTCTTTGTGTGTCGATAGAGTGCCTCCAAGAAATATCTGCTTGTCCGCAGCAGACTCTTCAGACCATCCGATCGATGATGAAGCGACATGGATACTTGATGTAGTGTTACCACTTATCCACCGAGAAGCAACCGCTTTCGCAACTTGGTTATCATCCAGAGAAGCAGTGTATATCAGCAGCGTGCCGCATACAATCACCTCGATATATTGCATGAGTCCCCTTCCCCGGTAGAGGAGCTCTTCCGTCACGTGTCGGGAGACAATCGATTGCAAGGCATCCAAGCTTTGTTCCATATTTTTGCATTCGTGCTCGAATTTCGGTTTGCAGACTGCAAGTAAAGGTCTCATCCAT